TCAGTTGGGGACCAGTGCACAGCTTTCAATAGATTTCTAATGGTCCCATAATAAGAACACTGTCTTCCATGTGAACCAGTCCATCTAGAATATAGAAGGAGGACAAATACAGGTAGATTTACCAAAAAGGTAGCTTGACTCACTTCCATCTAAAATCAAACAGTTATGCCATTGAGGTAGGCCACAACGTCCCCCTGGCGTTTTTAGCTTTTAATTAAGTGCCATTCCGTACACTGTCACCTGATTCAAGGTATTGAATCTTCAGGTGTCTATCATGGTCAGCTGCCTTAATACAGGATGCCTTTCATGTTGGAGTAATGATAGCAATAAAGTTGGTGCATTCCAGAGTCTGGATTACATAAGCTCCTATTAGCCATATATTGCCTTTGTCATACTAAATGAGATGGTACCCGCTACCTTCAAGCTACATAGGTGTGCAAATATGGAGTCAAAAGTGAAAACTTTTCTCCTGCAAGTTAATGCCCCACATGTTTGTTTTAGGACCTAATATGATATCTGCTTCATGTAATTGGGCATTGGGTGAAATGTAGAGCTAAATGTAAAGTAAAAATAACTAAATGTGCAATTAGCTGCAGAGAGAAATAGCAATCATCTCCCCAAGTTTCTGATGACCTCCTCAGTTTTGATACTTGTATGCATCTGCCGTCATTATGGCCAGATATGAAATACAATTATATTAAATGTAGTTATGGAGCTAGAAATCTACCACATGTATTTAATAAAGTTCAGTAAATTATAACAATTATTATTGTTATAATAATAATTATTATTATTATTATTCAATTTTTTGAAGATAATGTAATTACTTCACTTTCTGATATTTACAAGAAATGAAAACAGTTAAAAACCACTGATTGATGTTGAGAACATTATGTGCAAGCATGTATTAAAGTGAGGAAACTGTAGCTTACACAGCGGAAGGACTCAGGATATGTGTGGAAACATCTGATAAGAAAACCTGGCCTTTATTAACTGGGAAGTCTTACCACTGCTGACCAGTAATGTGGTTTATTGGCCCAGAACTACAAGGCCAGATGAAGATTGGGATAAGATAACCCGTGACCTTGCCTCTCACCTCCTATTGACAACATTGGTAAATTAACTGTCAATTTAGTATGTGTTCATGATTTGAAGCCTATAAGTATGCCACGGTAGCAGGGTTATTATTATTTTATGACAGTTTTCATATAAAACAGAATTAGGGTCAAATATCTGATTTGCTCATGCAGACAATATATTGACAACTAAAATACTTTAAAAGATTTAGCCAGTAGGGAAACTAATAAAAGCCCCAAAAAAGGTTGATCCAGTCGGCGTACCTATGGAGACTCCAGTGGTTGTGCAGTATTGTATTGCCTGCCTGATCTGCAGAGATTAACCCCAGTTGGCCTGATCACAGACAAGAAGATAGACCTTAAATATTAGTCAATGGGAACTCATTTTAGATTACTGACAACTCTTTTTAGGAAATGATTTTTTTTTACTTAAATCCCCTTTAAAGCCCTCACAATGTGTGCTTCTCCCCAAGTGATGTCTGTGTTTTGTGTATTAGTCAACACACTGAAAGCTTCCCGTTATTATGTGGTCTCAGCTCATTTCCTCTTCTTACAATGTTCATAATTTGAGACTTTTTTGTGTGGGAAAGAGACTGGCAAAAATAGACACACAAAAGACCTGAACCTCAAGTTAACTGTGTAGATTAGACTCATTGGCAGGTAGTGCACATGCACAGACAGGCAACCATTATCCCCTATTTTGTCCACACACAATTTCCCAACCTATATTGTTTGGCAATTTTTTTCTTTAGGAGAGGTACAAGATGCCTCATCCCATTCAGTTGACTGTTGGGTGACATTACATCAAAACAGAGGTTGTTATTTATATTCCATGTACCATGACGTAATTACTAATAGAATTAAAAGCACCTTATTTATTTGAATACCATATTTTTTCAAAATTTCCTGGTTGCAGTTATTTTCTGATTGGAATTTAGTTTGTTTTTAAATATTTTTGAATCACATTTTCTGTCTTTGTTATGGGATATAAAAGCGAAAAAAGTAAAGTAAAATATAGAGGTGATGTGTTTTCTTTAATTGAAAAGATTTTCTTTTAAAGTTAAAATACCATCTTCATCTTGGCTTGGAGAACATTAAGGAGAAAAAGAGCTTTACACCATTAGTGTAATCTTGATGAAGACTAATTAAGAATCAGATAATTATGATGAAGAGCAAGGATTTGGGACAGATTTAATGAGATAAGGGGGGATAACATGGGTCTTTAACATGTCAACTTGAGATAACACCTTGCCATATGAAATGAAACATGGCTTTGTGATGACGAAATGAAATGGGTAACTTTTACTGGCTAAAATAACTATAAATTATACTCTCACATTTAATACCAAGGTGATACAGTGTTGTTTTTGAAGTGTTGTGGTCATGCACTTGGAGAAAGAATGCCTGGTGTCCACTTCCACTGTCCACTGCCAGGATAGATGACCACGGTCAGCATGTAAAAAAAAATACTTGTAACTGTAACTGTCAAAGTTCTGGCCCTGAGCCCTGCACACAAAGAGATGGATTGGGAGCAGTGGTCGCTGGTAACATAAGGAAGGTCATTATAGCTGAACTTGAGACAAGAATGTCAACTGATGGCTGATAGGGTTGTGTTGTGAAAGATCAAGAGACAAATGTTTTGGATGCTCGTCTCACATTGATGGGCTGCCTTTTGATTTGAGTTCAGCAGGTTGCAATATGAAATGAGTCAGACTATTCCTGTGTATTTGTGAAAAAAAACTAATTTTTAAAAAGGAGAAAAATGGAAAAGAATCCCTTTGTTTTTATTATTTTATTCTGGTCAGAATAGCTGGTTGAGTTCTGAATACAGAAGACTGTTTGTCTTTTGCATATTTTATTCATTTCATCATAGACCATGCCAAGCAAATAATTTCAGCCATAATCTGAAGTGCCTGGACACAGCTCTCTCTCCAAAGGGACCTGTCCTGACTTGCTTGGCATCACAAGTTAAGACAGATGATTTGATGTTTTGAGCCTGTAAAAATGTTGAATCATTGAGTTAGCCCTACTTTATCCACTAGCCATGAAAATGGATATTAAAATAATTTCAAGGCATAGTCATACTGTACAGGGACAACGAAAGACACTTTCTCCTCGTCTGATAACTAGATTGAGTTGTCTGGGAATTTAGATCCTCTTAGGTATCATGAAGTAAAAGCATCTCAAATATTGTCTTTATAAAAAGTAAGATAAATATACAGTGGCATTTATGAAATGGAACAAACTGAGACTGAACATTGTTTTCATAGTAGTCATGTTTTCCATGAAAATGTTTGTTCATAGAAGATGAAGTGATTACTTGGGGATAGAACCACCCTCCAGGCTTGGCAGGACAGACAGACTTATTGATTGATATGGAAATTAAACACAATAATGTTGACCCATTTCCTAGAATATTACTTGGATAATAATCCCTGTCCTCTGTATGGTACCAGCTTTCTTCTGGGGATCTGGTATTCTCTTGGGGCTATTAGAAATTTACAGTAAAATAAGGTGGTGGTGGTAACTTTGACATTTATTATTGAAATAATGGAACCTAATTTTGTTACCATTGTATAAATGATTGAGACTTGTTTTTCTGTTTTCTCTGGTTGTCAGAAGGAGTGTTTAAGTACCTACCTTCAAGGTGAAATATTTTGCAATTATGTATTTTGCCTCCTATTGATTAGTTAAGATTTAATCCCCCCTTGCATTATTAGCCACTTGAGGCCTTATAACCTTACCATGCAAATAAAGGTAGAAAAATGTTTTGTCAATAGGGGATGAAATTTTGAAATCTCTGTAGCTGATTCAGATTTTTGAAGAGAGATGACCAAATGCCATCTTAATGTATAAGTTTAATCCAGTGTATCTTTTCCCTGGTCTGCCTGGGGCAGTCCAGGTACTTCATTAGCCTTTGATTATATGATAAATCACGTAGACACAATGGTTATATATTGGAGGAGGTAATTGTGGCATCCACAGGGATCATTTGGCTGTCTAAAAGCTTTCAGGTCTGAATAGTGGTACTCAGCCACTGTATCCAGGTGTATTACCTTACTGCACTGTCATGTATCATCTTGATAAACTAGATCTCTATGAGCATCTCTCAATATTGGTATAGAACACTTCATTCTGATGCTGGGATCATCAGTGCAGTCACGCATTTTAATTTGATTTCAAAACTAAATTCATAATTTATTTATTTATTGTATTATTTTATTATTTAACTCTGTATATTGCTCCAAAAGGAAAATGATTTCCGATTTTTATAATTGGCTAAATAAACTCTTACCTTATACATGGTTGCTAGTATCAAAAGTTAAATAATGATAATGTCTGTTTGCTTGTGAAAGCTATCTGTTATAAATCATCTTACATCCAATGGATCCATGACATATTCTCTGCATTAGCTCATTGGAACTGTTCCTAATACTAATGAAGACATTTTTCAGGAGAGAGCGATTTTTTTTTTACTTGCACCAGCACTTAAGCCATGTAGATTTAGCAGGCTGAACTTTTAAAATGCCTATCAAGTGTGATTGTTCCTGAGGTTTCTGTTTTTATTGCTGCACTGTGTCACTCTAGCTTTATTTTGACACAGTCGGTCCCTTAGTCTCTGAGAAGTTTTAATCTCAAAAGAGGAAAGAAGTGTTTCACTTGGGGCAGGAGGTGACTGACACTCTCTCTTGCTTGTCAGCGCTGCAACTTTTGCCCCATTTCCAACTGGTTTTCTTGGCTCCAGTGTTGAAAGATTGTACAGTAAGATAGGAACAAGTGTATTAAGTCTGTATCTTTAATCCACTTCACTGATGAAACAACCTACTGCTCCTGCTCCAGCCAGGCATTATATTTGTGTCTGTTTTATTTTATGAAGCAGTGCTTGAAGTGAATTTCTGACCGATTTTTTTGTCTCCTTCGCAGGTCACCTGGGAGCACTGGACAGTATGCCTGAGGACATCAGTCCTACAGCCAAGTCCATGATAGAACACAGGCAGATGATGTCTGAGATGAGTAAGTGGACAACACTTTGATGATTTTATGCATTGTATTTATTGTTTAGTGTAAGGAAAGTGTTCAGTTTTTAGAAAAATTAAGCTGGTATGGTGTTCTGGGTAACTTTTCTCTTGTTTTTCTCATTGGTTTTTGCACTTTTTAAAAGTGATATTTAGAAAAGTCTTTCAGGTTATCTCTCTGTATATAGTGAGCATAGGTTTTTATTGATAAACAGTTTGTCATGACTTTTGATTGTTTACATCCACTTGAAAGAGGGTGTAAATAAACATCAGAGAGTTTCTATATTTAAAATGGTTCTGTGTCTCTGTTTACTTTTTTCAACTGGGTGTGTTTAGAAAAAAAATGACTGAAACAATACTTTCTTTCTTTATCAGGAACTCAAAATTATGATGTCATCAGATTTGCCACTTACAGAACAGCATGTAAACTTCGCTTCATCCAGAAGAAAACAAACTGTGAGTATTGTGAGCAGAAAGTCTTGGCTGGGCAAACAGAATTATTGATGGGATAAATACAAGTAGAACCACTGGACAAGTACACTTTTCATTAGATATTTTAAATTATACATGATAGACAAATATGAATTAAATTCAGTTTAAGCTTTCCAGAATGTAAAAATTCACACATTCCATCTGTTTTCCTGCCCTTAATGTAATGCAAGTTTGAATCAGTAGAAAGGAATATGTATTCAAAGGGATGTAATTTTCTGCTCAAATTTGACAAATGACTGGAATTCTATCTTTATGCAGAAAGTGTGTAAGGTCATTGCCAGTGTGGCAGTGGAATCTATGGCCTCATTCCCAGTGAAACTGTTAGTCTACATAGATCAATCCAACTCCTCAGGGACCCTTGCTGGATGCAATTACTTTACCAGATTAACTATATATATATATATAGACAGATAGATAGATAGTCAGATAATAGAATACAGAAAAACTGGTGATTATAGGTGTACATTGGAAACAAAAGGAGACATGTTAAACTAATTGCATTCAGTGAAATTCCCTTCGCAGTTGGATCGATCTATGGAGACTGATAGTTTTAATGGAAATGAGCCCTATGATATCTCACTGAGTCTTGAAAACAATACAGTATATAGCCCTAACACGTCTGTCTTGGGAATGTGAGTAAGATGCAGTGTTTTGTGAGGCCCAAGTTTAACAATGTGGAAATGAAAGACCAACTGACATCTTAGATTTTAAGAAAATAAGCAACTGTGTGTACATTGTGTTGTTGCCAGAAACAGTGATATTACACCCTGGTTTTTATACATATTCCCACTTGATGCTTGACATTTATATTTTTTCGTGGAAAAAAAGTTGATGTCTTCAGTATTTGTAATCTGGAATGAAAGATGTAAAAGTCTGGTGAATAAGCTCTTTAGTTTAAACAGTGTGATAAGAATTTCTACATTGTATGATGCTAAGAATTAGGGACAGTAAAAATATTGCATTGACCCTGATTTTCTCTTTTTTATGGGATTCCAAACATTCCACATCTTCCTTTTCAGGGTCAGCCAGGAAAAATAAGACAAGTGTTAAAAGGAAATGTTGCTTTAGTTTTGATTTTGATGAATATATGTTTGGCACATCCTGTTGCGGCTGCTGAAATGGCAACCTCTTTTTTTTTTTCATTAAATACTTGAGTTTTTTTAACCAATTACAGCTTATAGTGGGCTATTTTCTGAAAAAAAAAATGAAAAAATCTCAAAATGGTCAGATATTTCAGTGAATGCTTTACACAATTGATTTTAGCAAAGAAAAAAAATCCTGTTAGTAAAGGAATTCGGTCAAAGCAAAAAAAAGAAAAAAAAAGGGTAGTGCACCCCAGTAATAAATGGTAATGTTATATTTTGCTTTTTTATTGTGTGGATTATGTTTCACTTTAATCTGTTTTATATTATATTTCAGTGGGGCTAGTGGACCTGTGGAATATGATCGAGGCATTCCGAGAGAGTGGCCTCCACACACTAGACCATGGCATGGAAGTGAACATCTCTAAACTACAGTCATTGCTGACAACTATATATTCCCATTTGAACAAGAGGCTACCTCCCAACCAGCAGATTAATGTAGACAAAAGCATTAATTTAACCCTCAGCTGGTTGCTGAGTGCTTGTGAAAAGTAACTATCTGCTGTAATATTTATAAGTTGAGTTAATTATTTGATAGGTAGCTTTTAGAAAATGTCAGAATTGTTTGTTATGACTTGCAGTATGGAGCAGTATGTATTAATGTGCATCAAGTGATTCTGAAAGGACTGTCTTGTCAGCATTGCTGATTTGATTTGGTGAAGACGATTCTGACTGTTGAGACAGGTTTTTCTACTGCAATTGCCAATTTTTCATATCCCATGATTTTAAAACAGCATTAGAAAGTTCATGTAAGATGAATATGCAGAAAAGCTTTTTGTAATGATATTCTGCAGAAAATGCCATATTTTTACTTAAATGTGTACTTTTTGTTTCATTTTAGAAAAAGCAAAGGCAAAATGAGAGTGTTTTTCATCAAAGTCAGCCTCACCACTATGTGTGCTGGAAAACTGATGGACAAACTAAGGTGTACGTACATATTTCCTCAGTAAGTCAGAAGTAAAGCAAGTTATAAGCAAAAAGTAGTCATGTTTGTGCAATCAAAGAAAAAAACTTTGAACACAAAGTTTTAAAATACATATCCCAGAAAACAGAAACATTTAGTATAGTTTACTTGTATGAAATGTTTTAAATGTTAGTTATGGTTAGTTATTCTCCTGTATTTCAGATATGTTCACCCAGGTGTCAGACTCAAGTGGATCATTGGTGAAAAGCAAGTTTGAAGATTACCTGAAGGCCATTCTGTCCCTGCCAGGGTCTATATATGAGGGGCCCTCATTCCACTACACTGACACAGCAGCCAGGGCTTGCTTTAATGGGGTGAGTGGGAGAATTTACAGGGAGGTTTCAGGGAAGTGAGAAAATAATAAATACAAACCATTTTATGTGAAACCTTTTATGTTAAATGTGTAACTATTTTTATTTTGCAACTTTTGACTAACACTGAAAGGAAAAATGATCGTGTAATAAATATATTTGTCGATCCTTCACTAAGATTTTAATACCAATTAACAAGTGCTGTGCTAAATACTCTTTTTATTGCATAATGCAACTGCTTGTTGTTGCAAGAAATGGACATCATAATCATCATCATCATTATTATTATTATTAGATGCCTTACAAAATACCAGAACATACAAAATACCACGGGACATAAATGCAAGCAATCTCAAAAGAAATTAGAAATATTTTTGTTAGATTTTTTAACAAAGACAATCATGTCTACTTAATCTTTAATGAAAATCTTCTTATTCTATTTCAGAAGAACAAAGTGACCCTGAATGACTTCCTGGACACTCTGATGGCAGACCCAGGTCCTCAGTGTTTGATGTGGTTACCCATACTGCACAGGATGGCTGCTGTGGAGAATGGTCAGTATTTCTGGCTCTGTCCCTGGGAAAATCTTGCTAATTGCCTGTTTTGTTGAATAAATAAATGTATTTATAAGAGAGATATTTTTTACTTATTTTGAAATGAACGTGCAAAGTTTGCATGAAAAATTGGATAGAAGTGCAAAATAAATTAGAAAAGACTTTTGTCATTGGTGTTCTGAAATTTGTTAATGCTTGATTGATAACTGCCATGTGTAATGTGTACCATTTAGTAGCAGATTAATTTAAACAGGTTAAGAGGTTAAGTGATACAGGGAATAAAGATTTAATACAGGTTTTGTCTGATGGGAATAAGCAACACATTTCTTTATTTAAAGTTAATGAAAGTTGATGCAATGTTCTAAGATTCTCAGAAATTGCAATATCACCATGTTAATGTTGTAATTGGTAACCAAGATTGATTGGAACTTTGGCTGGCATGTTATAATTGCTCTGTAACACTCAGAAGTCTAAGCCAGCCTGATATAAATCTAACACTTGGCTTCTGTTCAATGATAAAATCTTTTGAAGCTGTAATGACAGCAACTGGAGTTTCTTTTATTGGTTTTTGAACTGTGCTTTTTCAACATAGCCATGTGGATGTGTTGTTTTCCAGTTTTTCACCCAATCCAGTGCGAGGGCTGCAACCGAGATTCGTTCATGGGATTCCGCTACAAGTGCCAGCGCTGTTATAACTACCATTTGTGCCAAGACTGCTTCTGGAGGGGGAGGACATCCGGAAACCATAACAATGACCATGAAATGAAAGAATACTCTTCTTATGTGAGTTGGTAGTTAGAAAGAAATGCTCTTGTGTACTTGCCATTATTTCTGAAGGGAAATTTATGTCTTTATGCGTGATTGAGTTTTCAAATTTGAACTGTTCTGCTGTTAATTCTAATTAGTTGTGTGCATGCTTTTTGACTGAAAATGTTTACGTATTATATGACAAGCAGGTATAGTTTTGATGTTTCCAGGCACTGATGTTTCAAGAATCAATTATAGTTACAGAAATAAAAAAATTTAAGTACTTAAAAGTACTTTTAGTGTAATTATATGGTTTTAGGATAAGGTTTTGAAATAGTTGATAAGTGAGTTGACAAATATTTTACAAAAGTTGAAGTATCTATGGTGGTCTGGTTATCCCATTCATCATTAGCTTGAACATTTACTTCTTTGTTTCATTTTGCTTTCCTGAATCTAAAAAATATTTCCTGTAAAGTCAGAAGCTCAAAAGGTCACTTTCAAAAGTCTTCCTAGAAAATTAGCTGGTGATAAGATAATTTCCTTTGAGACGGCATCAAAATCAGTAAGTTCCTAGAGTGATTTTCTGATGACACCTCTCTGACAATTTCTTGGAAGAGATAAGATGTCTATATTTGAAGTGATTGAATTGTTAGACTGTGGTACACAAGGTGCAAAACACTGGTTAGTGCTAGCCGTGCCATGTTTCCTATACATAAAGATAATAAATAGGTGATATATCATAAAGTGAGAATGATTTAGTAGTTTGAAGTAGTAAGTGCCCATAAACTGTAGTTCATAAAATGAAGAAAGTTCATATAATCTGAAGTAGCAAAGAATATTTTATGTCTTTACCCTCACCCACTCTCTGTCTGTTCTGCCAATAATAAACTCCCTGTATCCTCAGATAATTTTATTCTTTTTTCCTTTTAGTGTGATGGCTGTATTTTTAGTATTCATAGTGGTGCAATAACTTCTTGTCAGTGTTACTGTTTGAAGAGACAGAAAACCCCATGAGGCTTCAGGGCAGTTTTATCAGATCGGAACAGGCAATAACCACTATCGGCTGTAGCTTGAGCTATAAGCCATTTGGAGGTCTCTTACATTCCAAACGTCTTAATCTGTCCTTTTCAATCTTGGGGCCTGAAATTAAATTGGCTTATTATCTTAATAATCTTGTCAGAGATTGATCTCTGTAATGCACATATGTGGATGAACCAGCAACAATTTACATTGTTTAATGTGATGAAATGTTTTAGGAGGCAGCTTTCTGTCTGTCTTATGGTCCCATTTGGAGGAAAATTGAACCGTCTTTGGTGAGGTCCTTTCATTGTAGTTGCCATCTCAAGGAGGGTGGATAGAGTTCTAGGAAAGATTACCAGGATTAAGAGAAACAAAAATTGGAATGTAAAACTGATGTGAGAAGTGTCATGGTAGTGTCATCACTGCATGAGATATCAAGACAGGCAGCAGTTGAATAGTATTGGCTGTTTAGGGTATCAAGAATGTGGTTCGTACATGCTGCAGGAGCATACAATTCACCACACGCACCACAACCTTCGCAGGTCGTGCATGCAGCACATGCAACTTCTGGAGCACACAAAGTATGCAAGGTTTGGTTGCAAGAACCACTTGGTGTAGAAAAAATAAGAGAAGATTTGAATTTGAATGACCCATGGTAGAACCAGTTAAAGTAATTAGACAAGGTTCTATGAATTCCATATTAGCTTCATATTCCACGGGGTCCCTTCTTCAGATTGTAGGTCACTATTCAGTCATAAAGCATGCCCTTGAGGAATATTTACTTTCTAGAATCTGAGTCAAAACTGTATGAAATGAAACCACCAGCAGCTTATCTTTATGTGCATGCCATTTGTTGTGCATCTGTATTTCCTATTTGTCTGCTTAGGTTATATTACTTAGTGCTTCCTTCAGGGATTTTCAAGTTCTCTGTGTTTTCTGATCCAGGACTACATTATCAGTTTAAGTAGATTGTGCTTCGTTATCTTTCTTTTCTGTCTGCTCCAGGTGGCTGTTGTTTCCTTGTGGTCTCACATTCTCTTTCCTGTTGTATACTTGTGTCAGCTAGCAATGTGTAATCAAGTATTGAAAATGTTTTCCATCTGTTGATAAAAATGATTTTTACATTTATTCAAGAGTTAAAAATGGAGCTGGTATATGTTTATATTGATTATTCAACTTGGAAAAGGGCGTGAGACAATATTATAAGAAGTTATTTTTAATAGTTGAAAAATGTCATGTTTTCATTTCAGGAGAAAAAAAATCACAGTGATTTACAGCATGTGTGGTGTTTTTAACTCTCTTACATAAACTGTGCAGTAAATAGATGTTTCTTTCATTACATTCATGTTTAATTTTACAAATAACTATTTTTTCCATTTAGATAATTTGAGTTATTGACCTTTTTTTCTTCAAATATACAAATTTAGATATTTGAATGGAAATATTTGCTTTACTTTGCAATGAAGCAAGGTTAATCTTTTCCACTGTTTTTCATAATTCCATAGGGATATGCAGAGGTATTATAAAATGTTTGCTTTTACAATTTTGTTACTTATCTACTAATTTATAACTTACTATGTTCTTTGTAACGGGCCTTGGTACTGTCTCCTCTTGATGTAGTAATTCTCATCTGCTTTGACATATAAATTCCTTATCAAACAAAACCAAAATTGATATTGTTCAAATTTTAAATATACTCCTTTAATTGAATTGTTTTAATAATAAGTAAATTTAAGTAAATCCTCGTGCACCTTTTGATGTAAATTTGATTACAAGTCCTTTTGGGAAAAGGATTTTGGATTTTGTGAAATGCAATCATCAGGAAAAAAAGACATTTGGAACGTACATGAGATTGATATTTTGTCAACTTATCTAACATTTCATTGATCAAATTTACCATACGCAAGCAGAGATTGTAGCACTCTTGTATATTGTTGTCACTGACATGCTATGCCTTTTGACATTTTTCTTGCTGTGCTGTACCAGTAGGACTCTACTATTTCAGTCTCTTATGGTTTTGTGTGGGTTTGTTTTGAATAATTATTACTAACAAATGCTACTGCTTATATCTACATTTGAGAGGTGAACTTTTCTAGATTGATATACTAAAGAGCATGGTATATGAGAGCAATAACTTAATATAATTAGATACCTATATACGGATATGTGTACGTTCAGGTTTCTGGTGTAGCTTTAGCTGATAGTACAATGGACTCAGTAAATTTATATCAACAAGTTATATATTTTGATGAAAATGAATAATTCTTTATATAACAGATAATTTGAACGGTGTTGTTTGATTGCCTTGCGTTGAAATGGGGTTGAAACTAATCAATGCTCAGCATTTGTGGTCTGTGTTGTTTAACTACTAATGTATTTGGATCTTTGGCATTAAGGAATATGCAAAGAAATAATGGCTTTTTTCTTGCACTCAGCAGAGATATCTAACCAATCGATTTGTCTCTGTTTGAGAGGCTGTGTTTAAACAAGCAAATAAATGAACTATCAATAGCAGTCATTAGTATTGTATACATTTGTATGCGGGTTGAATGTTAGATTACAACAGCCACATATGGGAGTAAAAATTGGAAGATATTTCATTCCTTGTTAAAGTACACAGGAGCTGGGATATTCACTAGGGATTTATCAAGTGGTTGAGTAAGAATATTGCCAAAAACTGATTAGAAAAAAAAATAAATTGGAGATGACTTGTCAGAAGTCTAGAAATGATAGAGCAAGGAAAGGGTCTGTTGATGCACATTATTTACGTATGAGAACGTATTCAGTAAAAAGTTAGACTCAGTATTCAAGACCAGATGCTCTTCAAGTTAGTGATGATCCTTAACTTTGTATTTGAAGAAAGAGGAATGTGAGAATTATTTTTATGTTCATTAAAACAAGGTGAAATGACCACAGCTAATATTTACATAAGAAGACATAATGAACACAATCCAGGCTCACCAATATAAATCATTTCCTTTAAATGCTAAATAAGGGACCTGTGGGACTTGTAGATCTGATTTTACTCTATTTTGCATTTTCCAGAAATCACCAGCCAAACAAATTGGTCATTCACTTCGCAAGTCATTCCGCTGTGTTCCTGCAAAAGCAACAAATAACAAGATTCCAGTATTTCCTGAGACGCCAGAGAAGACATTAGACCTTTCCCATATTGTGTAAGTATATATGGCATGATCTGAATCAATAGTAGCCACAGTTAGAGTTAATGTTGGACGATGGGCGTGGCAAGTTTTATATCACCACAAGGGCCTCAGCTGACCTAGAATATAGGATTGCTGTTGCTCTCATTTCATTTTATACCTGTTGGGTTGGATTAAATTTAATAGATTGCTAATCTTGACTAAGGACTAAAACCAAATATTGAATCGTTAAAAATTTGTTCAGAATTAGATCCAAAGTCTAGTGGTTTTTGCTATTATTTAATCACATTTATTGTTAATATATTTTTAACATTTCTTAAAAGTCTGTATATTATCATTTGAAAGATGATTTTGAATCTACCTATCTATTGATAATTAAAATATTTTGTTGGTGTCTAAATGATTGCTTTATTTGCTTTGATTTTTGATGTATATTTTCCAGATGTGCTTGTATTCGTTTTGATGTAGCATCTTTGAAAGATTTGAGATTTTTTATGCAAAGGATATAGAACTATTTATAAATGATAGCATATTACTGATGTGAGAATTGGAAAGAAAACGATGATTTTATACTAGTCACTCTATTTCATAGTTGAAAATTGTATCCACTGCGATAATGTATGATTCATAACTAATGACAGTAGAGAGAATTTTCCAATAAGATTGTAATTGGTTTTAGAAAAGCAAGTTCTAAGCGGAAATTCAGCATTAGTTCTGAAATGAGAAAAGCTCTTGACCTTTCAGTATAATGAGACTGTGCTCAAGCACTGACTGGCAGCCGATCTATTTGGGAAGTCATTTAGTGTGATCACATCTATGGATTGTGTGTTGTCTGCTTCATCATGAAAATATTCTCAACTTGAATATTATTAATATTATTATTCCACAGTCCTGTAGCCAGGAATATCAAAGTGGTGGTGGGGGGTTGGGGGTGGGTGGTGAAAATATTGAACTTTTTTGCCATAGTGACATAAAAAATACTCAATTTTTGATCTAGGATGGATCTTTTCCAAACCAAACAGGTGGTTTGGTTGGTTGATAAAATGTGTAATGTTTTTCATTATGTGACCTGGGTCATTCCAGGCTAAACTTCCTACAGCTACTATCTCTGTGGCACCTCATTCAGCAGGCATTGTATTTGAAATAAAGACTAAACTTGTATCAGATAATAGCCATAGTTCATGGTAGGTGGAACTTAGGAAAGCAATAGTGCGCAATCAGAACCTTAGTCAAGTGCGCGCCATATTTGATCTGCAGAATAGTTAATCAGTGGATCTACTGGTTCTGAATGTGACCACAGATTACTTGTCCAGCTTTTAACAAGCTTGTTTTTTTTTTCTGTATTTGGTCTCAGGTAATGCAGACTGTTTATCACAAATAAATGATGCTTTATTGATGGGTTTAGAATGGACTTTGATAAAAGCGGATCGCAATTATGGCCTCTTCCTCTCCTAGGATTTTCCTATCATTCATCGGGGGAACTACTGAACTTTACTGACATTTGGACCAGTGGCGCCACAGGTCAGAACTTTCAAAGAAGAAAAACTCTAACCTGCCATCAGCTATATCTTTGTGTTATTAAAATGAACCAAAATGAGTTTGATGTATTGACAGAGCTAGCAGTTAAGCTATTTTTGCCTGTCAGTCAATACATTGGTTTGCCATGTCATTTGATTTTCATTATTGAGATTCCACGCACGAGGCGCAGATGTAGCTGCAAATTACCTAATTTAAAACAAAAAAAAAAGGCTGCAAGGGTATGCTGCTAACTTAACATTGCTTATATGGCTTTTGTCATTTAGCCCAGTTCAATACCAATAATAGTGGTACAAATACAAGATATCTGGACGAGTGGCAAGACTTAATTCAGTTTCTGTAGTTTGGCATTTCTCCTGTTCTGTATTGGTGTAATACCTAGTTCAGCTCATTGCCCTTAAGGCTTTTTCAGAAATTCTTTATCAGTCCTATGATTAAAGCCGTAGTTCATCATTGATTCTAATCTGTGGATGGCTCAGTGCTGTGTGACTCATATACAGAATCCATATCTGAGAATACTGAGAATAACAGGTCTAAGGGATGATGCCATTGTCTACTGAATTCTAATTCTGGAAATCTAGACATCTAGGTGAAATATACGACCATTGCTCTTTATTCGGAATTATTTGGAAAGGGATATTGTTGATGGATTTGAGGGGAAAAAAGCCTTAGTAGGATTTTTTTTCTGATGTTATATAATTTGCGTGGTGATTGATCACGGACCCATCCACTGTCTGGAAGTAGATTCTGTTTCTCTCATGTTATCCAGTTCTTTTACTCACTCTTATTTGGTGAAAATTTCTGCGTTCTGTGAAAAAAATCAGAAACATCAATCTTGTTCTGAAGACAAAAAGATGGAACAGGAATTTGCAGGACACCAGGGTTCTGTTGTAATCACAAAAACAGGAAAAAAACCTCAGAAGACTCCTTCCACGGCAATAATGAGATGAATTGGAAGGCAGTGCTGGTGAGAGGACAGATATTTTAAGAGAGTGCTGTAATAATCAGGACCCATGTGTTCGTGTTTGAATATTAAATCACTACTGGGAAAACTTGCTTCCCTGCTGGAAGAGCGGTTACACCTGAAAAGGTAAAGAAAGATTCCGGAGATGATTTTACTATACCACCTTTATCTCATTAGGGATGTGGGTAATGTTGTGGAGAAATACAATAGTCAGTTTTCAATCGTTTATTTCTGTAGTTTTTTCAGTTTTAAAAGAATTGAGTTGATTAACTAAACTTGCCTCAGATTGTTTCCAAAACCTAATATTGAAATATTTGGCTATGATTATTTTCAGTTTAGCAGTTTTTGACCAAGAAAGTTCTTGTAATATTCCATTTGCACTTAAGCAACTGACATTACCAGATGATAAAATTTTCATTGATAAACGGGTGTCATTGACGTGGGTTTTACATCATTTTCCAAAAATGGCCAACATTTCTTTCTTAGCTGATTTGATTTGTGAATCTTACAATATGTATATTTTAATACTGTGCATGGTAAAATGACCTGATATGTGAAATGATGTATACATAAAGGTATGTAAATAGTGACATGGAATGCATTTGAGAAACATTTAATCCCAGCAATACTTCAGATCTTAAATCACAGTCACAGCAGGGCAGTACAAGGCTCCTTATAATATTTTGCACAAAAAGTAATCTCTTAGAATATGCAAATAAGAAAAAATCCAATATTTCTGAATCCCTTGAGGTGTTCTAAATACAATGCATCTTACCCATTACCAAGTGCACCAGGAACTTCCTGGTGGTGTAGTTTTTTTGAAATACAATATGATTAAATATATCTACATTGTAAGTGAATAGTTGAACCAAGAAAATAAGATACAGTTTGAAGCACCTGCCTATTTACATTTTCCTGGTCTAGTTTCTAATAAAAAAAGTAATAAGTGAAAGTGATGGCATCTTTATTAGAAAAGTTATTCATATAAACATATGAAAGGCTTCCCCATTTACCCTTATCAAAATTTTAACCAATTCAAAATTGAGTTTTGTATGGGCTGGGCAAATGGTGATGTATAATTGTCGTAGTCATAGTCTGTCTTATTTCCCTAATGGTGGATATTGGCTTTGTTATTTAATTGCCTACTTAAAAGTCTACGAGGACTTAGATTTGATGCAATTTATCCCAACCAATTGGTTAACTGACTTTACTTGATGGCTCTGCCCCTAGTTATGAGAATGATGTTAATTGTGTATTAGTATTCATTATTGAGCCTAGACAGAAAAAAAATGTTTCATATGTCACTTGTATGCATTTCTTTGATGTTTCTGCATGAACTAAAATTGATACAGAGAATAGGATAATTGCAGTCTTCTTATATGTATAATTATCCTTTTCCTTTCAATCAGCTTAAAACAGTGAATTTTGTTCCTAATTATCTTATGTTATTTTTGAACAACTTAAAATACTTCCAGTTGAAAGAAGATGATGGAAAGGTTGTTTTGTTTCAGTGCACGTATGGAAATAGACACGCATCATAGAGCTGACATGCAAGCTGAATATTCCAAAATTGATTAGCTATCCTTGAAAACTCACTTATAATTGCTGCTTTGTGCCAACTTCAATAAACTGATTTGTGAGTTTGAGAGTACAGAAGCTGAATCCAATTGCCAATGACAGTTCAAGAAAATAGCGAAGTGTTGCTTTCAGAAAGAAACTCCACTTTGGTGAGAAAATATAGAAAGAAGCATGCTGCCATCACACAAACTTCCATGCTAATTAATATAAAAGCTGAAGAACTCCCCGAAAGGAGCTCAGATTGCACTGCAGTCCATTTGAGTAATTAATGTATCAGCTTTTCCCGACCTGACAGGTGTGTTGTTTTCTGATATTTGCAGTCCGCCCACGCCCACTCCAGTCCACAATGGGTTCCCAGAGACAGCTCTGAGCCAGCAGTCCATTGATGTCTCTGAGAACAGCTCTGTCAACAAGAGGTAATGTATGAAGACAGTACAGTGATCAAAGTGAGAGCAATTCAGAAGCTATATAGATGGGTGAAGTTGACATTTGGTTTGATCTTTGATCTAAAAGATGTGTGGTCAGTTGGAAGTATGATTAGGCATATCTGCAGCAGACAGTATGGTAAATGTTATGTGGTGGAAAGCTTTTTTATTTGATGGGTGAAACAGTACTACTAAGCTGATGCTACTGACAACCAGAAGTTACGCTGAGTTTTTATATGGAAACTACAATTAGTTTTATACTAATCATTGTATGGTTAGTAGGCTATTACATGTATTTTTATTTATTTTTTATATAATTATTTATTTATCATTATATTGATTTTAAAATGTATTCATTAGGTTTTTTATTACAACTACTTTTTTACAAAACAGCAGTACAGCTATTTAATTTTGATAAAAGGCTATGCCGTAAAAGATAATGTGTGGGTATTATGTCTAATTAAGCTCTCCTGCTATTAGATCAATTGTTTGACAGTGTGTGTCTCATTAGTAGCCTATTTCTTTCTACACCATGCTACATAATGATATTATTTACTGTAACCTCTTTACTGAATTAACAGAACACCTGTTATCAAACCTTATTTAATCTTTATTTCCACCTTTCTTCCATCAATATTGATTTGTTTCACAGAAATACCGCAAAAATTTCATTTAACATTGACATATTTTTGAATAAGTCGCTTATGACAGTTATTTGATTGACCCAGCATGCCATCTTTCATCCAATACAATTTAGTAAAATAAGTTGTTCCTTCATGACAAGAAGACAGATGCACTGAAAATGAAGGTTACCCCAATGTGTGTACAGTGCAAGGAAAGGAAGTGCTATTAGTGCTGTGTGTCAGGATCTGATTGATAAAACCCATCACCTTGCATCTGTCAAGATTTATTGTGGCCATCAACTTGTTAAAATGCTGAAAAGTATTGATTAGATTTCCTGTGACACACCTTTCCTTGAATAAGAATGTTATCTGTAAAACACCAGGTATTCAGAGGGAAGAGTTTATTGTTAGTTATCCATGCATGGGGCCTCAACTTAAAGTAAAGTGCCTAGCATATGTATCATAAGACTAATTAGCAACCATGCCTTCCTGGGTCTATTGACTTAAACCCACAGGGCCAAGAACCATGTATTGTAATAAAGGCTTTGATTACTTTACCCTGGGGACTGTTGATTGGAGAAAGTTATCTGAGTTGGCCAACATCTCCATGCATTTTGCATTAAATTCAACATCAGGTGGGAGAAGTCTCCTCACTTAATTAGATATAGTAGGTGGAATACTTCTAGACACTGGGAGAGAAGCAAGCAGTAAGTTTTATATTGGGTGCTTTAAGATTTGTTGGACAAGGAGATGGTTATACTAGTGTCTGTATTTCATCTGTTCAAAGTATATTACAATGAATATCTAATTCCATAATTAGAATGTGGTTGTACAATTCTTGGCAGTGCACAGAAACATTTTACAGTTTCTGTATTGTAAATGCGTTTTGTGTGATTACATGTGATAGCACTTTTGGTGAGACATAGAAGAAATAAGACATTTTTAACATGGTTAAGCTAAAAGGAGTTGCAGTGACAGTGATCTATCTGGCAGCACAAACTTTCTGGTATCATGTCCTGATAATATGGATGATAACCTTTTCTTGCAGTTGATAAATGACATAAAAGGCTGAAATTGAAGTGTCATCTCAAAAACATTTGGACAAAACATTCATGGCTTTGAAAATACTGTATTCATTAACTTTTACAGGTGCTTGACAATGCACAGAATGTCGCAGTTCTATGAATATATGCATGGATGAGTATTGCAATTTTTAATTTGGAAATGGCATATATATATATATATATATATAGAGAGAGAGAGAGAGAGAGAGAGAAAGAGAGAGAGAGAGAGATATTTTTCTTTTTGTTACATTTCCAGATACACAATATCTTTAGTAGTTTTCCTGTTGCATGATACAAAATCAAAGCAATAACATAACATCTACTACAACATCAAAGCACTGACATTACATCTTCCTTGGTATTTCAGCCAAATACATTGTTTCCAACAACATACGTGGGTTTCCTTCAAAAATTGAGTAGATTACATTTCTTTGGTTGTGTTACAATATCATGTTAGAAATACATCAGTGCTGTCTGGTACTGGCATGTTTTTGCAGCATATTCTACCATGTCAGCTGTCTAGGGCACTACCAATCATATAAGAGGGATATTTAATGAGAAAATGAGGCCCCTGTGTCCTTACGCTGAGATGAAGCTTTAGAAAAAAAGCATGTCTTGGTTTAGATATAAAACCATAGGCACGGACATTGGATAGATCGATACAGTAATTTTGTCTGGTATAAGTTTCTGATAGTGACAGCAAGGGCAATTCAGGAGATTGAAACAAACCATTTCAGCACAAATATAGTCAGTAGCAACTCATTACTTTAATTCTGTACTAAATTATTCAGTCGAATTTGATCACTTTATCTCTATTGGATCTGTTTGAAAGATCATTATACTATCTATTCATTTAGAAATTAAAGATTTATTTGATCATTAGCATTCATTTTAAAACGAAGAGCAACACACACACCAAATATATACAATATCTTACAAGTTAATGGAAAGTTTCACTCTTGAATTAGTCTCTTTTCTTTCTGTGTGCATTTGGCATTACCTGCATAAAATCCAATATCATGATGGGAAACCACAAATTCTAATACCACATCAGAATTGAGTCGTACTGTCTCCCACAGACACAGTAATGTAAGACTCTGTGTGAAATCCCAATACTTCTCCATAATGATGACTTCACTGAGACTTGCGTAAAGTCATACAATAAATATTGTAGGCTGAGAACATTGTCCTAAGTGATTATCCTTGTATGAGGTAAATCAATGGAGGGAAACCCATTTAGACTTTCCTGTTATATGTATATTTAGCTTTTCACAGAAGGATATTGCCAATATGACTGATAACTTCTCAGAGAGATTCGCATGTGAGTTTGTCACGGGTAATGCTGAAATATAGTAGTTTTCTTTAAGAATTAAAACATAACTCACATATTGCGCATTACTCATACTTTAGTTGGTGTTAAAGGCTCTGCCTGCACTGTGAGGGAATAATTTACTTTTATTATTATGCCTGATAACTGAAGTTAAGGACTAAATGGTGATTTATGAATGGACTATATTACACTAAAATTTCAAAATTGGTGGAATTCCCTCATCAAAGTAAACTTTATATTGCTCGATTTCAATACCAATTCCATTGATATTCAAAGAGTCTTAGAAGTGTATTAATTAATGGATATCCAGTAATCTTAAATGTTCAATGGTTTAAGTGTAATCTGTTCTCTTTATTTCAGTCCCAGTCGCCTAGCTTCATCTAGTGTTGATGCCAGTCGTATTGACGATGAACATCGTTTGATAGCACGCTATGCGGCAAGACTTGCTGCAGATGCCAGTAATGCTGTAAGTATATATTAAAACAATTGCAGTTAATGGTATAAATGAGAATAATTGTCTTAAAATGATGAAAGTTGGTGGAGAAGGGATCTAGATGAGGTACAGCTATCCTGTGGGTACAGTTTTAGTGGTCTTAAAAGGGCAATCTTATCTTAAATTTTAGCTTAGTTGATCATATGTGGTTTGGTAGGTTGAAAAGTAATGGAGGACAGTGACTACAAAGTGCCCTCAGTCTTAGCCATGTTCTCACATGCAGCGTGGTCTCATATCAAAAAGATCTTTTTTTTTTAATGTGCCAAAAATAGTAAGTTAAAATCATTAAAAAATAGTATATTTTACTACAAGAAAGTACCAAAAAAGGGCAATAAGTTCTTATTCAGTTCATGTTGTATTATGTCAGTGTTAGAGGTATAGAAATGGAATGACCAAGAATTCACAAGATTAAATGCGGAAACGGCTCACTAAGTGGTCTTGAGTTGTAAACAAAATGACTGGGAAATCCAATAACTGCAATTAATTACTATATACATCATACTGGTGGTCAGATCTTCTGGGAGCTGGAACTGAACAAGCTGCACACAATGTTGCATGTTAATGTCTCTTGTCTTTGCCAAAGACGGTGTCCAGGGATTGCTTATTAGTATTATGAGTAAAGTGTCTGTCGCCTAGAATTGTGCTTCTGTGTGTTTGTGTGTGTATTTTTTAACAGTGTTATACAGTGAACTATTTATTATTTTCATATTTTTTGTTGAAATAAAAGCCATCCTTTGTAATTATGATAGATAATGTATACTGGATAAGGAGAAATACAAATTTTAAAAACATTGTTCAGAATTCAAAAATTGCTACAGCTCACTTCTGAATAAATTCTTAAATTCTAAAAATAAAATGTTTTAATATCCAAAGAGTTTCATCCCTCAAATATTTATGGGAGATCAATGTTCTACTGTTCAATATCCTGAATTGCAAATTTAAGGTTCTTTATGTTATGATATGAATCACCAAAAATTAAAACATAAACTGTTTATAGTGATTCAAAAACTGAAATATGTGTGTTATTTATGCAGTTTTATTCATCATTCTCAGCATTACATCAAACTTAATTTTCATCGACTAAACTAGTTAAGATTCCAGTAATGGATAGCAAAGTAGATTTCTGAAATGGTGTGTTTGAAAGTGATAATTGGAAGTCGGATTCAGTAGATAACTTGTTTAAGTTATGTAAGGAAATCTCTTGGCATCATTTGACCTTTTAGATCAAAAGCTTAAACACCTCCAAAGCATCATTGTTATTGTCTTGCCCAGTTATACAGTTGTCTAATCTAGTTAGTGTTGGCAAGGAGTGTTTTAACAAATGAAAAGGAAATAAGAGAAGGAAGTGTGGGACTGAGTGGCTTCTGAAGTGAATGGTACTAATAAGCACAGCCTGACAGCAGAGCACAGAAAAACAAATTATTCTGGACTGAACAGGTAGTCATCAAGGCTGATAGTCATGAGTGGCAGTTTATGTAAAAGTATCCTCCTGTTAGATTTCATCAGACCTGCTATGGTAAGAATCTATACTGAGATCAATGTGTGTGGTTGTTGGTGGGGGGATCCATGCGCTTGCACACTGGTGTTTACTTGGGCGAAAAATCTTTTTGTGTACATGATGCTTTTGCAAACAAAGTACTCTTTGTTGTCAGATAGAATTCATGTACATGTTTTAGGTTGTTGGTTTTGAGGGTAAGATAAAAAGATAAATAGAATATACATGTTTCAAAAGGTGTGCGTTCAGATGTTTTTGGCATACATTGAGATAAAAGCTTTGAACATGCAAATGCATGTGTAATGAGACGCCATTCCTTATTTTTGATGTATATTTAGACATTGATGGAGGTTATTGTCACTTTATTGTAGCCATCGAGTAGCAGTAGTAATGCGTCCCAAAATATCACCCAGATCTTACAACAGCTTCAAGATGTAAGTGCATGTGTAATGATTTTTTTGTGATGTTTTTAGTTGCTTAGTGTAACATTTCTTTCAAGGTGGTGGTCTGAACTTTTTTCTTTGTTTTTTTCTTTGCATTTATAGATTTTTATGTTGCTTCCATAATGGTAACGTTCATTTCAAATGCTTCAAAGACTGTTACTGAAGGTGAAAATTCTTATAAATTTAAATTATCTTAATTTATATAAAATATCTAGTTATTGGCAATGGATTAATGGTTTATATATTTTTTTTGTTAAGACTAAAACTTTTAATGTTGGGAATTTTATTTATGTAGTTCTAAGTTTGTACTTAATTTTGTCAGAGCACCATTTAATTGAGAAAACATTTAGACATTTCCTGAGGCAGTAGTCAGTGCTTTTAGTGCTGTGCATGATTGTTGATAGACTGAAGGTCCTGATTTTATCACTCTGTAAAGATCTAACTTAGAAACTTATATATGATATTGTTGGATCAGATACGTGTTTCTTACTTCTTATAATATATATTTATATATTATACTTATGATGAAAATTTTATACATTACGTAACCTGCAGAGATTGTTTAAAGTCTAGATTTTTGCTGTTGAAGTACTCTGATCTAGTAAATGACAGGGGCAGTGATAACTCACAGTAATCTCTCTTTTGCTTATGTTTTGCTATTTTCCATTAAAAATACATCCTGATATATACTCTCATTGCTTAGTAACAATTGCAAAGCATATCTGATAAATTATGGCTGTTAGAAGATAATGAAGAGACCTATTTTCTTGCATCTGTGAACATCTTGAAATGAAATTCGTGACTGTGTTAATGTATGTATTGAATGATGGATGAATGGTCATAATGTTCTGTCTGTCAGTAAGCTGCATATATTAATAATGATAACCAGTTTATCAGCTGTGAAATCAAACTTCATTTCCATCAGCATTTCACACCAACACAATATGTCAGAAACAGTCATAAACAGTATATCATCAACATTATCACCCACAATATGTCAGCAACAGTCATAAACAGTATAACGTCAACAATATCACACACAATATGTCAGCAATGGTCATAAACAGTATACCATCAATATCACTTACAATATGTCAACCACAGTAGTTGTAAACAGTTAATCATCAAACTTATCACTAACAATATCTGAACAACAGTCATAAACAGTATATCATCAACAATATCACACACGATATATCATCAATAGTCATAATCAGTATATCACTAAAAGTATATCACACACAATATATGTTAGCTGCATTATTACTTGGGGATTTCAGTCATAGCCAGCAACAGAATATGGTTGTAAAATTCATTGATTTTATCTTCAGGCATCTCAGTTTGAGCTGCCTTCTAAATTGGTCCTATGTGTTTTAATTGGTTGTATAATGACGTATGGCAGTGTTCAAAGAAATTGACTTCCTGATTCCATTTGAATAGCGGACTGGAACTCTTTTCTCTGTTATATTAGAGGTTAGAAGTTGAGAGAAAATGACAGTCGCATCCTTAAAGATTGTTCTTGGCAGCTTTTGTTCACTATTTGCGCTCTTTCATGGAATATTGTGTCTTAGTTTTATCTTGTAATTTGTGTAATAAGTTCGATCAATTTAGTTTCTGGTATTACTGTAGGCACGGAGTCCAGTGGAACTGAACTACAGCATGGAGTCCAGCAAGGTGCAGAGAGACATGATTGCCCAGCTGGAGGCCAAAAACAGGTCAGCAGTTTACCACCATTTTTAGTAAGGATTGTATCAAACAGGGCTAGAGATAGAAATTTATTATTTTTATTTTGTGTAAAAACTCAATGGTTGTAAAGGTGTTATTAGTTATGTACATGGTTTCTACTTGTTTCTACTTGTATTCTGGAACAGGTGTGCATTTACAGCAGTGATTCATGCTGTGTTATAATTTATTTTAAATAGACAATTATGAGCAGTAACCCATTTCTGTGGGGAATTATTTACAAAACAAATTGATTATATAAGCTTGTCCAAAATGTTAGGTGTATCAGTAGTGTTTTGATTTGCTTGATTATTTACAAAAATCAAGTGAACTAATGGAATGGGAAACAAACTTAGAATAACGTACAGAAAAGCAGCTGTCAAAACTGCAAAAATGGCAACAACAACAACAACAATAATTAACACACACAGTTACTTGGACACCACAACAACATGAGGAAGAAGTTTGTGTTGTATTATTTCAGGGAGATCATGAGGGAGATCCAGAAACTGAAGGTGGAGCAAGAGGCTGCTGGCAGGGCTAGCAGCGAGGCACAGGCCAACCCCACCTTACTGGCTGAGCTGAGGTTGTTACGACAGCGCAAGGACGAGCTAGAGGGACGCATGTCTGCTTTACAAGAGAGCCGGAGAGAGCTCATGGTGCAATTAGAAAGCCTGATGAAGTTATTAAAGGTGAGAGTTTTTTTCTGACACAAGTTGATAAAATTAAAGCAGAAAGGTTCATCTATTTAATGGCTTTTGTAGTTCATGTTATAGGATTTTACCTTGTATTTTAATCCCATTAGCCTTGTCATTTCATTATTGGAAGTATTTTGACTGCACATTTGTGTATTTGATGGGAAAGAATGGATGATTTATTCTTGAAAGAATCCAAATGAAAAATGGGGCATTGTTGGCTTTAAAATACTGTACAAGAGATGGGCTGTGCCAGTAATTTGGCATTTTATGTATAAAGATACAAAATACTCTGAGGCAGTGCTTGCATGTCAGTGAATAAAGTGCAACAAGTGTGAAAATTCCCAGAAGTTTATGTTTGTGCACCTGTTCCTTGTGCAAACTAATTAACTCCCTAGTGTCATAGTCAGCATCAACATATTTTTATCCCATTGCCATGGAGATTACTGTTTTCCATCAATGTACATAAATTGGTATGCATGTCATTCTTTTTCTCCATTATTGTTAAGGTTCATCTCAGTGGTTTTTTTCTTAGTCACTGAGAACAAGAAATGCAGCAAATAAAATATAAATTGTGTAACTTTCTCCCCCTCGGTGTCAGTGCATACTTGTGTTACACTTTCAGAATCATGGTTCCCCTCGTTCCACTCCGGGAAGCAGCCCCAAGGCCAGAACCTACTCTCCAGTAGCAGTGAAGACCAGTTCTCCCAGCACCCCTGGGGACTCATTGACTGGCGTGGGTGGGGACGTGAGGCAGGCCTTCAGTACCACGCACCATGCCGTGCCAAGTAATGCCAGAAATCTACGGAATGACCTGCTGGTAGCCGCAGACTCGGTCACCAATGCCATGTCATCCCTTGTGAAAGAATTGAACTCAGGTAAGATATATGAGTGACTACTTTGTTTTATTTGTTTGAGCTGGTATGTAAGTAAGTCTGAGACAGGGTACTAGTAAAATACAATAATAAGAGATGTATTAAGTGCACTATCAGGTAATGGTTATTATGTGTATTGTGTAGAAGCAGCTAACCAATTTCAAAAAAGAAAATATCACTTTGGAATATTAAGTTTGATGAAATGATGAAGTGAAATGATCAAAGATAAGTAAGCATTAGCCCTTTTACAATATGATAGTAAAGAATTAATGATGTATTTATTTTTCAGAGGCCTCCAGTGACAGTGAAGACGAGGATAATATTGACAATCATAGAAAGTGCAGTAGAGGTAGGAAGAATTTAGCTTCTTGAATCTTACATGACTGTCATAGAAAAAAGTCATTTTTGTGTTTAGAGTGGAAAATGTTTCATCTTATTTATTTAATGATCACTCTTCAAATCCAAAGTGTTCCTACTGCAATATGTGGTTTCCATTCTAATTTCTTCTGCTTACTTCGTAGGATTTGAGACAGGAGAGAGTTCTGCCATGGAGAGTTCTGATGAAATTATGGGATGGCAGGAAGATGTTCAGAGGAGACTGGGAGAGGAAGCTGCCTTCATTGAGCAAATTCGAGCCAGAAAAGAAAAACCATTAAATCGCGGTCTTGGTGACATAGAGAATGATCAGTATGTTATCTCTTTTATCTTTGGAGATTTCTGTTATACTTTTGATGTGATATATTTAATGAAACAAAAAAAAAAAATAGTGAGCCTTGGTAAAAAAAATTACAAAGAGAATCATTTGATATATCAATCTGATTGGAAAGTTACAAAAATAATCACTATCTTCTCATGTGCAAGTAATTTTTTACTGTATTAAAAAGAAAATTGTAAGATCATTTATGGTCCTTTCAGTTTTAAACAAACAGTTAATAATGTTTTATTTTTTAATTAGTTTTATTTAAATGCTTGATTTACATTATAATCAATATGAATAATAGTAATATTAGCTTTTCTCTATTCAAATCCATTTCATCTCTTCTTTTTCAACAGCTATATTCCAACAGATGATGGGGAGTCATACGTGAGGACTGATGATGAAAGTGTGGGTCTTAACACAGATGACGGAGAGTCTTATATAAGGACAGATGATGAGAGTAATGTCAATACGGAAAATGAAGATGCAGAACTGTATGACCAAGATCCAAAAGTATGTAAATTGCACCATTTTTTGTATTTTTTTATGATATACAGAGAAACTTAAACAATACAGTTTTACTTTGTTTAATAACATGGCTAGGAGTGACTGATCATTTTTATATCTGCACGTCCATAATACTGGGTAACAACATTGGGACATTGGCATCAAAATTCCAACGTGGTGCTGATCTTGTGAACATGCTTTCCGCTAAGAACATGCAATGTATTTTGCTTTATATTCATAAAATTTGGAAAATTTAACATTAAAAACATAAAAAATTATCAGGGAAGAGTACATTTAACTTCACAGAGTTGGGAAAGCATGCTGCGATCCTGAATCGGTGGTTAAACAGCAATGATATGAAATTGTTTTTCGTGAGTTACACGCCAAAAAGTAGGGACAAGATATAGCTAATTTAATTAGTCTCACTTAATATTCATTATGTCATATGTGGAAATTTCCACTATTTACGCTAAGTCCCTGGGCCAAATCTGAATGGGGAAATGAAACTACATGCTAGCTGTGGTTTCGCTGTCGCGCGAGTCTGGAGGAAATTAATCATGATTGGGTCATAACATTTGTGATTAAATTAAATTAAATGACAGGATTTATTTACACATTGTTGTTTTATGAAAAACAGTGTTTTTCAAGTATTTAAATCCCGAAATTGAACCATTTATATAGTATACATGTATGGGAGATAATACTTTGTACTAAAGTTAAAAACGGAAACAATGGTAATGTACAACAACCCGTTTTCTTCACCCATCAAAATTTGCAATGAAGAGCAATTTTAGCTTTTCTCTGGTGTTTGTTTGGAAACACATAATTGTGTGTTATAATATGACAAATCTATCCCCTTTCACATGAAAGCACCCCCATTGTAATCCAACACATAAGAATATTTTGACAGACTTTCAAAGATGATAACCCATGTTGTTACCCAGTATAATAGACATGCAGATATATATTTCATAGTCATGTCCATTAAGTTGAACATTCTCGGAGATGAAATTTTGATGAAATAGCCATTTTGCATGCTATGATCTGATTTTTGGCCTATATATAACATTAAGTACATACTGCATTGCAGGAGCTATTCCCCAGGTACCAAAGTGAAGATGAAAGTTATATGCACAGCGATGCAGAGTCGTATATCAGGACGGATGACGAGGAGGGTGGTAATGCAGAGTGGGAAGAAGCCATGAAAAGATGGGTCAATAGATAGTAGCAAGACCACTGAACTGATTTACAGAATGAATGATGAATGGGTCCAGATTGGTGGAATAAATCATGAATTAAAACTATCACCACATACAGCAGACAAGATCAGTCATTTATCAGGATATGAAAGACTGATACAAATTCAAATTAACAAGAGTCAACACATTTATCATGAACATGTTAAAGAAGTATCTATACTTCAAAATAGAACTTGATTGAAGAGTAATTACCCAGATAATTATTATAAAAAGCTGTTATCTTGTCATACACAAAATTGACATTGTAAGATATGCAAAGCGTGATAGATGTTCCTCATTTTGTGACAAGACCTGTAGTGTGCCAAAGGCTTACAAAAAGTAGATATTTGTTTAGGTATGATTTGTTTACAATAATGCAATGTAATTGATTTATTTTTAAAGAGAATTGGATTGGTACACAGATAGTCAAGGATACTGTCCAAACCTAACTGCAAGATGTGTAAATATCTCTGGATATCGTATTTAATGTGTGCCTTCTGATTTACTTTCTGGAACCAGAATGCTGAACACACTGAACTTCATCCCTTTTTCTCAATTATTCAGTGAACTGCAGAAGTACCCATGCTTGTCTGTAGGGCTAATTAGATCCACACCTTATTTCATAGGAGGTTGTTCCTTTAAGTGGAAGAACTGTTCATGTCTCAAAGTCTTGGAAAGTTTGTGATAACCCCTCTATGCTCATCTTGCAGGTCAGTATTATTCAGGAGAGACGGAGGCAATCTGTGTAAATTTGCTGTCTACTAGTGTACAGAAATGACTGGAAGTAACCATTAAGTAGATGTTTGTAAAGATAAATTTTTAGATGTAGGAACAACTGAAAAGTTGATGATATATTATTTTCTTTTACTGATAGGGATATTTGCAAAATATCACAATATCTCTAGACTTATAAGTGGACTGCTAAATAGGTTCTATTTGAAAATCATAAAACAAAGTAAAATAAACTTTTGAAATGTTCAGGTATTTCCATCATTTGATGGACCAATAAAAAAATTGCTTTTAATTTAGTCTGTCGCAGAAGTGTTAAATGCTGCTTTGCACGTTTTACTATGGGTAATGAATAAATTGTTGATAATCAAATAAAGAATATCGCTGGTATATCATTGTTAAAGCTGTGAATATGCAGGAGATGACTTATGAACTATTTTTGTAAATCACCAATTAGTGAATATTGTGATAGACTAGGCACAATCAGTTGTTTTCTATGTTAATATATCATTGGTACTATTTTATGTTATTTGTGAATTATTTTCTCTCTCCCAAGGTTCAACTGGAGAACACGTTTCTGTATTTACATTATAATTGACTTTTTTTATTTCAAGTTGAAGATTTATATATTTGAACCACAATCAGTTGACTGGGTTAACAGAAGAAAAGTGAAGGGAGAGGAGCAGACATTGTTATTCACTATACAGTACAGTTGTACTACCTTCAAAGCAAGTAACTGGAAACATTTAACCAACATACATGTACCACAGAAAACTGAAAGGTTGTTTGATCAATATCAAATAACACTGGAACATTTTAAGTGTTCTTCTGCTTGTGAAGAGTACTTCTCAACAAATATTGGAAAGTCTAGACATTAAATTGTGCACTTATTTATATTGATTTTAATAACAGAAATGTTTTCAGTGGAATAGCATGTAAAGTTTTAATACTACCTTACTTATGTGCAAGTGTTCATGACTTGAACANATGGTACACAGATAGTCAAGGATACTGTCCAAACCTAACTGCAAAATGTGTAAATATCTCTGGATATCGTATTTAATGTGTGCCTTCTGATTTACTTTCTGGAACCAGAATGCTGAACACACTGAACTTCATCCCTTTTTCTCAAGTATTCAGTGAACTGCAGAAGTACCCATGCTTGTCTGTAGGGCTAATTAGATCCACACCTTATTTCATAGGAGGTTGTTCCTTTAAGTGGAAGAACTGTTCATGTCTCAAAGTCTTGGAAAGTTTGTGATAACCCCTCTATGCTCATCTTGCAGGTCAGTATTATTCAGGAGAGACGGAGGCAATCTGTGTAAATTTGCTGTCTACTAGTGTACAGAAATGACTGGAAGTAACCATTAAGTAGATGTTTGTAAAGATAAATTTTTAGATGTAGGAACAACTGAAAAGTTGATGATATATTATTTTCTTTTACTGATAGGGATATTTGCAAAATATCACAATATCTCTAGACTTATAAGTGGACTGCTAAATAGGTTCTATTTGAAAATCATAAAACAAAGTAAAATAAACTTTTGAAATGTTCAGGTATTTCCATCATTTGATGGACCAATAAAAAAATTGCTTTTAATTTAGTCTGTCGCAGAAGTGTTAAATGCTGCTTTGCACGTTTTACTATGGGTAATGAATAAATTGTTGATAATCAAATAAAGAATATCGCTGGTATATCATTGTTAAAGCTGTGAATATGCAGGAGATGACTTTTGAACTATTTTTGTAAATCACCAATTAGTGAATATTGTGATAGACTAGGCACAATCAGTTGTTTTCTATGTTAATATATCATTGGTACTATTTTATGTTATTTGTGAATTATTTTCTCTCTCCCAAGGTTCAACTGGAGAACACGTTTCTGTATTTACATTATAATTGACTTTTTTTATTTCAAGTTGAAGATTTATATATTTGAACCACAATCAGTTGACTGGGTTAACAGAAGAAAAGTGAAGGGAGAGGAGCAGACATTGTTATTCACTATACAGTACAGTTGTACTACCTTCAAAGCAAGTAACTGGAAACATTTAACCAACATACATGTACCACAGAAAACTGAAAGGTTGTTTGATCAATATCAAATAACACTGGAACATTTTAAGTGTTCTTCTGCTTGTGAAGAGTACTTCTCAACAAATATTGGAAAGTCTAGACATTAAATTGTGCACTTATTTATATTGATTTTAATAACAGAAATGTTTTCAGTGGAATAGCATGTAAAGTTTTAATACTACCTTACTTATGTGCAAGTGTTCATGACTTGAACATAAACATGTTTTCTTATTTGCAGCTTTTTCTTTGTTACCGATTGTTGTCAAATTGCACTATTTTTCTTAATTTGAAAATGTTTGCTTGTTAGTTCTCATAGTTATATCATGTTTAGTTTTACCAGAATCTTTATTATTATTTTGCAAAAGATGGTGAATAAATTGAATTTATATATGAACATGATATACGTAGTTGGTTTTGAATTTACAATTGTGCAACTTCTCCTCTTACTGTAATTACATTTGCTTAGTCTGGAAATATATCCTCAGATATTTTCAATTCTAACTGAAGTTTAAAGGTTGGAATATTTTGAAAAAATAGTTTCTCCCCAGAAAATGTAAATAAAGGCTATCCACCAAGACCACCAAACTGATTGCAAACCATGTCCTTAATCTTGTTTGCAAATTATTTCTTCTAAGAATAAACGGACACCAAACATTCAAAATTGTTACCACACTGATACAGAAAAGCCAGTATCATAAGAGTATAGTCCAACCTTACTAGTAGATTTCTGCATTCAAACAATTCCACAATTTAACAAATTAATGAGAACTGTCCCATATTTATTACCTGCATTGCACTTAAATCACATCTCATTTCACAAATCACTGCTTTTATTTAACAATTCTATTATCACATCGTGTCCTCTTCAGTACATTCTCTTGTATTGATAACAGTAGAACGGAGATCATTCTCTCCCAGAGGAATTTATTTTGGTGATATTCAAAAATTAATATCTGTTTCAGTAGGAAATGATAAGAGAGACAATTTCCTGTGGTGTTTAGCTTTGATAGGGCATTCATTTCTCATCTTTATAAATGCCAGTCAATGTCATCAATATAATCCTTTTCACTTTTCCTTTTTATTCCTGAATTGAAGCACTTGACAGTATCTGCAACAAGAATCCACATCATGATGCCGATGTCCTAAATTTATTCCGTTTAGACTTTGTTTTTGCGGAGCGTTTTTGCCTCCTTTCTGTCTTTTCATTTGGAGCAAGAGGTTTTTGCTTAATTTGTTTTTTTGGTTTATTTGGTGACAAAGGTGCTGTTGATATTTTCTTTGGCTGGCTCTTCTTTACTGCTTTCAATGCACTGGCCCCACTGCTGATGTCTAAAATAATATAAAATAACATTTTAAACATTTTAATAGTCCTTAAAATATTGTAGAAGCTGCACAAGTTCTCCTAACAGACCTAACTTGATATTGTATCTTGGTGGAATAACTGTCAAAGACATCCCAGCTGGTCTTGGATGGAAAACTGAAGACCTGTGGGATGTGTCTAATACAGTAATCTTTTTTAATCTAAGAAAAAAAAACTAACAAAATCAGCTACAGTGTTGTGTCAGTTTACTGCTCATATTGGTTTTTTCCATCTTACCAGGCATCACAGGAGTGACTAGTTTTCCCATCTTAGTTGGATATTTCCCAGAGAAATCCCTGCTGGTGAGAGGTACTTTCAGCATGGCATCCAATGCTGCTCTCATCTGCTTTATTTTCCGCTTTCTTTTTGCCTGCTCAAACCCATCATTTCCAATGTCGTTTTGTCTGAGGCTCAATTAAGGAACTTTTGAATATACTACCATCTTTCTAGTCTAATAAGTTCAATACATTTCCTTGCACATTAATGTGCCAGATTTTCTTTTTTTAACACAAAACCATCTGCCAATCCCCCCCCCCCCCAAAAAAAAAAAAATGCAAAAAGGTTCCTCATTATAACCATTTTCCTGTCCTCGTGAAGGTAATATAAAGGATACATATGTACATCATCCAATTCAATGTCCATCTCTTCTGCAGCTCTTCTAAACCAATCTGTCTTACTCTTATCTTTCCTACACCTGCAGGACAACAAAAACCTGGGTACATCTTAATATCACTTTTCTTTAAATGATTATATGGCAAATGGCACTTTTTTATTGAAAGGGCGGTTTATTTGCAATCATGAGTACACTTATTGATACGAGGATCTACATAACCATGTTTTACATTCTGTCAGTTAAAACACATTCTCACCAGAACCTCCCCTTCTTTCACACCTAATGCACTCTCAAAGCCTTTCATATTATCTTTTTCACAATTCACCTTTCCAAATATAATGACATGCATGCACCGTTGACCCAATTCCTCTGGGCGTGTGTGCATGCCTATATCTCGTGATGTGTGCATGCCCATTTCCACTTATAACATAGTTGGTGCAAGCGTGGCACTATCTGTGAAAAGATGTGAATGCAATAAATGGGTTTACCCTGAATGCATGTCACCAGAAATAGGCACATCATTATCTGCCTATGCTGTCTTTTTCACATTTACCACAATGAAGCCTCGCTTGTAATCAGTGCCCTTGTGATATGCTTACCTGTGTTCTTCTCGATCTATTTCTTTGACCAAGTTTAGTCTGCTTTTGATTGAAGTAATTAGAGCTTGCTCCACAGGAAACACTGACACATCTTCATCTGAAAATACAGGAGACAATTCAACATATCTCTATTTGTTTGTGACTGCAATTCAGAATGTATCTATTGGGGGACAAGAAGGACTACTGCCAACTAGCAAGGTTTCTAAATATGACTGCAGGTCAAATTTATGCCCCACCTTGTGCACAATTTCCAACTTCGGCGACATTTTAATGCCTGCTTCAGTTACATGTTCTAAACATGAAATAAAACAGTCATATATAGCCAATAATATTCAAAATCCTATTAAATGTCATGTAAATAAGTTGCACCTTTAGTACTGTTAAAAGTATCTACCTCTGTTCAGAGTGTGAACTATTTTCTTGTAATTTTTCACATCTTCAGGACTCATCAACATCACACTGAGACCTTCCTTAGAAGCACGAGCAGTGCGACCACTACGATGAATGTAATTCTACAAAAAGAAATGTAAAATAAGTATATAGGTATATTTAAATGGTTCAAGTGAAAATGCCCCCTTGTTGTGTTAATTGCATTAAAATGTTGAACGCAATTCAAATGGGATTTTCATGCTAAATTTTTCTTACTCACAAATCATTGTTTGATATTTTGTACTATTTTAATTTATTTATTTCATTCTTAACAAATGGTTTATTCAAAAGACATTTCAGAAGGAAATATGAATATCAGGAACTTTTATCTGAGGAAATTTTATAGTTTCAAAGATCAGACTTGGGAAAGACAAGTAGGTTTGCAAAATATTGAAATAAAAATGAGCTTTTGACATTTTCCAACACATATTATACCTCTGACTTTAAAATTAAAATTAATATATTAAATGAAAGAGTAAGCAAAAGTACTTACCTCAGAAGTTCTGGGGACCTGGTAGTGAATAACATGCTCCACATTGGGAATGTCCAAACCTCGGGCAGCCACATCAGTGGCCAGCAACAGGCCATGTTTGTCAGCTGAATTACAACACAGAATATGTTAAGTATATACATTAACAAGCAAGGCATGATCCTAATATACTATTAAACCCTGTTAAACCTGGATGTTATTCATATTGGTCAGTTTTAAATAACTGCTTAATGAGATTTCAATTAGTCAAAGAAAAATTACAGTAACAAGAATGACCAAAAATCTGCATTCCATNTTGGTACACAGATAGTCAAGGATACTGTCCAAACCTAACTGCAAGATGTGTAAATATCTCTGGATATCGTATTTAATGTGTGCCTTCTGATTTACTTTCTGGAACCAGAATGCTGAACACACTGAACTTCATCCCTTTTTCTCAATTATTCAGTGACCTGCAGAAGTACCCATGCTTGTCTGTAGGGCTAATTAGATCCACACCTTATTTCATAGGAGGTTGTTCCTTTAAGTGGAAGAACTGTTCATGTCTCAAAGTCTTGGAAAGTTTGTGATAACCCCTCTATGCTCATCTTGCAGGTCAGTATTATTCAGGAGAGACGGAGGCAATCTGTGTAAATTTGCTGTCTACTAGTGTACAGAAATGACTGGAAGTAACCATTAAGTAGATGTTTGTAAAGATAAATTTTTAGATGTAGGAACAACTGAAAAGTTGATGATATATTATTTTCTTTTACTGATAGGGATATTTGCAAAATATCACAATATCTCTAGACTTATAAGTGGACTTCTAAATAGGTTCTATTTGAAAATCATAAAACAAAGTAAAATAAACTTTTGAAATGTTCAGGTATTTCCATCATTTGATGGACCAATAAAAAAATGGCTTTTAATTTAGTCTGTCGCAGAAGTGTTAAATGCTGCTTTGCACGTTTTACTATGGGTAATGAATAAATTGTTGATAATCAAATAAAGAATATCGCTGGTATATCATTGTTAAAGCTGTGAATATGCAGGAGATGACTTATGAACTATTTTTGTAAATCACCAATTAGTGAATATTGTGATAGACTAGGCACAATCAGTTGTTTTCTATGTTAATATATCATTGGTACTATTTTATGTTATTTGTGAATTATTTTCTCTCTCCCAAGGTTCAACTGGAGAACACGTTTCTGTATTTACATTATAATTGACTTTTTTTATTGCAAGTTGAAGATTTATATATTTGAACCGCAATCAGTTGACTGGGTTAACAGAAGAAAAGTGAAGGGAGAGGAGCAGACATTGTTATTCACTGTAAAGTACAGTTGTACTACCTTCAAAGCAAGTAACTGGAAACATTTAACCAACATACATGTACCACAGAAAACTGAAAGGTTGTTTGATCAATATCAGATAACACTGGAACATTTTAAGTGTTCTTCTGCTTGTGAAGAGTACTTCTCAACAAATATTGGAAAGTCTAGACATTAAATTGTGCACTTATTTATATTGATTTTAATAACAGAAATGTTTTCAGTGGAATAGCATGTAAAGTGTTCATGACTTGAACATAAACAAGTTTTCTTATTTGCAGCTTTTTCTTTGTTACCGATTGTTGTCAAATTGCACTATTTTTCTTAATTTGAAAATGTTTGCTTGTTAGTTCTCATAGTTATATCATGTTTAGTTTTACCAGAATCTTTATTATTATTTTGCAAAAGATGGTGAATAAATTGAATTTATATATGAACATGATATACGTAGTTGGTTTTGAATTTACAATTGTGCAACTTCTCCTCTTACTGTAATTACATTTGCTTAGTCTGGAAATATATCCTCAGATATTTTCAATTCTAACTTAAGTTTAAAGGTTGGAATATTTTGAAAAAATAGCTTCTCCCCAGAAAATGTAAATAAAGGCTATCCACCAAGACCACCAAACTGATTGCAAACCATGTCCTTAATCTTGTTTGCAAATTATTTCTTCTAAGAATAAACGGATACCAAACATTCAAAATTGTTACCACACTGATACAGAAAAGCCAGTATCATAAGAGTATAGTCCAACCTTACTAGTAGATTTCTGCATTCAAACAATTCCACAATTTAACAAATTAATGAGAACTGTCCCATATTTATTACCTGCATTGCACTTAAATCACATCTCATTTCACAAATCACTGCTTTTATTTAACAATTCTATTATCACATCGTGTCCTCTTCAGTACATTCTCTTGTATTGATAACAGTAGAACGGAGATCATTCTCTCCCAGAGGAATTTATTTTGGTGATATTCAAAAATTAATATCTGTTTCAGTAGGAAATGATAAGAGAGACAATTTCCTGTGGTCTTTAGCTTTGATAGGGCATTCATTTCTCATCTTTATAAATGCCAGTCAATGTCATCAATATAATCCTTTTCACTTTTCCTTTTTATTCCTGAATTGAAGCACTTGACAGTATCTGCAACAAGAATCCACATCATGATGCCGATGTCCTAAATTTATTCCGTTTAGACTTTGTTTTTGCGGAGCGTTTTTGCCTCCTCTCTGTCTTTTCATTTGGAGCAAGAGGTTTTTGCTTAATTTGTTTTTTTGGTTTATTTGGTGACAAAGGTGCTGTTGATATTTTCTTTGGCTGGCTCTTCTTTACTGCTTTCAATGCACTGGCCCCACTGCTGATGTCTAAAATAATATAAAATAACATTTTAAACATTTTAATAGTCCTTAAAATATTGTAGAAGCTGCACAAGTTCTCTTAACAGACCTAACTTGATATTGTATCTTGGTGGAATAACTGTCAAAGACATCCCAGCTGGTCTTGGATGGAAAACTGAAGACCTGTGGGATGTGTCTAATACAGTAATCTTTTTTAATCTAAGAAAAAAAACTAACAAAATCAGCTACAGTGTTGTGTCAGTTTACTGCTCATATTGGTTTTTTCCATCTTACCAGGCATCACAGGAGTGACTAGTTTTCCCATCTTAGTTGGATATTTCCCAGAGAAATCCCTGCTGGTGAGAGGTACTTTCAGCATGGCATCCAATGCTGCTCTCATCTGCTTTATTTTCCGCTTTCTTTTTGCCTGCTCAAACCCATCATTTCCAATGTCGTTTTGTCTGAGGCTCAATTAAGGAACTTTTGAATATACTAACATCTTTCTAGTCTAATAAGTTCAATACATTTCCATGCACATTAATGTGCCAGATTTTCTTTTTTAACACAAAACCATCTGCCAATTTTTCGCCCCCCAAAAAAAATAATGCAAAAAGGTTCCTCATTATAACCATTTTCCTGTCCTCATGAAGGTAATATAAAGGATACATATGTACATCATCCAATTCAATGTCCATCTCTTCTGCAGCTCTTCTAAACCAATCTGTCTTACTCTTATCTTTCCTACACCTGCAGGACAACAAAACATGGGTACATCTTAATATCACTTTTCTTTAAATGATTATATGGCAAATGGCACTTTTTTATTGAAAGGGCGGTTTATTTGCAATCATGAGTACACTTATTGATACGAGGATCTGCATAACCATGTTTTACATTCTGTCAGTTAAAACATATTCTCACCAGAACCTCCCTTTCTTTCACACCTAATGCACTCTTAAAGCCTTTCATATTATCTTTTTCACAATTCACCTTTCCAAATATAATGACATGCATGCACCGTTAACCCAATTCCTCTGGGCGTGTGTGCATGCCTATATCTCGTGATGTGTGCATGCCCATTTCCACTTATAACATAGTTGGTGCAAGCGTGGCATTATCTGTGAAAAGATGTGAATGCAATAAATGGGTTTATCCTGCATGCATGTCACCAGAAATAGGCACATCATTATCTGCCTATGCTGTCTTTTTCACATTTATCACAATGAAGCCTCGCTTGTTATCAGTGCCCTTGTGATATGCTTACCTGTGTTCTTCTCGATCTATTTCTTTGACCAAGTTTAGTCTGCTTTTGATTGAAGTAATTAGGGCTTGCTCCACAGGAAACACTGGCACATCTTCATCTGAAAATACAGGAGACAACGCACCATATCACTATTTGTTTGTGACTGCAATTCAGAATGTATCTATTGGGGGACAAGAAGGACTACTGCCAATTTGCAAGGTTTCTAAATATGACTGCAGGTCAAATTTATGCCTCACCTTGTGCACAATTTCCAACTTCAGCGACATTTTAATGCCTGCTTCAGTTACACGTTCTAAACATGAAATAAAACAGTCATATATAGCCAATAATATTCAAAATCCTATTAAATGTCATGTAAATAAGTTGCACCTTTAGTACTGTTAAAAGTATCTACCTCTGTTCAGAGTGTGAACTATTTTCTTGTAATTTTTCACATCTTCAGGACTCATCAACATCACACTGAGACCTTCCTTAGAAGCACGAGCAGTGCGACCACTACGATGAATGTAATTCTACAAAAAGAAATGTAAAATAAGTATTCAGGTATATTTAAATGGTTCAAGTGAAAATGCCCCCTTGTTGTGTTAATTGCATTAAAATGTTGAACGCAATTCAAATGGGATTTTCATGCTAAATTTTTCTTACTCACAAATCATTGTTTGATATTTTGTACTATTTTAATTAAATTATTTCATTCTTAACAAATGATGGTTTATTCAAAAGACATTTCAGAAGGAAATATGAATATCAGGAAATTTTATTGTTTCAAAGATCAGACTTGGGAAAGACAAGTAGGTTTGCAAAATATTGAAATAAAGCTTTTGAGCTTTTGACATTTTCCAACACACATATTATACCTCTGACTTTAAAATTAAAATTAATATATTAAATGAAAGAGTAAGCAAAAGTACTTACCTCAGAAGTTCTGGGGACCTGGTAGTGAATAACATGCTCCACATTGGGAATGTCCAAACCTCGGGCAGCCACATCAGTGGCCAGCAACAGGCCGCGTTTGTCAGCTGAATTACAACACAGAATATGTTAAGTATATACATTAACAAGCAAGGCATGGTCCTAATATAATGTTAAACCCTGTTAAACCTGGATGTTATTCATATTGGTCAGTTTTAAATAACTGCTTAATGAGATTTCAATTAGTCAAAGAAAAATTACAGTAACAAGAATGACCAAAAATCTGCATTCCATTAAAAAAAATAGTAGAAAATCCCATTCCACATACCTGCAAACCTTTCTAAGTTCTTTAATCTTTGTCTCTGGTGCATATTGGCATGCAGTGTGAGAGGTTTACACTTGAGCAGTGTGAAGATGGAGGCCAGTCTCCGTATACAGTCTATACTGTTGGTAAACACAAGGGTTCTGCCAAGGTATTGGTGGAGGAAGTAATACAGGTAGGCATCCTGGGAGAAATACAAAGATGATCAATTTAAGGTCTTATGTTTATGACACACTTGCAGTATATTTGTAAATTTGAAGATAGTTTCATTGGTTTTCGATAGTTAAAGTTTTCTTTTTTTAAGAAAAATTTGTTGGCATTCCCTTCTTTTAATCTAATATGTGGATCTATCATAAATGAAAACTTTTCAACTAAAGCTAAATAGGAAAAGATATTTTACTGGAGGGAGACTGTTTAAAACCTTACAACATTGCACTAGTGGTACAAAGCTCTAAAATTGTTTAAATATTTCTTTTAGTGTATTTACTTTGGCCTTTTACATGCACAACATTACCTTTTCTTCAGTAGAGCAAGGAATTCTGGTCTCAACTAATCTCTCTGCTGTAGCAGTCTTCCTGGTAAGATCTATGATTTTTGGCTTTTCTTTGATACCTATATCTGCCATCAGAGACTCTGAAAGATAGGTTCACATATATCATGTGAAAGATATATTACTTAAATCTTGTCCATCTTTTAAAAGCATGTCAAGGTATTGCAATATTTTATTGTTAGTAAATATAATTCTAAATTCTATTGATATATTTACCTACATATCTTGCATTTTTCAAATAATACCATTTTCACACGGTAAACTTTCAAAATTTCCATTTAAAGGTTTTATTTTTTAGTTGTTTTAAAAGTACAGACCTAATTTCTGCTCTTGTGTCATTTTAAACTTCTTTTTCTTCTTTTTCATCAGTAAACGCTGAGGTACACTGTGAACAAGGGTTAATGTTGCTGAGAACACAAATGTTTGCCTCTTCTTTTTTTTCTTCTGATCACTTAAAAAATAAAAAGTTTTTTTAGCAGTCAATATAAAAGTAAATCTAATCAAGGAGTCTTTTATTACCATACCTCTTCAATATCTCTCCATTGTGGAAACTGAAAAACCATAAACACCTATTTTAAAATAATATGCAAAACAGAACACAAGACAACACACATTCGAGAACTTACACATCTGTTATACTTTCTGAGCACATACAATACCTGTTTATCATCTCTAGGAGTGAAGACAACTCAGCAAAGTGTCCCTTCTCCACCATTCTGTCTGCTTCATCTATGACCAGGTACTTCAGGGTGTCAACTGTAGACAGGTGGGGGTCACCCTACAGGTACAAGATGCATACCTTCAGATACTACACGCCTTACTGTTTCATTTATAAGAAAAAGGGGTTGTCATATATGCCTTTGTCAAATCAATTAAACCCTTAAACAACAAAGATTACTGTCCTTTTCTGGTCACCAGTCTCAAAACAGAAAGTTCAAAGTAAGTTTGGGAGCTACAGTTTACAAAAAAATTAGGAATAAGTTTATTACAATGCAAATAAAATGAGAGTTTGACCAGGGCAGATCACTGGTATCAAGGTAAATGTGACATGAATACACACCTCTTTAATGAGTTCCCACAGTCTCCCAGGTGTGGCTACCACTATCTCTGGTCTCTTCTTCAGTAATCTTTCCTGCTTCTGCTGGGACATGCCACCCACTACTACTGCTATCTAGAAATATGATTAGAGTTTGAATAGCTCTAATACAGTGAGAATGTCGACCAGAAGACATAGCTCCAGGGCTTCCACTACTACTGCTATCTAGAAACATCATAGTATGAACAGATCTATTATAGTGACAAAGGCAACTAAACAGCCCAGTCCTATGGGTTTACAAAGTCACCTGTTAGTTATATCTTATCCGATTATAATTGATAAAATAGTTAGTGCATTCATTCCAATGCATAGCTATCTAAGCAATCATTTAAAAACAAAACTGTCTAATGATTGCATGTAGCAGGAAATTAATCTGTGGAAGGCTAACTGACAAATGGTTAACATACAGTTCTATAATAAATCAAACTCTGACCTGTATATCTGTATACTTGGAAACTGCCACCAGATGCTGTTTGACTTGCACTGCTAGTTCCCGTGTTGGTGTCAGTATCAAGGCCTCAAGTCCCCTTGGACTAAACAGAGCAGGTGCCTGCTGGGGCTCTGGCTCCAGCCAGTCAAACTGTACATCATTCAGAATTTTCACACAGCCAATGTCATCTTCCTATATGAAAATGCATAAAAATTGTGTATATGTAAAAGGTTATTTGCTGCCTTTTGTCTCATTAGCAGAACAAGAAACGCTACAAGGTGACCTGAGAGTTGTTTTGAGTTTCTAAATGATGCCAGTTTTTGATATATATAATCCAATTGAGAGAATACATGTGACACCATATGCCCTATTGCACAACATTACAGATACCTATTTTCCACAATAAAATTTCTGTAGCAATTTTGTTGATTTTTCTACGTACAAAACCTCACCTTTAACACTGGTAGTTCATCATCTTCATCCCCAGGTGGACGATCAAAACTTCCATCTTCAGACAATTCAGAATCTGACTCTCCGAGTTCATCAACGTCATCATCATCATCATCACTACCCTCTTCATCAACAACCCCCTCCTCTTCATCTTTTTCATTATTTTCATTATCAGTGTCATTATTTTTGTCTTCACTTTCAACAGAGTCTTCTTCCTCCTCACTGTCTGAGCCATCTTTGTTATTTGTGCTTCTTTCTGATCCCAGTGACTTGGACTTGAGGATGTGGTGCAGAATTGGAATACCAAAGGCAAGAGTTTTGCCACTGCCCTGTGAAAAATGTTTGACAAAAATCTTGAAATCCATTTGAATTTCTTTTAACAGTTATCACAGACTATTATTTAAAACTTTTTAACAAAAATTGATTTTAAGTGTAAGATCTGTATGCCTTAAGTAGATAACAAAATTTGTTTTATGTAAGTTAAAATAGAATCCAATAATGAAGAGTCAAGTGACACATTTTACAAAATGTTGAAATTCCAAGATAGTCACTGGCATCTCAAAGTCAAAACCACCTATTCTCAGCATAATAAGAGTAATATATATATATATATATATAGACAATTTGTAGGGGTAAAGGAAACAAACTTACAGTTTCAGCAGCTCCTACAATATCCATCCTATCTCTAATGGCTGATGGTAAAGCCAGTGCCTGGATTGGTGTTGGACTTGAGAAGCCCAATTCTGCAAGTGCTTCCAGAACTGGCTCAGGGACAAAAAGGTCTTTCCAGGCAGAAACATCTATAAAAAATTTGTTCAATATTTACTGTGATTCACCATTCTATAGAGAATTTCCCAACAGTTGTGAAATATATTTGACCTCTGTTGTAGGTGATTATTCTAATTAGCACTCATCAAGAATATTTAAAGTAAGCCACAATTATTATAGATAAAAATTAAATGAGTGGCATTTACCTGTTTTTGTTTCAGTAACATCCTCTTTTTGCTCCTCTTCTGTTATTTTTAGCTTCTTTTTTGGAATCTGTTCCTCAGCTTGATCACACAAAACAGAGAAATAAAACATTCATAATATGAATATAATGAATATTTTGATTTGTCTTTGAACATCTATTAATAACTAAGGATACTGAGATGGACATCAGATTGGGAAATATGAACATCACAAGATCAAGGAGTATCATAACAAACAACCTATAATTACTAGTTTTGTATTAATTATAAATTCTGATACCTTCTCTTCTCCTTTTTTCTGGTTTGAATTTCTTTTTATTTTCATTGCCTTTATTCTTTGAAGTGTTAAGCTTATTTTGCTTCTTTTCAGTCTTTTCATCTTGATCCTCTTCACAGGCATCAAATATTTGAGCTCCACTGACAAATTGTCCTCGTCCAATCTTGTGCTCCTTTTCTTGCAGTTCTCCTTCTTGCTTGGTATTTTTATTCTTTTGTTTCTTCTTTTTCTTCTTTTTATCTGTGTTTTCAGTCTGAGCAGCATGTTGAATTGTTAGATTTTTATTTTCTGATGATTTAGATTTAGTTTTCCCAGATGTTTTTGGACTCTGTTTTGTTCCTTGGTGCTTCTTATCCACAACATCTTTCTTCTCTTTCTTGGTTGTCTTCTTTTTCTAAATAAAAATTCAATCTTTAAAATGCTGTAGGGGTAAAGGAAACAAACTATTCATACTTGCATCTAATTGCTGTTCTACGTGTAAGACTGCTCACGTGTTAATCTTAACAGCAGTGTGTTTCACTCATAATATGTCAGTCACGCTCTTGCTTTTGAGCGCTAACAGTTTCATCTTGTCTTTTTGAACTTCAGTAGAAAAAGTCAACAGTGACGATATTATTTGAAAGTCGTTCAAGAGGAATGAAGTTCAATTACAGAGTTATAAACTACTCTTTCAACGTAAGCTCACGAATGATTTGGGTCTTTCTACTATTAAATTCTAAAATAAACACAATAAGGTGTAAGCTATGGAATGGTCTTAGGGTTGAGTTGGCAACCTGAATCAGCTGTTGGGAAAGGAGCCACATATTACTGGTACAGCTATAAAGTTAAATGTGATAAGTCTACCTTCTCAAGGTCCCCAGGTTTCTTGGAACTGTTGCTTCGAATCAGCTTGTAATCTGTTAATTCTTCCATACAAATAAACCCTTCCATACCGCCATGGGCGAACAAGGAAGGGTCTATTTTGACTGGTTTCCATTCCCCATGTGTTTTGATGGTAGTCGCCATCTTGGATATACTCTCTAACCGTTGCAGGTAATCGGTTTCGCTGGAAAGTTTAAGGGAAATGACATTTAGTTTTCCCAGATGGGGAAAAAGGGGTGTTTGGGGAATAAATTATATGTCTATAATGCTATGTTAGTCAATGGTCTTTCAGAATCAAATATATCAGTAATTCATGCCACATAATCTCCATAAGCCTTTAAAACTGTGTCAAGGTCACTGGCGGGAAAGTAAGAACGGGGTGAAATGCCCAAATTCTTCGATTTATACGGTAAGTCACGAAGCGGTACGTTGATTTTTTAGTCTAAAATTGCAGTGTTTTTAAGTCTTAATAGTTAAGTACAAGTCGTGTTTGTTTTTGGTAACCTGCTGATTTTCTAGATTATGCCGAATGCAACGTACATGTACCCTACGGGTTGACTGCTGTACAGATTCCGATTTCTTTATCAATATATACCGTCACAAATAAATTAAGTAAATCATGGTCATGTACAACTACTTTCCTTGGCACACAAAAAATTAAGCAACACAGATACATAATTGAAAAATATTAATAGTTCAAAGCCATAGGATAATTTTGAGATGACCTAGTGATTAGAGTACTTGACTATAAGCTTGATTTTTAGAGTCAGGACTAGGAGATAGTGGCTGTGATTCACAGCTCATTCTTTTCAAATAGAGAAATTTATCCCATCTGTTTCCAGACAAATATTGACCTGTTGGGAGGTCAACATGGCCTGATATTGACCTGCGCGTGACTGATCTCATCCAAGCAGTGAGCGTCAAAATGTATGATCACATAACAAAGTTTATTATCATACAACTTTTTGTTTGCTTTCAGATGTAAAACTTTTGCCAGTAAGAATCTCTACAGCCATATTCGTCATGGAAGATAGCCATAGATTGTTTCTCCAGGCCTTCATGACACATTATGTGATGTACACTAAGGAGGTGAAGGAACATTTTGCTATGGCATTGAAAAGGTTTGGAGGTAATGTCATTTTGGAACTTTTGGCATTGAGTGGTATGCTTTAGTGATAGAGTCTGTATCAGTTTATTTTATTTTAAAATTAAATTGCTCAAATATTTCTTGTATACGTAATCACTTAAAGGGTACCTCTGTGCTGGACACAAGGCATTAAGTTAAACTTTGCTTCTCAACAGAGAGATTTCTTGTTACACTTTTCATTATTTATCTTTAAAAGTTTGTTTTTACTATTATCTTTATTTTGCAAAGGATTTAAAGAGTGACATTTTTTATTTTATCTAATTTTTTTTTCTTTCATTTTAAATAATATAGGTGATTATGAGCTAGGCTCATTTGTAATCACAATAAATGAAAACATCAAGCCCTTGAACCTGGAGATCAGAAAGGGCATCAGCGAGAAGACAGGAAATCATTGCTACTGCTTGGTAATTAAAAAAAAAAACTCCCAGCATGAATAGAGTTTTATGATTTATAAGTGACAGTCAGTAAATTTGTAAAATTATGTTTTGTATTTTTACTTTGGTCCTTGAAACTTTTGAAAAAAAGAAAACATATGGGTTGTATGCATAGAAAATGATAAAAGTAATTTTCGTAGGTTTTTTTATTTATCAGGTGAACGCAAGTGAAAATCATGGAATACTGAAGCAGTCCTCAGATTACACAGTTAATGAACTGGAATATTTTAAGAAGCTGGTAGGTAATCAGGATTGATAACCAGATCCAATTTAGTTTTAAGAAAAAACTCACTGTAATTTAAGGAGCAGATTTTTTTTTTCTTTTGAAATCTTTAGTCTCAGTCTGGCATTTCAAAGCACAACTGTGTGAAAATAAAAGTTTTGTCTTCTTGGGAAAGAGTTCTAAAGCTCAGAATTCCATGTTTTACTTAAGATATTGATAAATGTCAGTTATCTTCTGTTTGTTTAAATAAGAAAAATTTGTTTTACAAATAACTTATTGTAAGTGACTATCTTTTTGTTTCTCTAGTGTCATATTTTAGCTAAATTTGGTGATTTCAGGTTGGTGAGATTGCCAAGAGCCCAGAGGGTTCCATCTCTTCTGTTGATGCCCTCAACCAAGTGGACAAGCTGGAAAATGTGAAAATGAGCAAAAAAATGGCACAAGATTTGATAGACAGGTTTCAAAAAGACCTCTGGATTATCAGTGTAAGAGATTGATTTTATTTTCTCAGCCTTTATTGTAGTGTTCCTTATGTAGTTTTGGTTTTCTATTGCTGTTAATTGGAAAGTAAAGAAAATTTAGAGAGACTACTTTCATAATATTTTTCAATGACCATTGCTGGTCAAAGTAGTATCCTTCCATCAAGAACTATTTCAAATGGACCAGTACAATAACTTAATGCTCTATTAAGAAAAGTGATATCATATAGTATTACTTCTGTGAAGAATCTCCAGTGAATAGTTTGAACTTTAAACATTTTTGCTTTGTTTCAGGATGTCAATGAAGGGCACATTTCCTTAGACACAAGATGTATACTGGAACTTGGCCACTACTTGAAGGACACTTACGAGGATTTCATAGTCAACTGTGAAATGTGCAAGCAAATCTGTCTACAGGTGGTTTTTACAATTCATTTATAAATTATTCTTTCTACCCGAGGCCAGCTGGGTGATGACGTCATTTTTTCGCAAAAATATGTACAGAATAGTCTAAAAATATTTTTGAGTTTTTAGCAAAAAAAAATGTGTATGCCCTCCAAGTCACAATTGAGTGGCATATGTTTATGTTGTTTGGTAAATGTATGTATACCATTACTTCCTAGAACAGATTCTATATGTGATATGTCACCTGCTTCCACTTAGGGTGTACTCAAAACGAAACTATTGTAGTTGGTAATGAATCAAAGTCAGCAGGGACTCTTGCAGAATGCAGTCAGATTAACTGAATGACGAGCTGCCTCGAACAGCACATGAAACTTACTCACCCCATATATAGCTTTCAGCTAGAGTCCCTGTGGAGTTGAATTGATATACCTAGTATGACAGTTTCATTGTGAATGAGCCCTTAGGCTTATGGTGAACGTTTTACTTAACATGTTCCTGTCAATCATGTAGCCTGTCTTCTACAAGTGCAATATTTGCAAATTATCGTAATAGTCTTAATCAATTCTTAATCTCAATCAAACTAAATAATTGATAATCCAGTTTTAGAATTTCAAAGAATAAAAGTCCTAGTGTAAGGATTTCTATTTGTTCCCTCTCCAGGGTCAGTCCTGTGGTAGTTGTAGAGCCAAACTTCACCACCACTGTGCCGCACGCTGCTTCCGCAATAGAGATAGCCCCAAGTGTCCCGCCAGTGGATGTGGGGCACCATGGCCATATGAACAGCCAGGTTAGTGAGACATTTATTATTATGTTTGGAATCCCCTACCATCCCAGTGGCAGATTTATAGGGGGGGGGGGGGGGGTCAGAAAAAAAATCACACTAATATTCCCTTCTTGAAATATATATATAGTCTGTTTTTGTTTGTTTGGTAAATATTGAGTCGTTATAAAAGTAGAAAATCACTCGGAGAGCACAGGCCTCCACCAAGGCAATTTGATTCTCAATTATAATTTGTGAATTAATTGATAAATTAATAAATGAACTTTATTCTTATTATTATTAATTAACTAATTAATTAGCTAAATTCTCATTGTAATTAACATAATTAATTATCAGTTAATTAATCAAGTTATTGGTTGACTAATTTATAAACTAATCAGTAAGCTAATGCATCTATTAACTACTTAGTATCCATTCAAACATGGCACATTTTCATAAAAATGTCATAAATCCCTCTAACATATGGCATAATATTGCTAACAGACATAATTAATTAATTAACAGATCATCATCAAAATTTTATCACTTTCAAGTTAAGTAATTTCTGACCTATCCTAAAAATTTCTTCAAAATCTGTCCATAACTTTTTGAGTAACCCTGGTAACAAACAGTAAGAGGCAAACAATGTAAAAACATAACCTCCTTGGCAGAGCCATTTAAGGGAGGACTAATTTATGTTGTACAATATGAAGATGACACCACCACTGTAAATGACTATAAATGGATTAAATTCAAATTACAATTACTTTTTACTTTTGTGTAGAATGTTTCATCGGTTTTTCTTTGTCAAAAACATTGCACAAGTGGGTGATATGTTCAAGAAAAAATTAATGCCTAGCTAGCAGAAACCAATAGTTGCAGTAACTATTTTCAGTGGTTTATTGATAATGCAGTCCAAGTCAAAAACTGAGGTGCTAAAATAATTGATGATTGTCTCCTACACTAGGTTGTTTTTTTATTGCAGAAAGAGTTGAACCATCTCAACAACCAACACAAAACCAAGGAAGGAAAAGGAGAAGATGAAAACATGAGTATACTGGGTCACCTAGGCACTGACTGTAGCAGCAAAAAAAATAGGGACCAGGTAGAAAACCTAAAGATGAAGGTGCTGAAGTTGTGTATAGAAATAACATGTTAAAACTGGATATTGTGATATATGTATCATAAGTGGTATTTGCAAATACTTTACTCTTTGTAGCATATATTTCTGTCTGTACAGAAGTGACGTTTAATTTCTTCATTGGAAACTGAAAAAAGTCACAACTATTTGGTTTTATTATCAAAGACTCCAAATTTAAGTCATTAAATTTCATCAGTGTACTTAGTGCATCAGTGTACTTCTTTAATTTCATCAGTGTACAGTGTATATCAGTGTTCTCTGAAAACCAAAAACAAGCATGCAGCATAGAGTATATTGTATGTTTAAATGTTTAGTATGTTTCATGTCTTTAGTTGTGGTCATATTCCCCATATGTCAACCTACAGAACTAATGAGAGGCATTTTTATGCAACACCAGTAGTTGTAGTTTCTTTATTTCTTTATTAAATAAAACGAATAATACAAGATTTACTTGCTGTTCTGCCGACAACCGCTAAAGTAAGTTAAGTCTTGAAAGAGCAATCTTTTCAATCATAATTATAGAGAAGAATTTTTTCGTCACGTTAGATGGACTCAAATGAACTGTACATCAAATTACAAATTCTTAAAAAATAATACGGATTTTACATGTAATCAATTAGCCTTTTCCTAATATTTAACACGGTAATACTGAAAGTCAATGAGCTACATATAACAGCAATATGTAGAAAGAAAACGATACGAGCATGACGAGACTGCCCCATCAGTAACGATAAGCACGTCTTTTAAGTAGCACAGGTTTGCTGTATTTAAACATTTCTGCCCCGTCAAACAAAGTATTAACTCAAAGGAACTACTGATAGCTATGTATATATGTGCCTACCACACTTCATAATTACCAATGATATAATAGGAGTGTTCTTCTTTTGGGGGAGGGGGAATTACGATTCCGATGGCTAAAATCATCACAGAAAATTTTACTAAGTCATTAATGCAAGGGAAATAATTTGCATACCACTCGAAGTTTCTAATAAGATATATTCACATGCGCCGACAAAGATTGCGCAGAATTCATTACCAAATCTCTGCATTATCTTAGAAACACTAAATACGGTAATTTCTGTTACTGAAATAAATTAAGGCCTGTTCGTTAAATCAGGATTATAAAATAAGTGGAATGCATTTAGCGTCTGCGACACGTTAGTGCGAGCAGATCCCATTTTTACACGTTCGTTTGCAGCTGTGTGATGAGGTTGTAGATTTTGAGGGCGGGTCCAAGCTTGATTGACAGCCCAGTGAGTACGTCACTCCTTTTCATCAGCAGTAAGGAGGCGCCATCTATTTCCTAAAAAAAATGAACAACTTGCATCGTGATGCAGAACACTATGGAGACAGAAACACAATTCTGGCGTCATCATTCTGTGCGAACACCGTAAATTACGTACCAACTATACAATTGTCTAGATAAATATTTCACTTGATATAAGTACCCGCATTAGCACGGAGCGCACAATATTCCTTTTCGTGATATTTACGCTTTGTTCAAATAGATGAACAAAAACATACGACAGTGTACACGTCCTAATTATAAAAGAAAAATGCGTCCGCGTCCAGTTAACGCCCTCCCCATCCATCCGGTATTATTTTAAATCACACAAAAATGGCAAGCTTAAACTCTCCAGGGGCGCCAGAGAAGTTCATCTGCCCCGAAACCGCTCCTTACCTGCTCCATGAAACATTCCGCCTGCTCTGCGAAGCCCGCCTTCTTGAAGTATTTGGCCACGTCCTCTATGGTCCATCGCGATGCGTCTTGTCCAGCGGCGTCTGTGTCCGCTGTCACCGCTTTCAGCGGAGATGGGGTCTGGGCCACTGTGAGCGGGAGCTGGGCCGGAGCTTGCACTGAACTGAAAACGTGAATAGTACTTCACAAATATAATCATGCATGTGTCATTGATGCGGAAGCGGTTATATTGAATCCAGTAAACGCTGTTAGCATTACAGTGTTCAGTTTTCATGCGCTATAGCGTCATACATGAATATGACTTTACAACTGGTAAAATAGAAAATATGGTTATTTACCGAATGGTGCATTTTTCAAAAAAGCGAAACGGAGGGGCCTGCATGTCAAACCTTTGCTTGGCACATTAACGTTGTATTGCAAAACCAATGTAGAGTTCTTCGTAACATATTAATTAACACCATGGAGTTACTAGCAAAATCATTTTCATAAGTGAAGATCATTAACACAGTTTCTAGAGCACCATGACAACATGCGCAACATGGCTGGATTCTCCTTTATATATTTCAAACGCGAGGAACCCTGTGCTTACTCTGCGCCAAACGACTCCGGTACTTCCATGGCTACCACCTGTTCCGCCTGGTTAAGTTGGTTATGGCGCGGCTCCACTGACACTGGCGAGTCACTGGGGGTAGGCAGGCATGAGGGACCGTTCCCTTCTAAAACGATACGAACACAACGATTATGTTATGTATTTAGATCTTAGTTTTTAAGCGTCATCTGTTTGGTCCTTCTATACAAAGGACGAACGCCAATCTGTTGACATGACTGACCGATTATTAAAACAGTGACTAAGCAATCACGAAAAAAACCTTTAAAGGGTGTACGAACAAACATGCAAAAACGTACCTGTCTGCTCGTTACGCTCGCTTTCGCTGGAACTAGCGGCGCCCAAGACGTCCTTGCCTACGCCGTCCTCTAAACAAGTAGTGCAAGCCCACTTGCCTACAGTTGAACAAGAATCATTAATTAAAGTGATGTCATTATCACACATAATAAGTTGAATAAGAGGTGAAAGGTACCATTACAATGTTCAGCACTTTCCGCGGGTACCAAGTCCACACATTTTTATTATTATCAATATTTGATAATGATTAATAAAGTTACACTCTATCGTATACAATGTAAGCTACGAAAATTACATTTCGAGAGATAATTAATCTGAAAACGCCTTACCTTTGGGTTTCTGTGACAATGGCGGGTCGTGGCATTTCATGTGATACCCTTTATCGCAAGCGTCACAAAATAGCATGCTGTCCTGAAAGTTGGAAACGTTTGGTAATTTTCAATAAAACGACGGTCCAAAAAATCAAGAAAATAATATCGACAAAGAGAAAATTATTTAAGCTATTGCAAGAAAGAATGTTTTAAAAATCAAGCATACAGAACATAAGGGTAAGACGGACTTTTATAATGAACCGTGTAACAAGACGATGACGATTTTTTGGATTTACCGGATCCCCGGAGTCGTCGCAGACGATGCAGGTCTTGCAGTCGATGCACTGCCAGCCAATAGGAGAGTTTCTCGCGCGACGGGCAAGTTCTGGTGAGTAGTCCATACATGATGGGTGTGCTGTCGTGAAAATAAGTAGAAATATTATATTAGCAGTAAAACGTTTAACAGCTTGAAAATTATTAATTTTATTCTTTTATATTTGGAGCGGGCTGTCTCGCTTATTGCATTTCTCGTAGTTATGAAATTCCTCTTGCGTAAAGCGCAAGTTGGCAAGTTTTTCTTTTATAATAAATCTTTTAATGCTGTTTCACAAAATTTTAGCACTTTAAAATCAAATTATCATTTTATATTCCACCCAATGCCAACAGCACATACCTTTGGCGCTGCAATCCTTGCAGACGAGCAGGTCCTCAGCCTCGCCCTGTCGGTTGTACTCCGGCGGGAGGAGACAAAAGTCACACCTCTCTTCACTTTTCCTCTCGTGTTTGATTTTTGGCTCAAAAGTTTCAAAATCTGGACCATGGCTTTTCTTGAAACGCTGGGAAAAAAAGGAACATGTTGTTATCTATAATGGCATACAATACGGAGAGCCTAACCTTTAGAGGGATGTTTTAGTGAAAATATTTAGAAAAGAAGTAGATGACAACAAGTTTCCATGACACCATGATTTTACAGACTGATATATACATATAGCGCTTTTCCATAACATAACGCAGCCATCGATCAAAATGGACAAAAGCACTTATCTGCCACCCTTTCTTTGAAATTAAAAACTTAATTCAATCGTGCGCACAGGTTTATTGTTCAACAGCCAATATCGACATCGTGATCACTCTTAGCTGATTAATCCACCTTGCTTTCGCATTAATGCATGATATCCCAGTACATCGACATATATGCAACACAATGGTATGTTGGCCCAATTAACATGAATTTGTTGATCTTTTAAACATATTTTAAATAAAAATCTCAATATACCACCGCCGTCAGTAGATATGTTAAAATTAATGATCAATATCAAGACTTCGGCGTGGACTTTTCGCACTCCGACACGACTGTCTATTTAAGCAGTGTTCGCCCTATGCTACTAAATACTGTAACGTGCAACCACATGATTGAGCATTTGCAGCTGATATAGCCGGGTCGAACATCCCAATCTAATTTAGTGCGGGATTTGCATTAGGATGGATGGTGTTGGCTGGATATTAAAAACCCAATGAACACTTATTTCGTACCGCGTAAAATATCTAGCCAGGTTTTCTGTCACTACCACAAAGAGAATATGATTAAGGGCGAATAAAGCCCCATTCGATACGTCCATTTGATTTAACGTAAAGCGCAAATTACTTTCTCGGGGTAAGGTGTGGTATAACATTAATGAGTGACTCTCTCTCTCTTTCTCTCTCTCTCTCTCTCAAACCCTTTCTTCTAAACTGACACAAGGTGGTCCAGTTTCTTCCTTCAAAGCACGCAGGTGTGGACACCGTTGATTGCACGCGCTCCACCCCTCAAAGCATTAAATGAATAAATTTTATTAATTAATAGATAAAGGTCCAGAGAAGTTATATTGTACCGCATTTCATTAATAAAACATTAACCGCTGACGTAATATTTAATGTGTACTTGTAACATAAAACAATGCACGGAATCAGTGAGGTTAACTCCCTGAACGCAAATATTCATCTTCCTGGAACTAAGGTTCTTAACTGCGTCTGTTATGATGATGCGCATCATAGATGTAAATCGCGTGCGCCCCGTTTTAAAAAAACATACATGGCAGCAGGCGCTTATGTACAAGATGAGCACATGCTTGAATTCAGATAAGTGGAAGGAATGATACAACATGCTAAACCAACCTGCGTCTAATTTCCGTCGCCAGTGAATAAAATGCCTGTATTAATCACCGGTCATTTTCTCATCTACACGTACCATTCCCGCTACCGCATATAGTTTCGGTCAGCGTGATAGTTAGGTCACAAGTAGGAGAACTGCCTAAAGCATTTCTATATCCTAGATCACGCGCAGTTCTCACCTACACGAGGGGGATCACTATTATTTCACTAAGCGGCAGTTTTACTTCGGCTTATATGCAACCCGTGCTTCAATCAACAAAGTCCCGCCGCCGACCGCACAGGTGCGCAAAATATAAGCCTTCATATTCTACGCGTTAAATGGGTTCGTTCTCTGTGTGGGACGTGCGCACTTTAGGCTCACTTTCGGAATCGTAATATTCTTAGAGATAAATGATAGGACCATAAATATCTGACGCGGACGCTATTAAAGCCACCAAAATGATATGTATCAGTATGTATCGTTTTGTAAAAGAGCGCGAGTCTATATGGCATATATGCACCGGCTGCCATTGCTTCCATGAATGAACGTGCGCTTGTAAATACAGCGAGGAATGAAAAATCTATATAAGCGTATTATTCTCAGTGGCCCGCTGCCGGGCATAGTTATAGAGAAAAACAGAAAGGCGCATATGTAAAGAAGGAAACAATCGTATGTTAAACGGGTATAAAGAGAAATGTCAAACGAACATAGAGAAAGAAAGTAAAACGGCTATTGCGTAGTCAGTTAGATGAAGGTGATTTATTTGAAATAATCTTATAAAAAGTATGCTGATACGCACCATTCTCTTAGCAGGCCGTCCACGCTTGCTAGGCGTAACCGATTTTCCTGGAGTACTTTTTGGATTTCCACCTGATGACCCTGGTGAGACCAGCGGAGGCGCCGTCGCAGGGGAGGCCGCATTTGTGGGAGACGCAGTTGACAAAACCTTTGCTTTTTTCGTCGAGCCGCTTCGGACATATCTCCCATTAGGTAATTTTTCGAGATATCCAGTGTCTACCTCTCTGTTCAAGGCTATTTGTAGCTGACTTTTCATTAAATGCGAGTCTGTCCCGAGATACTGTTTCTGTATCCACTGCTCAATTTCGTGAATATCCGCCCCCTTTCTTCCCTCTCCATCTTGCTGAGTCAACGCACTCACAGCTTTTTGGATCTTCAGGCTAGCTTCGTTAGAGTTTAAAACGTGCCCTCCTAAGTGGCTTTTTCTCCATTTGGCGGCGTTGCGATAACTATAGTTGCCTTTGTAATCTACCTTGATCACGACCTCGGCGTCCACCAGCTTTTCTAGGTCGGCTTCGATCTCCTCGGAACTTAGCCCATGTTTACGGCCCAGCATGTGACATATTCGCTCAATGTCTGGTCTCGCCTTACGCTTCCGTAGCTGGTCGATCGTCTCGAGAATCAAATCTTTGTTCTTTACCTCAGCCATTTGTGTCACTTAGTAGATCCTCTAACGCGTTTTTCATACAAAAAGGAGCGACTTATTCACTGATATTCAGCGCTCGCGTTAACCGTCGAGGACACGCTGGCCTCAAGTGCGCATGAGCAGATGCGCGCAAAGTTGCATTGTGGGATACAGATACGCGTACTTTTTTGTGCGAATCCCCCACATACGTCCAAAACCCAGGGGATTCTTTGTCACTATCGGTTCCAATCAATGATACAACGAACCCCCTACACATATACGAGCCCACGTTAAACGCGATGCTTTGTTCTCTCTAAGGTAAACAATGCGCGGTTTGTCACGTATAACATAATGACGGGGTAGCTTGACTGACTCGCTGAATAATCCGCACTCGAATGTCTGCCGGCTAAATCAATGGAGCGAGCAGTTGTGGTCGGTTAACAATGGCCATTTCCTTCACAGTTTAAAATCGTCGAGATGCCGATAAGACTCGCTAATCAGACAAATACAATGTCAAATATTTACGAGTCAGACGGTGCTATACATATAGGGGCCTACATGTACGCGTTTATATATATAGGCTCATATAGACCCCCAAAAAAAACCCTATACCTTGGCAGATGCCGTGAAGTAATCTTTTATCTAAATAAACAAAACCACCCACCAAAATATTGAGGCATCAAAACAGGGCCATTTTAACAACATTCTAGCTATATTAACTTTTTATACTGCGTGGATATGCTAGGAAATATGTCTGTATTTGATTGCCAATTTAACAAGAAATTAAGCTGAATAATATGCTGTAGTCCGGGTGTTGCAACAAAGCAGAACAAGGTGAGACCCCCCTAAATATTTTATAGGGCAAGTCAACTGGATTGTAAAGGTAGTCGTCTTTCTTTCTTTCTATAGGCCTGATAAGCGGTAGCCGTTATAATCTTATATAAATGTGCGAAGCGGTAAAACAACTGTTCTTCGGTATATTTAGAGTATGCTTCATGCGAAGTTATATCGCGGCTGTATGAACCTTTGGTGATAAATATACAATGGGTTGAAGCTTAACTAGGGCAGATTATTCTAGTATAGGGCTACAGATGTAGGATTCACTGTGAAAGTGCACGTTATGTTCAGAAGCTTGACAGCATACGTTTTCACGCTGTGTTGTAAGGTTGTATTTCTCGTGTACATCTACTATTAAATAAATGCGCAATGAGTATACATGACTTTGAACGTCAGCGTCTGGGCTCCATTAACAAGGTCTGTTACAATTCAGCGAGAGTCTGTCGTATAAAAATTTAATTTCGAATAGTATAGGCTCATTATTGCGTATCCGAGATACATGTATGCGGTATTTTTAAAAGAGTTATTGTTTTTCTGAACAAAAGCGGTTATCTAACAAGACCATGTGCAGCAATGGGATATATCCGCGAGGTCGTCCGAGTCCAGAAAAATTCCACTGACTTAGTGAACCCGATTCAGTTGATAATGAAGACCTAGGATTGCAGGGCGACTTAATGTAAGCATCTCCGCTTCCACACGCAACACCACACTAAATATGGACACCGCACGAAAGCACCGCACCGCCATAATATTGTTCGCGACACTTGGTGTAGCATAGACTGGAAGTGCTTACAAGGAACGGATCGATGCTGGCAACCCATATATCTAGATATTGATTCGCGCTATATCATGGCCAGCTCAACACAACACGCGTGCACCGACCGGCAATTTCCCCCTTATAGATTATTTTGCTTTTGGTCCCTTTCATTTTCAGTGCTACTACCGACAAGAAAATGGACCTTTAACCGCAGTGATACACAACATAAACTTGAAGCAAATTGCATCAATTGTCTATTATCGAAGAACGCGAACGTTCGATAGATAAATTATATGTATGCCACAAAGCTGCACCACTCCCTGTGTGATGCTTTTCAAACTTTCATCATCTAGATATATTTTAGACCGTTCCGTTTGAAATATCTATTTTTGTTTTATTTTATAAGGTAGTAAGGCTTTTATCATCGGGTCTACAAAAGAAGACAACAAACGATTAAAAATTGGCAGTAAATCAACACAGTTGCGTGTTTTCTTATTTAGGCATGTACGTTACATTAGATAATGTATATACGCACGACCTATGCAGTATCTTTATGTTTACGTATAATCAGTAATAATCTAAACTTGGATCTGAATATTAAACCTGTTTTCAAGGACTTGTCGCTATTATCAGAGGAGGTCACTAGTTCTGCTTGTTCACGCACCTGTTTTGTTAACGAGGATTGCAGTTTACATCAGCGCCAAACACCGCAACCCCCATTATTACAATGCAGGATAACAATCAGTCACCAGACTGGTATATGAAGTCTGGTACGGTCCAGGCGACCTGATGTATTGGTGATAAGTTATCTGCCCCGAGTAAATGAAGATGAAACAAAGCGCGCCCCAACTACCGCCATTGTCGGCTGGCACTCGTTTGATATTCGTGTGTAAAAATTATTTTTTTGGGTACGGTAAACACCGGACATAGTTGCGAAAACAAATAAGAAAAGCCAGTAAAATGAATTTTAAGGATTAATTTACAAATTGCAATTGTATGTTTTAAAAGGAAACATTTGATGGTTTGAAGACATATTTTTTCGCCTTATGTCTCGGCGGGGTTTTTCCCCTGACATGAAATATAAGCCTACTCACAGTCACATATTGAAAAGGCGCCTTTTACAAGCTGAAACACTAGCACTTGTATTTGATTGATCTTTGCTTGACAAAACGCATAAGAAACTGCATGCGTGTATGTATTGTAAATCATATTTCAATTTATAGATACGTATGTGTCCAAAAATGTCACCAGTAAAAATGAGTAAAGTGACAGTGATCGAGCGTTGATAATAAACAGATAGCATTATCAAGCTACACCCCGCAGTTACGATTTTCCAGTAGCGTTTTATGCTACAAGCAGTTATCTGTAATGGTGGCAGAAATTGAAATATTCCGAGATAGCCTACGACGAAACCGTCTACACACGCGTGACGTTATACGACACTAGAAAACGTGTGAGAAGCCGCGCAGGGCAGGGTTTATTTTTTCAGCGATACGTCTGAAACCCTACGCGCTGGGAAGGTTTTTTTAGAAAGCAAAACGAAAATGGTGCGCAAAACGTGGTGATAGAACTTAAGAGAAAAAAATGAAAAAAAATCCGTGGATGATATTTGTCAGCTTTACTGCTTGTCTGTCATTATTTCTGATCCCATTCTCCTCCAAATCTATATCTCGTTTGATTTTAAGCTAAGTCGCGAGACTTTGGGCTATCATAAGTGGTTGTCATTGACCTCCTTGTATGGATATGGACAGGGAATAAGATAATGAAACAGTGAAAAACTACCGTGCTGAAATATTTTATTTGCTTTCCTTTGTTAAGAATAGATGTCCGAAAAAACGGACTTCTGACAATGGCTTAGATTGTACAGTTTTTCATGAATACTATTTCTGAACTTCATCTCTCTGTTATTTCTACGGTTTTATTAGGCTAAAAATTTTGACGAAATTTCAAAAATCGTAAGTTCATAGGCCGTAGCAATACCTCTGATGGTATTGCAGAGTTCCGGTCCGGACATTGTTCGGTGCACGTGGACCTGCGGTGATCGTAAAATGGTCGAATCCGCACGCTATTTACGCAAACCTACTCGCCGTAGCCCGCAGCCATTAACGATGTGGAATAATCGCAAAGAAAAGTGTGTACGATTTCATCAGACTGTGCCCGTGGCAAATGTTATATTACAAAACATGTGACGTTCTGTGTGTGTCTGCGCGCAAATCACCCAGTTACACGAGCGCCTTCAAGTTCCCCGAAGTATCAGATTCTACTTTTTCCAATGAAGACACCTTGCTTTTTCCAAGCAGCGTCGTACAGTTTTTGCTATTCATGAGGAATTAAGAAATCTAGATGGGCGACGCAATTCGTTTATATGCCGTTAGCAATCGATTTTCGCATGATAGAGCTGATGTGTCTGGAACAAGAGTATCCATGATACCACCGAGTTACATGGAATACATTTAGTTTCACAAACTCTGTGCTGTTGCTAAGCATTCGATATTGTTTACTTTTCACAGCAAGAGAAAGCATTTAAAACATACGACAAACATTTCATAAATGACATTTTCATTTATTTCTTTATTTATTTATTTTCAACAATTCTGGTTCTTACCACAAAATTAATAGCCGTCATATTGTAAAGATTAAAGTAAATTTCATCGCCAGGAATTAAGTGTTTTCGATATATTCTTATCGTTGCTGCGCCTCCAATGGATCATTTTTTGTGTACAATTTTATTTTAAGGATACACGGGAACCTTAAAAATCCTTTTTCTTTAACACATTAATTAGCTCTCGGATCAAAACTATTGCACCTGAATTTGTATCGCTCTTTTCTTTCATTTCTTGGGTGTCGTCTGCTTGAAGTTTGTCAACGGCTTTGTCCAACAGGTCGACGCTGAGAACAAACCCGGGTCCTGTCTCTTTTTCATCGGATTTAAACTGGACGGTCAAGGTCGAACTGGATGAGAATATCGTCTGAGGGGTTACGGTGGCTTCATTTGCTAAAAATATGGCGTGGCTCTTTTCTTCGATGACTAAAAAGTCTTTTGGTCGCATGTTGCTCTCAGACAGGAGGAGTTTGAGTTGCTATAAAAGACAGTTGATATTTAGTAAATAACGCAGTACTGATGATAAATAAAATGTACCACTGATTGTAATGTAGTAACACAACGTATGACTGTGGCGACAAAGAAATGGAAATGTGTGTGAATGTAGAAAAACATTTAGCAGTTATCGCTCTTTTTAATTATTTATTTATTTATTTATTTATTTATTGAAAATTGTAATATACCTTTCCTTGCGGGGCTTGTAGAACCCAAGTGCAGTCAAGGCCATTGCTGTAATTTTTCATATCTTTGAACGGATTTAAGACAACTGGCGCCGTCAAGGTCATAGGGGCTACACAGCCTTTCATCTGGTCCTCTATCAAAATAAAGATAAAGCAATTAAAAACAGTAGCAGTGAAGTCATAGTCTCAAAGTCCAATACTGACAAAAATGTTATCATTTCATCCATATTTCTGTGAAAGTTCTCAGGTACAAAGAATGGCAGTGAAAATGATGTACATGTACCGGTAAGTCAATATATTTAAAACATTAAAAATGACGGACGCTTTTACCTTCTTTTGTTTTGGGTTTAAATTCATAGCCTAACTTAAACCCTCTTTTATTTGTGGATTCATCCGAGGCAAAGTGCACCTTGATAGTGTTGCCGTTGGAGACATAGAAAAGAGTCCGTTTACCGCAGTACTTCTTAGAAACGCCGTCCTCGGTGACGCTCAGTGCGTCCAAGCTGCAGTCACTGCTGTCTTCAATATCGATGTATTTCTCGTCTGGTCTGTACTTGTTCATGGGCTCCGAGTATAGAATAATGTACTGAAACACGTAGAGCTAACTGCTATTTCCTTGCCTCCTATGAATGGTGTATTTAATACGTATATATACACATATATGCAAAATGCTGCCTTGCGCAATTCTGTTGCGTTTCTCTTTCAATACTAGGGCGGCACATACGACAATTTTTAAAGAATAAAATCCCAATTGAGGTATTTTTGCATTTTCGTAATCTTTTTATTGCAATGAATACCTGGATTTATCATTTAAAATATCCGTGAAAACATTCATTACAGGTGTGTATGGAACTCCGAAAAAAAAGGATATTTCTTGTGTAAATATCATCAACAGAAATATCATTGTAGTACTGGCAAACTCACGTTATCAGAAGGCGCAGTTATGGTCCAAGTGCAGTCCAGATCATCCCTGTAACCCACGTAGAATTTCCCCTTACGGTAGCTCATCAGGGGGGCGAGCGTGGCCCCCGGCTTGGTAAGGGTGACTCCACCACTACAGGCTGACGGGGCTGTTGAAAACACACGTACGGAAAACATCTTTTTAGTGGGAAGGGATTACAAAACGTCATGAACATCTTTATAGATGGTTTATATCAGTGGTTTAATAAGCTCTACACTGCAGGTATTTATTTTAATGTAAGACAAATGAATACATCTTTTAATTCAGAAATTACTGAAAAAATAAAACAAATTTATTGTATTCGAGTAGGTACTAGTTGTTGCTGGACGACTTCATTTTACCTGGCTTCTCAATAGCTTTAAAATTGACAATAAATCCAGCACGGTTTCCTCCTTCATCTGACTTGAAAGTAAGGAACACTTCACGTCCACTACTTGTAATATTAAACTTGGACAGATAGCTGGCTGAAGAATAACCGCACATGGTTTGCAATCTCTTGGCAGTAGCACTGTCGCCATCATAGATGTTCAGACTGTCATAACCACAGGTACTCTGGCCACGAGGTACCTCAACAGACAGCTTGTCGAATGTCAACAGTACCACCTGCAAATTAAAATAATAATTTTTTTCAATGGAAATTATCCGAGATAGACAAGAATGAAGATGGCTGCACTGCGTCGCGTCCTACGAGACTAGAAAACATGCGAGAATCCGCATCTGGTGAGCTTAACTTTTCAGCGATAAGGATGAAACTCTATGCGCCTGGAATGTTGTCTTAAAAAGGAATACAAATGTGACATGCAAAACAATAAATTCGTATGGTTAAGAAAAAGCAATCAGAAAAATACCCATTGATAAATTCTGTCAGGTTTTATTCGTTGCAGCCCCGCACTCGTTATTATGCCATTATTTCCCACCTTACTCTCTCCAACTTCCGCGATATTTTATGCTAAGACTCCGTTCACATAAAAATTCTATTTTCTAAAAATCTATTTTCTATTCGCGGGATCTTGTGATCACTCCGAGCGCAGCCGAGAATTAATTACAGCTTTGGAAGTAACTGGCTCGCGCTGCCAGTAATTACGCCGCGGGGTATTCAGGGCACAGACCGTGATCACAAGATACCACGAATAGAAAATGGATTTTTAGAAAATAGATTTTTCATGTGAACGAAGCCCAAGACGCGAGACAATGGGCTTGACTCCCATTCGAAGACATCCTTATACCCAATCTAAGTTAAAATTAAAACTTGTATTATGTCTTAGCAAGTAACTCTTAGACAATATTGATCCCGTTTCCTGGCAGTTTCAGCGCATAAAAGGAAGAAATAATAATAAACAGTGCGATCCAAGGCTGTAGTTTGTGGCCTAATATCTACCTTTCCTGCTGGAACGACTATCCTCCACGCACAGTCTTGATTGCTCTTGTATTTTGGAAATGTAATCATACCCGAATTCTTCTCAATAACGGCGGGTCTGCCAATTCCGCATGCTTCATCGTTGATGTGCACTTTACCGCCTGTAAATTATAGGAATTTTTTCATCTGAAAATTTCCGTCAGTGATATCTTTTTAGAATTTTAAATTTTGTCTGCTGATAGTTATACTGATCAGATCATTGACGAATGTGTGTGATTTGGTGTTAAATAGTCCAAACAGCCAAGCACAACTTTTTAAATTAATTCAGTCTTTTTTTTTTGCGGCGTCATGGCCACAATCAATTACCAAAACGTCCAAAGATCGATATGCTACTCCAAGATTTCCACTTCTAGACCACATTGCATCTGCTACAGTGTAACTTCCAGATGTTCATTACATTTTCATTATATATTAAGAGAATGTCACGTCATTCAGTTAAATGTAGCCTAAAAAGTTTGAACGATGTAAAGAGTAATAATAAACGACATTTAAGAACAAGGTGCGCTGAGAGTTACATGTAAAAGAAAACACATATGTTTATCTCACGCAATGGCCAGGTCATATCATATCAATGTGAATGACCATCAACACCAGGCACGGCATGATAAACGACATAGGTGGCAGCACGTGTTGAACAAGCGGTAAAATAAAAAATAAAAAAAGAGAGCTGGAGGTGGGCGAAAATAAACCATGAATTAAAAATATTTATACGAATATTTTCGAACTTTTGGAATTATAAGAGAATTTATGTAATTATAAAATACAAAAAGATTTACAAGAGAATCAAGCAGCATAAGGAGAAAGAAATGAAGTAGAAAGCCAAAAAGGAAAACAAATGCATCCTTCTGGCGCCCCCCCCCCCCCCCCCCTGCCTCGAAATAATATGATACAGTATAACAGGCTTAAATGTGTCTATGAAAAATATCATTGTAAGAGATCACGGGATATTATCAGATATTTCTAAAAGTAGCAATTGAAAGACCTTATGCCATCATGTTCGCATTGGTTAATATGGGCCAATAAAAATGGCGCAGAATTTTACACCAGTCGCCACGTATTAGCGCTTTCCCCTCTTTGTCAGACAAAAATGAAATCTCAAAAGAGAAATCTGAATAATTTCAAGTAGGGGGTGGAGTTGGAAAAGTACGAGGAATTTCCTGATACCATCCAACTATATCTTGCATACTTTGTGAGTAAAATAAAATTATTGCCCGTCTTTCAGAAAAAATATCTATGACCTTCAGGGTTGAAGGACATATTTTAATTCTTTGAAGCCATCGCAAATAAATCAAACCTGAAACCAAGGAGAGATAATATGAATTTATCAGGCAAGCCTGGTGCCATTAAACAACACTATTACATCATTCGTCTTTGTTAACTCTTTTACATTACGAACTTTAATGGGCATTTCACGAGCTTTGACAAATATTTCTCAGTACTTCCCTGACTAACGCGTGAAAACTAACGCGTGAAAGTCTTTTTTTTCTTTTGAAAGATATATTTCTTATTAAAAACGGTGAAATTTAATTTCCAAAAAATTAAAGCAGCATAGAATCTCCCATCTAAATGCATATTTTGGCTCTCTAGAGAACACAGTAAATAGTGTATTTCCATTTGTATAGAATAGGACTGCTTTATGGAGCATTCATTATTCAGAACTTAGACTGAGAAAAGGACCATCCTCAAGGAGACTGAAATATTGGCAGGTGGGTCAATTCGTCTTTGACACTCTTTCTAACATATTTTCTGGCGTCATCAACGTTAGTAATTGTAGCTACCACACTTTAGAGTCATAAGGACACTTTTTACTCAGATCAAAAAGTAAAAATAGACATTTTGATTGTGGACAAAATTCCATTTATGTTATACGTATTTGATACACACGTACAAATTGTTTAAAAGATGATGGAGGATAGACGAGATAAACTTTTCTTTGGCAACAAACAAAGAAAACTGCATTGGACATTCCAAGTCCGTTGTATGTTTCACATACAATAAAATTTATGTACCTACGAATTGCGCGACATTGCTTGTTGAAGTTGTTGGTGTTCGAAGGATTATAGCCACTGGGTTTTTTATAACGATTGCATTTATCAGTGTATGTGATGCGTGCGCACGACAAAACTTAAGCTTTAGTATTATACTAAATAGCGAGAAATTAAAGAACTTTTTGTAGATATAACAAAAGTAATATTCAATGACGATTTCATGAAGGCAACGAACTTCGTAGTGAGATGGCTTGATAAAAACTTCCTACTGGCTGCGTGGTTAATGATATAATGTTGTGAATTCAGATAAGTAAATAATGTGCAACTTAGTTTTACAGGGAGAATTTTTCGTTCTCAGAATGCGCATGCCAGGTAAGAGTTCTTTTATGTTAGTAGTTAATCCCACTGCTTCTCAAATAATAATAGTTATGACAGCGCCTTTAAATGCCGATCCGTGCCGCTAGGTTGCGCAACCCATCTCTGACCGAAAATTCCGCTAGCAGTCTGTTAAAATGTTGTATCGGCCTATCCTTTAGTTTTGTTTACTATTTTAGAGGTCCCTGATATCAGAGGGAAGCGCAACCTCAACATTAAACAAAGATTAAGACCATACCTGAAGCACAGAGTGCAACCGTGGCCAAGATCAGTAGTTGGTACATCTTCAACAGCTACAGGCGTGGAATACTTGTCCAGCGATAGTTCTTCTTTAAATGGCTTTTATATAGTATATGATCTAATAAACCGCCTACACACGGTTTAAAATGATGGTGACTAATAATGCCACTGGTCATGCCACGCTTGGGCAGACGTTAATGTTTTTATTTCTGTTCGTTTCTGCATTTCAGTTTTTTAACCGTGCGCAGAAAGTCTAGGCAGACTCTGAAGAGATGGACACAGTTAATCACGAGGCTGGAATGTTGTTTACGGGTAAAACGTATTAAAACTGACAGTAAGGGGACGAAGGAAGCCCCATCGCCAGAGACATTTATAGGCATAGTCATGAGATCAAAAAGAAAAACTCGCGACAGTGACCCCTTTGGTACCCATAAATTGAAGGGGTTTTTTTTCAATCTATGGTTGACCAGGGCAAAATATTAAAGACAGGTAGAATAAGTGTGAGAACAAGCCAGAAAGACGTCCCAACTAGTGTCGCCTCTCACACCATCATATAAAGATGGACTTAAAGACTAAATTGTATTATAGTAGCGCGTTGTATCCAGGCAAACACATTCAACCAAACTTTTTCCTCTCCTTAAAACCTCATCTTTTTCAAGATCCTTGAAAAAATCCCGATTTCTTTAAGTAATTAAAGATAAAATAATTCAACACTTTATTTACAATAAGAAGATGACACGTACGTAATGTATAAGTTCAGAGCCGCAGCATGGCTCAATGACTCCAGAACGTGTCTACACAGCTTCCCGAATTCAAAAATGACAGAAAAGGAGACGAGAGTAATCTTCTCAACCACATCAATACAAAATATTAATAACTTAAACGTGTATTTAGTCGATTCAACCTGAGTTTTGTATCTCTACAGCTCACCACTTCAGGGCATGTACTAGCAGCTAAGAGTGACGTACAGAAAAAAAAGAAAGAAACCAATAAATAAATAAATAAAAAGTCTCAAAACTTATGGTGCAAAATCCACCCCCATGTTCATCATATTCAGAATAAAGTTATGTATCAAATCTTTCATGTAAACTCACATTAGTTGAATAAAATAATGATATATTTACATAAATCCATAAATTTGTCCTTATATATTAGAATAAATAGAAAGTGCTATCTATGTTACAAAGTGCCACAAACTTCATTGAGCAAAAATGTGGCAATAACTTAAAACAATTCATAGAAAAAAATCTTATATACATTAAATCTATCATTTCTCATAGTGAGCTAAAGGTGAATATTGCCACACATGACAAGAAATTTGTATTGATCTAATTCTAAACAAAAACTTATTTGAATCTAATTCTAAACAAAAATTTAAAGTCCACATTTACAAAACATACCACAAACAAACCCCAAGTCGAAATAAAACAGAAGTATTTGGATAAGTATATCAAATTTTCATAATACAAAAGTTGGCATTACACCAATCTAATAAACAAAAATCGGGTGCACATATATATCAGTTTTTAGTACAAAAATTAACAACACACTTCCCCTACATTTTAATGAAAACCTTTGGAATTCTGTAATATTGAACACACTGGTGTTATCTGAATTGACATTTCCCCTTGTATGAGGGTCCTGAGTTGATCTATACATATCCTTTGAATCTCTAAGGGCAATTGTTGTTCTCCTTCTCTAGCCATTTTTTAAAAGAACTGACATCTCAAATGTCTCTAGTGTCTGTGTATACAAAAAATTCAAAGACGAGAAATTTTACAAAACTGTAAAACATCTGTCAAAAAACAATTCACAAAATGGGAGCCCAATAATTCTACTGGAGATCAGGTTTGAGCTGACAATCACATTTAATAATACTGCGGAGCCTGATACCTGAAGTTTCAGTTATTTATTTATTTGCCTTGGGTTATTGAGATCAAGTGATCTGGACCTCTGGTTGATCCCTGGGTTATGCTGCTGACTTGACTATGGTTTCCATTCTCTGAAATAAATTTTAAATTTTTAAAATTATTTTAAATACTGAGCATTTACCAAGAACTGGTCATACTGTGGCAACCTCCTCCATGTCTCCACAGACCAATGAAAAACGGTGGCCTAGTGGCAAGGACTGGATATGAACAAATACTGTATGTTGATTGGCAAAGAGTTGCTGATAATTGTCAGCACTGGGTCTAATAATCTTGGTGGAGTCTTAGCAGATTAACACAAAATATAAATGTAGTGTGCCATACAGCAAATGATTTCATAAGTCATGTTCTGTGCTAAAAAATTATGACAGGTTCTTTAAACATTAGCAATGATGGAAATCCTGATCCTTACATGTATCCTTACACACTGCCTATGCCTTATTTCCTTTACACACTGACCATATCTCACCTCAGTTAGCATGGTCTTTCCTGTGGTTACTGGCTCAGCAAACTATGTATAAAATATATTTTCTTACACACTGACCATATCTTACCTCAGTTAGCGTGGTCTTGTCATAGTCTTTCCTGTGGTTATAGATGAGCTGGCTCAGCATACTGTGCAGCCTCTCCAGACTCTCCACACACTGACCCTGGGTCAGTTGGACAGTCAACTCCAGTAAGAACCTAAGCCTGTCCTTGTCCACTATTAGTGGAGGCACTGGGTGCTCCAATATGTCCACTGCCCCCTGGTTCTGTTTCAGTTGGGACCGCGTGACCCGCAGGGACGGCAAGGTTTCTGATGAAATTCATAGATAAGAAAATTTGTTACAAAGATGTTTTTTGACCACAGGAAAACTTGGTAGAACATTTTATGTAATTGTTGGTTTCTTGTGTGTGACTATCATTATATGATTCAACAAAATTACTTGAAAAGAAAAAAAAATTATCCCAAGTAGTATGTCAGGAATATAAATCCGACTGTGATAACAGCATAATTTTTACCTTGTTTGTCATCAACATTCATCTCTTCACACGTGTCTGATTTGGCTTCTGTAGTTGTGTGGTTTTCTGGCTTCTAAAAAGAGATAGAGAGGACCATACTTCTCAGAAGTCTACTTCATTCATGGTGCAATTAAGAATATATCACACAAGAGATCTATGGTGTTGAATCTTTTCTGCTTAAAAACATGTCTGTATAATCACATAATCATATCGGAATTTTTTCTAGATAACTTTAGGTTAGGTACCAAGAAAGTCTAACTGAGAACTCACCAGTGGTCCCTCTGTGCTGTCCCTGCTCTCTGCACTCCCAAACCCACTGTCATTACAGCTTAACAGCTCTATTGCTGGTGTCTTGGACACTTCCACCTCTGGTGGAAGGACATCCGTCGACTCTTTCACAACATCATCTTTAGCATGAAGCCTAGAACTTTGCCTGCGGACCTCTGTGGCTTCAGTCATATCAACATCTGAGTTATTATCTCCCTCGGCCTTTGGTCCCTCGGGTGTGGTCTCTGGACTGCTCCTACTTTGTTCCATCTCCTGCTCTTGAGTATCTTCCTTAATATCCTCCAGGTCTTCCTCAACATCCTCAGCGGAGTCCTGTATCTTCCTCCTCATGTGATGATAACGGTGCTTCCGTCTACTTGGCCTGCACCAGATACTCTTGTTCTTTTTGTAAGATCCCGAGGATGAGATACGTTTGGAGCTGACTGGGGTTGCGGACAATGCATTTGCATGGGGTGTTACTTTAGAGTCATCCTTTGAGGTAGAGGTAATGTTGCTGGTTGGTTCAACAGGAGTTGTTGTATTGCTATCACCTGATGGTGTGGATTGGAAAGGTACCACACTGCCCAGTGGCTCTGAGGTAGTATCATCACCCTTTCCTGCCCTAGCCTTGCCATCCTCCCCTACTCCTTCCTGAGATACTGGGTTACTGTTTAATTCTACATCAGACAGGTGCCCCGCGTCCATGCCTCTGACCCTGCGGCTGTAGCGTGTGGGATAGTCTGGGGGGATGCCCACTCCCTGGGGAGGATTGACGCGGGTGTGGTAGTAACTGGGAGCATTTCTGTTGGCCATCTCTCCTGTAAGGATATTAACACAACTTTAACATCAAAACTAAAGAAATACATTTCCCTCTTATAAGAATTCTTTATCCATTACATTATAATAACCTATCAGCATTTATAACTGATGCTAACCTAAAAAAAATCACAACTTTGAACACATGTTCCATGATACAAGGTCACAGAATATAAAATACTTTACTAAATGCCTCAGTTTTGAAAAGAAAAGAAAATGGTGCAAAGGCAATAAGAAACTTACCTCTTCTTTCCCTAGATGCCTTTATCTCCTGACACTGCTGTTCAAACTCCTGGTCCAGTTCTGTGTCTACTATGGCGTGTGCTGTATCTCTCAGTGCACAACCTCTGTGACGAATGGCTCTGCCTGGAAATGAAGTAAACCACTATCAAGTACATGTGAAGCAGCTGTTTTAATTAATTTATTTGTCAAAATAGTAAATAATAAAAGGTTGTTTAAAATTTGACATACTAAGTATAACACTGTACCTATGTACATTCCCTCTGAACTTAACAAATGCAACAGTTTTATCAATCCCAGGATAACAACACATTTCCAGGGATAGTCTTCTCGATAGTTTAACTACACAGGGTGCTACGGTGAGTCTTATCAATGCCACAACAAACTTTTACCAGGGATATCCACAGAATCAAAGTATATATTACAACAAAGGATGTAATGGCTAGCCCACAACACACACTTACCAGCAGGGTCAGTCTCTGGGTTATACTCCAAGGCATTCCTACAGATTAGATCAAAGTCATCCAGGAATTCCTGAACTGTTTGGTAATGATGAAGATCAATCTTACGCATCATCATAGACAGGTCCATGGGAGTCTTGATGATGGTGTAATAATCTGGAACCTGTGAAGAGAAGAAATGAAAGCATCATTAGATATTTTCCACTGACAGGTATTGAATACGTTAAACATAACTGATCAAGACCTCACCATTTTAAATTAACAATAAATAGGAGCATAAGAAAACTGTACATATTCCAGTTCTTGAACATTATTTCTAATAAACAACCTACATGTTTAAGGTGAACATTTTCCATTTCAAAGAGATCCAAGTAAAATTTAACTTACTTCTTCCTCATCAACTGGTTTGGCAAAAATCTGGAATTTCCTGTCCCTTGACAATTTGTTGAGGACATCTCTGAGGAACAACCTGAGCTCTCTCATGGTGCTCTCCTCCTGGTCATATAATTTCTTCAACTCTCTCTCTGTCAGCTTTCTGGGCTCAGGGGGAGGGGCCTTGGGTAACACTTCTAAAGCTCTCAGAGCTGAAAGAAGCCATGATACTCCATTTATCTACTTCTATACAAAATATGCTGTAAAGCAATACATGGTACAATTCTGTAATCAAAATAATATTCAAAACTTACTGCTTTTGACTGTTCACAAAATATATTGCTATTGATATAAAATGATGTATTATTTAGGTACATGAAGAGTTAATCTGTCAAATATGTTTCCATTTCAGTTTTTCAAAAATAGATTCTGACCTGCTTGAACCTTTCTTGTTGGTGGTTTACAAGCCTGGTTGAGAAATAAATCCTCAAAGAATTCCCTTCTTTCAGTTTCACCAGGATTTGACATCTGAACAACTTGTCTGGAATTTGCAGAGAAGAGAAACTGGACCTGGAATTAAACAACAGAATGTAACACAAGAGGCATGGCACAAATATGAACTGAATGTCAATCTAAGGGTGTATTCCCAGAGATTTAGATCGATCCAGAGATTAAGATTTAGATTGACCTACCTCCCTGGGGGAGGTAAATTGCAGTCAGCCGAGCACCCACCATAGTTAATTACCCCCTTACAGCTTTTAGTAGGCGGGACAGACGCTTAAGCCGGCTAAGCTGACAGCAATCTAGTGAGACTCCCCACAGGGATAGATCGATCTTAAATCTATGGGAATGGGATCTAAGCAAACACAAATCATAAGCCTTCACAGGATTTCGGAACCCTGCCTATTACATGTGCGTATACATTTGTACGTGTATACATTCATCATAATATTCGTGTGTGTGTGTGCGTGTGCGTGCATGCATATGTGTATATGCATATCCTTGTGTGTAAATCTTTGAGTATAACCCCTGAGTCTACCTGCACTGGAAGCTCTGTGTATTTTAAGTCACTGGTGGCCAGCAGTAGGATGGGTGCCATGGGTACGAGATCATTTAACATGGTGATGAAGGTTGCCCTGAGGGTATCATGCATCACCTCCCACCACTGGTTGATGTGAGGAACGTAGATTATGCTGGGGCTGGTGCGACGTGCCTCCAGGAAGACCTGAGAAATAAAAGTTTAACAGGAACATGAGCAACATTTGTAAACTGGATTAAATGGGAAATGCAAGTGCATAAATAATGCAACTAAGGAACATGTAATTTATATCACTGAATTTTAATAAGTATTCTGATCAAAAAACAAGAAGCAAACATCAAACAGTCACTAAAATTCACAGATTCATAACAGTACAATCAATGATTCAAATATTCTAAAGAAAAGCAGGCAGTCACCTGAGCACAAGATTCTTCAGGAGTCTTAGCACTGACTGCAAACAGAGACGGTAGGTCTAACACATGGACTGGCATTCTCTCAAAGTGGTGTAATATTGCTGGAGCTAGATGGGAACTCTGACCTTGACCTTCACCTCCAGCCAGCAGAAGTCTGGGTCTGTGTGTAGAGGGCCTCTGGTAGGCAGCGCTAAAGACAACATGGTGTACATTTTGATAAATGTTCGAATAAAAATAAATCGTGAAGCAGTCAAATTGGTGAGTTGCTGTTCTCGGCTTTGTAAGTGATCAATCATTTTGGCATTCAACAAAGACATTTTCTTTTTTTATATGCTCTCTTACAAAATGAACAGCCTCAAATGTTTAAGTTTGGATCTTAAAATTTTATCAAATGGCAATATTTATTTTACCATTGCAGCAAAAGTTACAAAATTATGTAAATACAAAAAAATTCCTCATTTCCATTTCACTTAAATTAACACACCTTGCAAAATTTAGGAAAGGTCCTTGTGGGCTTGTTATTGCTGGGCTCTTTTTCCTCCATCTTCCCTGCTTTGTGGACTCATATATACACATGTCATCTTCATCTTCATCACTCACCATGTCATTACTCTCACTGGACGGTACATCAGATGATGTGGCTGGTTCAAAAAACAACAATGTATCAATTCAGTTGCATAGTTAAGTTCATAAAATTGTTAGCAGGTCATAACTTTGAATTATTTTGAGATTTTTTGATAATAATTTAATATGATGTACTTTTCTTAAGATCATACTTTTTTTTTTAGAAATTCAAAACCTCCAACACATCAAAATCAATCTGTGTAACTCATCTCTGTGAATTTCAGATTCCTTTTTCATTCTTCTCACAACCTATCTTTTAAATGAGAGTATATCTCAATACTTCCATCAAGATTTCATTTACTTCTAATTTATAGTTTATAAAACTCACCCTGATCTTCCAAACTGTTCATTTTGGCCAGATCTGTGGGAAACATAAACCCCAGTGCCTCCAGTGCCTGATCAAACAGTTTCTGCAGGAGTGGTCTGACAGTGAGGCTGAGGGCACGCCCTGGGGAAGTGACGGCTCTCTGTGCAGCTGGGACAATTCGTTGCATAGCTTGGTGGAAATCTTTGGCAGTGATCATGATGGAGGCGATGTCCAGCTGAAGTTTCTCCTTAGAGGTGTAGATCTGAGGGTATCGTCTGCGGAGAGCAAACAGAGCAGCCTCTGTGCAAAGTGCCTTCAAATCTGCCCCACAATAACCTGGAAGTTTAAGTATGGTGTCAACTGTTAATATCAAATTATTCGGGGGATAACTGCATGTAAAACAAAAGGATCAAATAGGAAGAGCTTTGATATTTTGGTCTTAAAAAGTTTTAACTAGCGCTTAAATCAGTAAGTTAAGGGAAAAAATCATAAAGAACTGCAATATTATCATTTTTATTTTACTTCACAGTACATACATTCATACATTATGAGAAAGAGAAAGAGAGAGCCCATGCTGAAGAAATGCCATTCTTAAAGGAACTCACCAACACAATTTGCAGCAAGTTCTTCCACGAAGGGTGTGGCCAACTTGGGACTCCATTCCTTTGTGTGAATCTTCAGTATCTGTGTTCTTGCCTAGGGTGAATAGTTCAACATTACTTGCATTCTTATAAGTAAAATTGCTAACAAAAGCAGTAATAAATGAAAACTTTTTTGTAAACGACAGCATCTTAGTTTAAGTACCTTACACACAGCACCAACGATGATGTTGATACAGATCCTATCTATATCTTCTTTCTTACCTTATAAAATGTGAAAAGAATTAAACAATACTTTGTAGGGGAAGGTCTAGAAAAGCCTTTTAATTTACCTCTAAAGAAGGCAATGGAAAATTAAACTCCCGGTCAAATCTCCCAGGTCTCCTCAAGGCTGGGTCAATACTGTCTATTCTGTTGGTAGCCCCAATGACCACTATCTCTCCTCTACTGTCCAGTCCGTCCATCAGGGCCAATAAGGTGGAAACTATAGAACTGTGGATCTGGTCCTGTCTGCTGGACCTCACTGGTGCCAAACCATCTATTTCATCAAAGAAAATTATGGAGGGGCGAACTTGGTAGGCCTGGAAAGATAAGTAAACAAGTATACCTTCAAGAACTGATTCAAATCATCATAATTTTATGAGTGCAATTTGCCAGCTGCTATCTCCATTGTGAGAGCTAGTAAAAATTTAGAAAACTGATTAAAGATAATAGGATTAATAGATACTAGTAACAATTTTCACTACAGTTTTGGATAAGTCATACCATGATGATTGATGAAAAAAGAGTTAAAACTTTGGAGAAAAGTCATTCCTTTTTTTAAAGAGGGTGTAACAAGCGATGTACATCTTTAAATACAGTAATAGTTTAAAAAAGTACCAACCTGGTCAAACAGCAAACGTAACTGTCGTTCAGACTCTCCCACCCATTTGCTAAGACAGTCAGCACCTTTTCTCATAAAGAAGGCGACTCTTCTGTCCCCTTGGCTACACTCATTGGCCAAGGCCCTGGCAACTAAAGTCTTTCCAGTGCCTAAAATAAAATACACACCGTGCTTTAAGTTTTTATATGATTAGAGTAAAACTTGTTGCTGTTTCTAAATAACAACTGCTTTAAAGCTGAGGAAGGAAAACATTTTAATTCAGAATATTTACAAGTATTCAAGCATTGATGCACTATTATATTTTTATTAGGATATCCAAAAATAAATGGTTTTGAGGAAAGATCTTAATAACAATCAAAAGTTTTATAAATTATTCTTCAAAATGTTTTACATAGTTTGCACGTTTTAAATTAAATGTAATCTAAAACAGAGATGACAATGAGATGCATTTTTTAAACAAAGAATAAAACCATGACTATTATCATTACAGTTATTATGAAGATTTTTACTGCAGTATTCTTACCAGGTGGTCCATAAAACAGAACTCCCCGTGGAGGTGCTATCTTGAACCTTTCAAATACCTCTGGATAAAGGAGTGGAAAGACCACCATTTCTTTTAATGCTTGTACATGCTTGCCCAGGCCTCCCACACTGTCAAATGTGATCTAGTAAATAAAAAGTTGTTTTATTATTTAACTGGCCACCATCTGCCTTCATACAAATAAATAAGTGTCTGGATTGAAAAAAAAATTTTTTCTCACCTTTCCTTAAATATCTACTCTTAAAAGTTTTAACTAATCATATAAGAATATTTACATATTAAGAGAAGCCCTTAACACCAGACTGATCTTCATTGCCCAGTTCATTAAAACTATGAAAATTACTGATAATTTAACAAACTTACTGATCTGTCAATATTCATAGGATCAACATCTGCCAGACTGGCACCAATTTTCATACGATCCCGTATCGCCCCCTGCCCTACATCTTCTGGGCCAAAGTTCATCGGCAGGCACCTCTGTCTCGCTTTGGTCATGCTCTTAGCCTTACGACGCTCAAATCTTCGTTCATCGTCACTGCTGTCACCAGCAGAGGAAGAAGATGATGAGCTTGAGGTAGACGAATTGTCGTGAAAAGCTGCTCTTTTCCTGTAAAAAAACATTGATTTAATGATTCAAATTAAATTTTTTGTTAAATAACTTCAATTACATTATGGAGTATCACTTAAAAATTTCAATGATACTGATAATACATTGCAAATCATAATATTAAGTGTGACTAAAAAGTTTCATTACCTTTTGAACCTTGGACTGCGGTGAGCTGGCGACTTGTAGGTTTTTGGCCTAAACTTCCTCCTTGGTGGGGTTATATCTCTGAACTTGTTCTTTTTTCTTTTCAAAGGTTCTGCAAAAGTTTTTTTATATAATTATTATACTCCTTTCAAAAAGAAAACAGTTTTCAAAGTAGATCTATGTGAATTTAAGGAAAAAATGAAATAACTTTATGTGGCCATCAAAATTATTTCAACCCTGTTCAAATAGTTAAAGGAATGAATGTGTAATATAACATTTCATTTAAGGATGTAGAAAAAGGGTAAAGTCCACAAACCTGTGTTTCCAGCTTCAAAGAACATTGTTCTTGGTTTATGTTCCCTGAGAAAATATGATCTTCGTGTTGTTCTTTGCTCTTTTTGTGTGTCTTTCTCATTATTTGCATTATTTTCTCCTTCCTCCTCATCTGTGGATTAGAAAACAGATTCTTTACAATATTTCTAACAAAGTTCATCAAAATTTGCTCATCTCTTAAACAGTCAAAAAATGTATTTTGTCATACAACAATATCTTGTTGCTTTTTAAATCAAGACATTGACCTACCAAGCAGAATGCAGTTCAGTTCATGGTGATCATTTCAATTCCTCAAATTTACATTTGCATTTTTGTCAATTACTAATTTTTTCAGTAAAATAAATTTTGTCCCTAACATTTTTCCAAAAAGAACTTGCTTGCAAACATTATGGAATTCAATTAAAATTTTTATGGGTGCCAGCTGATGAATGCAAGCTTACCATCAGATTCCTCATCATCACTACTACTACTTGACTCTTCTTCTTCCTCTGATTTCCCATCATCATCATCATCTTCATGGATAGGGATTCCATACATATCACGCTTTACCTGCTTGCGCTGACGCTTAACTCGACTATAGATGTCAGAATATTCCTGCATTGGAAAATAACACAGCATGATATTTTTAAATCACATTAAAAATCATTACTACAAGCAATTCAGATAATGAAAAAAAAAATGTAACAAACTTTCCACTTTTAATGAATAGAAAATGGATGACTTAATCTGAGCACAGATTAATTCATTTTTGTTTAGAACTATATTTTACTGACCCCTTCTTCCTCGGCAACTTCTGGCTCAACTTCATTCCTTCTCCTTTTCTTTCTGTTTTCATCTTCTCTGCTCTGTTCAGCCACACTAGCAATAAAACTAGTAGCTGCCATCAAGCTTTCGTTGAAATTTTCACAGACTAATTTGCGCCGTCTACCACTTCTCCGAACACCATCATAATCTCCATTGAGTAAAGTAAGCTCATTTTTCACAGCAGAACCTTGTGTGCTCCTTCTAGAGCGTGTCCCTAAATATATAAGTTCCAGACATCTCTATTAACTCAGAACATTGACACATTTCATATTATTTCATGATGTCATGCATATAGTATTGTCATACAAGATCCAGCTCCTACATGAAATATTCCACTCCATGAAATTGACATATATCCCCTTACTAAACAGTGACATGCAACAGTTTTTACATGGACGCACTTCTATTTTGCTTCTCAAAATAAACTAAGTATTGTTAAATTTCTGAAATGCTGCCATTTCTTTTCATTGATTTTTTTAGCAACAGCTTTGCAACAGCTTTACATACCTGAGATAAAGTCATCATCTTCCAGAGCATGAGAAGTTTTCCTAAAATGAGAAATAGTTATGGAAATGGAATTATAGTATGATTATCAAAACAATTCTTTATATTTATTTCTCCAGTGGGTCATTCAACTGAAAGTGACTCTGTGCATCATGTCAATGCCACATTTTGTGTAACACTTTTTTAAAATCATTTCATTAACTGTTAACTTATTTCTACAAAGGAGGACGTTGATGAGACCCATTCGTTTTGTTTTTTTTTTTTTGGAATGGCCTTTTTTGGCAACAAGTTCTCTCTTCCATAAATAATATATTAGGTGTGTAGATTAAGATCCTACCTTGTCTGTCTTCTGCTCTTCAAGGTATCAGTTTCCTCTGTAAGCACATCATTATCTATGTGTTCCTGTTGCTGCTGTCTTTTTGACTGAGGAGAGAAGTTCACTATTCCACTTTCATCACTGTCATATTCCTAAAATTTAGAAATACTAAATCATAATCTTGTATCTTTTATATTAAGTTACCTGCATTTTTTACTTTTTTCTGTAATCAGATGCTTTTCCCATATTCAATAACAGTAATTATAATTGTTATTATCATTATCACATAAAACAACGAGAGCAATAAAAATAATAATAACTAAATACTTTGATTTATTCATTGGCTTTGAATAGGTCACATCTTGATCCTTTTTGGTTTTAATAACAACTCATCTGATATGATTATTTTTCCAACAATACATTGTATATGTTCATTATTAATATTATGAAGTATATTGCACTGCACTCTATACCGCATGCAGTCCTGTGTATAGCAGTGTACTTTCACATATGATGTCATGTTTTATATTATATATCTCAGAATAATATTCTCTGTGTAATGTTTAACATTATATACCATGCCTTACTGAGCAGCATTGCATGATGTATCATATTGCCAAGCAGGTTGTTTTGTGATGTGTATTGTATTACAGTCTCGGTGTCAATGTGCTGCCATTTGTAAATGTGAAGTACAGCTCTTTGTAATGTGTTTTAAATTGTTTAGTATAGTCTTTAGGCACATTCCCAATAACACTGTCTGGGGTAGCGCTAGCACCCGCCAATTTAGCCAACTGCTAAAACTGACTTAATTTGGCTAAACAAAAAGGACTTGATTTGGAAAATTTTAGTCAAATTAAAACTTTTTTCATAAGAAATTGACAAAAAAGTGATGATTTGACTAAGCGAAAAAAATTGCTAGCGCTACCCCAGACTGTCATTCTTTGCAGATTGTTGCCGCTCAGCGGGAACCTTTGCTGAATGCAATCAAATTAACACACCTCCTCCAGCATTGAGAAGAATATAGAAAATCAAGTGATTATACAAATAAGTTGGACACAGAAAGAGGCGTGTCATTCAAAACCAGACCACCAGAAAGGAATTTATATTTTACATCATTTTCTCCTCATATTTATTTTGAAAAGGTCAAAGAAAATTTTCATAAAAAAATTAAATAAATATCTAAAATCATTCCTATCTAAAAATTCATGGAATTTTTTTCAATCATAAGTATCACTTCTACAAATAAAACTAAATAAAACCAAAGATTAAAAAAATTCTGGACATTTTTATTTAGAGTATATCAGTCTAAAAACAGCAGTTCAATTTCTATCATTTCAGAGGTATTTAGTTTCAGAAAACTATTATTTTTTACAAAATGAGATTAAAAATTGTCAAAAAATTGCTAAATGTTTTGATTCCATGCCTTATCAAACAATCATAAACCTTAATACTTAAGCAACAGGGTACGGAAAAATGCCAATGGTGATGATGATATTATTGAATATGGATGTTATGAAAAGTCTAAAATAAGACAATTGCACTTACATAAAATTGAGTTTACATGTGAAACTTGCTGCTTGAATGCAGATGACGTAACTTTGCCAAATTTAAACTGGTAATTGACGATCATACATGATACTGTTGGAGGAACACATGGCTTGTTTTTATTAATTTTTTTAATGTCAATTTTCTAAACTTATTTTAAAAAATGACTAGTAGTTATGGTTGGTGTTGAACAACAGCAATTTGGCAAAGAAAATCAGACAAAATTTTCCATTATCTGTTCAAAGAATTGGATTCAGTGTGTCAAAATCCCTTAAATGAAAACTAACAATATGGACCTCCCCCCCCCCCAACGCACACATATTGCCCCTAAAATGCTCAGAGCAGGGATATCTGTTCTCTTAGTGACATGATGTGGACAGTTTTCAAAAAAGATGTATTTATTTTGTCTTAACATTTGATATTTCAACAATATGTTATCAAAGAAACATTTCTGATTTTGAATTTTTTTGGTGCCTGGAGCAGATTATCATTTTATGTAAGCATTTTACACAGAACTATTTGGATGATCAGAATATTAGTTTTGTGCAACATAGCATAACCACAATATCCCGCATATTAAAAAGACTTTGGACAAAAATTAGCAACTTAACGTCCCTGCTGGGTCTGGTCAAAACTTAGAAGTTTGGGAGGGAAATGATTGTCAACAACATGTCTGCCGGATTAATACAAAGGACACGTAGGAAATTTCTTCCTGATATACTGATCTGCTTACCTTGTAGTTTTGAACATTCCGATCACGTGTCCTTCTCGTCCCTATAGTCAAAAATGAATCCGGTGGGTCTTCGTCCGTTTCCAAACTATGCCGAGTTTTCACCATTTTGGAGCGGTGAAAGAAATTCTCCACAAACTGTACGAACCGTAGAACTCACCAGACGGATATACCTACACCAAACAATTAGACCGAGGGTAATGTACGTTTTTGTCGCTTCCTAGAATCGTTGTATCCATCAGATAAATCACTCATATGAAATGTTATTTAAAGTCTTCTTAGTGAAAAATCCACGTATATTTATGTAAAATTACACGTGACCCTTTTTTGCGCGCATGAATCTAGGTCATTAAGTAGACAGGAGAGTTCGATAAAATATCGCGGGAAATAACTTCAAAAATCCGCCAACCCAAAAATTTTTAAGAAGACAAAGAAAAGATTTATGAAAGCCATAAAATTGGACCATATAGCCTCCAGTCAACATTTTGTAGCCTTTCATATGAATACGATCGCAAACAAAACAAAAATAGCTTCTTTTTTATAATTTTAGTGATCTCCTTGGTTCAGCTTCGTATTTACACGGAAGTAAAACTGAGCATGTGCGGAAGTAATTGAAGTGAAAACAAACATGACATTCAACATGCAAATGGCAACCTTATCATCACTGGTAAGTTATCGTATATCTATTTTAAAGTTCATTGTGGAATGGAAAACGAGATGTGGAATCTGAAAATTAGTTACTGACTATGACCAGAACCATCCTGATCATGTCGTTGACTGTGCTGCATTGTTTACACTAGAAGTAAAACAGTACGGTGTATCTCGCACTAAACATTAAAATGGGCAATATAGAGCGCAGTATTACTAAAGAAAACAATTCCTGACGCGAGTAAACACACACACACAAAAAAAAAAAAACATTATTCACAATTTTATATCCAAATTGGAACCCGAGACTTATTTTGGCAAGTTCAGTTTGTTTTGTTCACATTCACATTTTTGTTGTTTTACAATGTACCAGTAGTGAGGGTAGGGAATACCCCCCTTAATCACCAATCACCAAGAATTAAAACAGCTCAATCCCCAATAACAAAGATATATTCAGATCAATCACCAAGAATTCCTGAATCATGTTTCACGCAGAATATTGGGCTCAAATAACGCATCAGGCTAAAAAAAATAAGGCCAATCATGCGGAACAGGAAAGGTATTCCCTACCCTCAGTACTGTAGCTGGCTGTCTATGTCAATGATTGTACCTTTTTTATGAAGGTTATATAAATAAAGCAATATGAGTCTGTACACCTGTCATTACTGAGCTTTTGTTTATTTCAGGAAATATTATTTAACGTGATACGATGCATTCTTGTCTTTTATGGAGTATACTACATGGTTTCAACAATCTGCTTTGGTGCTTTCAAGTAAGTTCATATTTATTGTTTAGTGTGTTTTCATTGTGTATATAGGGGTTGCACATGCCCATGCCTTTTGCAGAATATGTTGGCTGGACTCAGCAGCAGATAAAAGATTTGCTGCTTAAGCGCTGCAGCGAAGTGGTGGAAAAAATCAATTTTTTACTGGTAATTTCATCTCTTTAAATGCCATGGATATGTCTTCTAGCAGATATGTTAGGGTATATGCATGAAGGACCCTTTGTATCATAACTGAATGAATTATAGTTGGCTGTGGCATTAAAAATTGATTGAATTACTTGATTTCAGACTTCCAGCATTTGATCCTAAATCACCATTTGATTTTCAAACATGGATACAGTTAGAAAAGTGTTGTGCCTTTTATACAAAAAGGGAGATGGGTAGGTATAACAAAACCTTGTATAAATGTTTTATTTATTTCAGTAATTGACAAATGCAAGTCAAATATTTGTCAGTTATTTAAAATGGAAACTGAGTTTCTGAAATCCATCAGTAAATTGCCCTGAATTATGATTTCATTTGATTAATGAACATGTATACTTTCTTTTTCAGCAAATTTCATTTCAATGGAAGCTACCTTCTTTATCTCTACATTTGGTTATGCTATATTTATACACAGTAGGATGTGGGATTATGCATTGACAACACTGGTGCTACATTTTGAATTAAGTTGTCTAGGTAAGTGAGAATTTTCTCTTTCACTCACACACACACACACACATGCACGCATGCATGCACACACACACACATTGGAAATTATATGGAACATCAGTGACATAAAGTTTTTTGGGTTTGTTTATGTTATTTCATAGAAATTGCCCCTAGTTCCCTACAGTCACTTAATAACACAATACAATAACATCATTTTTGGGGGGAGTTGGGGTTCAAAAAGATGGTTCAGTGTCACTGCAATCTTATTAATTGAAGAAATCCAATTGAATATAACATTCTAGAGTGAAAAGGAGTAGAAATGCTTGCTCTTATTCCATCCATTTCTTTTTCACTTTTTACACAGTTATGTTGAACTTTCCTTTAAACTGGTCCTGGTGGGTTTGCATAGGTGAGTACTGATTTTATTGACACTTCAAAACTTTGCTATTCATTGTGGTACGTTTAATTATCTATTGCTTAATTTTTGGTGAATAAATTTCTTTAGCTTTATATGTATTGTTTGTCTACAATACATTGCACCTGCAGCCTTTTTCTGGGTGGTACACTGGATTTGGTACAACTCCCACCATGCATACGTTCATGATTATTGGAATTTGTATTAGCAAAGACTGAGACCTAAATGTCTGCCTCACAAGGTTATTTTTTCTTTTTGATTAAAAAATTCACAATGATGGCATTTAGCTGTTTTTTTTTTTCACAACATTTCCCATCTTATTCAATTGTAACAAATTATTTTACTGTCTTGAGGAATTTTGCCATATGAACACATGCAATATATTTATCAATTTGAAGAGACTAAGGTCAGGCTAAATGTGAAAAATTACATTTGAAAGCAAAAATTAAATACAACTTACACAGTTGCTGTTCATTGCAGTTAGTGGAGCCCTTCTCATGACCTGTTTTGGAGAAATGATCTGTTACTGCCGAAGACACCGGGAGCAGAATAAAGTTTCCCCTCAGTAGCAGTTAAGACAGACACCCTTAGCAATTCTGTGCCCAAGTAAAATCTCTTCAAAGGTCATTGATATTGAGTGTATTTTGTCATTTGTGATAGGGGTACATTTTTATTGATTAATCAAATATGAGCCATGGTAAACAGAAACTTAGTAAAACCATTTGACTGTCATCAACTAGCTGTCAAGTAGTGCTTTTTTGCCAAGCTATTTAAGAAAACCAAGGTGAAAACTGCATAACTTTATTTACTTTGGAAGTGGGATTGTGGTGCCATAACATTTAATAGAAAAACCCTTTGTTTCTGTGTAATTTACAATCTCCTCTACTGTTTCCATGGTATGCCTTAAACTGTAGAACACATGCACTTCTTGTGATTTGTGCCAAGGAATTTATTTACCTAAGATCTCCAAAATAAGATAATCGTGTGGATGTGTTAGCTGTGACCATGTGGATAATTAGAACAAACCCAAATTGTGCTAGAGAAACCATAGTGCAATGATGTCCAAACAAGTATAAGTGAAGGGAGTGCTTCAGATTAGTCCTGTTTGCAATATATGATTTAATTATGGCAAAATACAATTGTACATTTTATGAGGTTGTGTCAGACAGGTTCCAGTTATATTTTCTTTGATTTTATGGGTTTAATATTAGGATTTGTAATTAACTTTAAGATAATTGGACACATCTAGGACCCAGTATAGTAGGATAGTAGGACACGTTGACAATAAATGTTTAATATAGATTTGTATTATAGGTTTAGTGAGACCAGTGTTTATGTGTGCAAACAATACAAAACCCATTATAATTTTACAATTTTATACATATTTATAAACCATAAAAGCTGGAAAAAGATAGATACTGAATTTAAGTTCATTATAATGTGTCATTTAAAATCATTATTTTTTCAAAATCATTTTCATTTGTAAATTAAAGTTTTCTTATTTTTTGAACACTTCATCTTACATCATTTGCAGAAATAAAGTATTTCATATTGCACTTCTAAATACATAGTTGACTGCATCTCCAATTCCTTATGAACCAATGCTCCAGTCAATTTTCAGAATAGATTGCATCTGTAAGATTGAGCATGAAAAATGAGTTCATTATAAATAGTGTTATATTTCTGAGAATTATTTGGGTCTGTGTCCAAGACATTGTGTTGCATCATCATTTCCTATTTCTCGGTAGCAATTTAAGTCGGGTTTGAAAGGTTTTGTATGCGTAAATTATAGGCACAGCCTCTGCTGGCTCACCCGGAATTCTCTCCCCTACCCCTCCTCTGAAAACTATCCACCCCCAATTAGTATAATTAATAAAGCTAAATTTATTTACAGTTTTGTTGAATCTTGAAATATACCAAATACGTACACACGTCTAAGACGGGCGCTTTCGCTTTTCTAACAAAATGGGTTATTTCCAGTAGGGGTGCCAAAGGCGTTCCAAATTTTTATCACAACTGTTTAATTATTCAGGTAGACTAGTTATTAGCATACTTACCATGTTGCTGTTCACCAGTAGGGCGCCGATGGCGTTCCCTCGTTTCCCGTTCCTTTAATCGTCACATTTCACTGCATACTGAAAAAAAGTTTGTGTTGGATTTGCCATGCAGGTAGTTTAAAGAAATCGTGTAAGATGATGATCAGCGTTTATTTACAGGTAGATATATCGGACTGATTTTGAAAAACTTTGCATACAATTTAATGAACCATAAAATCCTCCTTTATTATCCAGTGAAATTTCACTTTCTTCCGTTGGCACATCGAAGTTTGGGCTAAAAGCTTTGAAAATACCGTTTCGCGCTATTTGAAAAAGCATGTTGTAATAAACTATTTCCCAGAGTCTTTGATAATTATGTAGATCTAACCCACCACCTATCTCTCGGGTTCCAAACTGATAATACCCCGTTAATGTGCGCTTTAAGGGACTCTTTTTTTTTTTTATTTTCACGGTACGGGAAAGCGCACGTTATTAGCAAGAGACGTAGGCCTATCTGTGAATAGCAAGTATACGTAAAAATAAATCTGTGCCCCTGGTAGAGGGTACTGTATGCCCTAAAGAGGTTACTTTGCTCCTGTACAATAATCATAACAATAAAAATAAGTGTACAAGCCCACAGCTGTCAGCTGAAGTCTAAAGGACCATTCCCACAGATATTTGGATCGATCTGTCTCCCTGGGGAGTCTTACGAAATTGCTGTCAACTAGCCAGCTAAAATGTCTGTCACGCTTAGTAAAGCTGTTAGAGGGGTAATTATCTTTATCCCCTAGCTGATTCGGTAGGCGTGACAGACATTTAAACCGGTTAGTTGACAGCAATTTGGTGAGACTCCCCAGGGAATTAGATCGATCCAGATGGATCAATCTAGGCATGGGAACCCAGTCTAACATAGGACGCTCTAAAGAACATTTTTTTAAACATGATCCCCTCATTTCGGGACGCAATCAACTTGTTATCTGTTTATGGTACATTTCCTTTCATTCAGGTCAGGTTTTTTTCTTTTCTTTCTTTTTTTCTTTGTGTGGCTATCATATTATTTTTGCATATGAGTTGACTCGCTTGGTCTAATGTATATAGATTTATGATGTCTATGTGTTTATTTTCTAAGTACAGTCAAAGCGGTATACGTCGTTCCAGTATCTATTAAACAAACTAATAAGCATTGAACTTTACTTACGTACAACTCAAATTGGAACCCAGACTTTCAGTTCCTCTTTTAGGAACCGATGTGATTTTTTCTTCAGTCAACAGCTAATATTGATATAGTTTTTACCTCCAATATTTCGATGTCTAGCAGGACTGAAGAAAAAAATCACATCATTCTTATAACATAACACAGCTGATGAAATTCTTCTCTGACTCTTAGGAACGTTGAAATAATTCACGATCAGAGAATATCGATTCACCGGTACCCTTGCTATGTCTCTTAGGTTAGTATATGTATATCAATGTATGTCAGATCATGAAGACATAGAAGATATACGGTTTGTAACTGGATGTGGCTGCATTGCATGTTGCATTTAGAAGAAAAAAAGCATTTTGCCTCTTCTATTCATACGTGGATAGATCTATGGATGTGGATAACGATAAAAACTTAAAAATAATGATTAATAGAAATATTAATCAAATGATTTGGTTAATAGATAAGTAATAGAAATTAAATGCAGTTAACGGGTTCAGAACTGCTGCCGAGAAAAAAAAAACGAATATTATTTTGATATCCTGTTGTCGTTTACTATTTACACTGTATTTGAGGCAGAGACGTTTGTTCATCGTATAACCCGCACTTGTTTGATTTTGCCAATAAAGATTACCAATCACGCGCGAAGTCAACAACGTTGTCATTTTTCTCATCCCATCTTTATTTCATCGCATTATGCCTATATCTAATTTGATTACTTTTGTTCTTTATCTCTATCGGGTTCTGGAATAAGTTAGTTCTCTTATTGTGAAATCATCCTTTCACAATACATGTCTGTTACTTTGACCTTTTCTCCTTGATGGCACGATTCGATGTGGCAGGAACGTTAGATTGAAACAAAATGTGTTTCCTTGAAATTTGATGAGCCTTCGCAGTTTTTTAAATGAACGTGCAATGGCAACGTTTCAGTTATTTTTAAGTGTTTTTCGTAGAAGTCTGACAAAATCAAAGGATGCCTATTGATTGGTTTCAGTTAACTAGAATGGTATAAATGTGCCATTTACACCACCTCTTGATCTGTGAACATAGTTTTTATCTAAGCGTGTAAAAGCTTTACTAATTAAAATGTAGAGAGAACGGTGATGAAAAGATGAGCCCCATAATGATCATAGTGTATAATTTTTCCGTCATCCCATCGTTAATAAACTTTTCAATTGATTTATAGCACCATCTCTAATCTACTGCCTTCATCTTGATCTTATTCGAAAGCACACGAGTCAAGTTTTTGTGTGAATAATATAGATTATTTTTTTTACCTCAAATTACTTTTGTCATTTCGACCTTTTCCTCGTCGCAACGTGATATTCATTTAAAAATCAGTGACTTTTATTGCACCACACGGACAACTGAGTGATCAGATAGAAAATCCAGCCGCTAACATTTTAATCAAATATTCCGAAAAAAATGAATAAGAACTGTGGACATTGTGCCAAAGTAGTTATTTCAATATAACATTTAACTCACTGTGCACTGGGTGTATAATAGGCCCTAGATTAAAGAGAATCGTGAATGACAACGATAAGCTCAGATAATAAATTACATCCGTTTAATCGCCGGTATGATTCAGTAGCTCAGTAGATCCAACGGTTTGTAGACCGCTACTAAGCCTCGGCACACTTTAACGACTTTTATATAAAATTAGACGTTAATGCGATAAAAGAAAATCGGTCAGGTATTATTAAAAGTGCTACCTAAATATCATTCCAGTCAAAGATATGGGCCTGATCACAAAGGGACTTAGGTCCGAAAATTAATTTAAAGCATCTCTAGTGGTTCATTTTAATAAAGAAAATACTATGAAATATAAGCAATGTCTTTCCTATTAAAAAAACGGGCGCAATATTTTGGACTATCACCAATATATCATGGGTCAACATAGGCTAGCTTAGATCAATTTTCGGGACAAATCAATTTTATTAAATTTTCATAAATTTATTTCTTTCTGTTATTGCTTGATTGATTTTTGTTTGTGTGTGTAACAGGCCACTGATGCTTGGCGGGTTTTTGTTACTCCCGTGTCAATAAGCCTAGTCTGATATCTTCCCCTCGTCCGTAACTGAATTTAATATTTTTTATTCACACCTGGAGAGGTCTATGTATATGAATTGTATATGAAATATCAAAGGGATGCATGCTATTTATTAATTTTTTTAAATATGTAGCTCCCCGTATGTGTTCACCACTTAAACTGCCATTCTGCATTTAAAGATCAATCAATGTATTGCGTTTACCTGCATCTCAATCTGGAACTCCTGGCACATAGGGGACTACCTATATGACAATGTTTTAAGCATACGTTTGGCTTCCATACAGCATATTATTATGGTTCTTCAAACTGGTATCATGGAAAGGTGCTTTATATAGATATATGTCAGTTGAAATCTGAATTAAGTGAAGTTGGGAATACATACATTTGTAAAATTAGTCTCACATTTATTAAAAGGCTTTTTCTACAAAATTGCTGTTAAACAATTTGCGAGAAATAGTTAACCTAAGTGATATTTACGACTTACTGTCGTTCAATTTGAAGCATCTAAGCTACTTAACCCTTTATTCAAACTCTGCTAACAAAGCCATCACACCGCATCCGAGAACAATTAATGTTATTTTCCGGAGTCTTTGGTAGTGTTCGCTGTTTTTCAGCTCTTTGTTCAGAATTTCGAAGAATGTTACGTATAAAAACGTACCTGTGGCTAAGCTTTGCAAAATACTAGTTGTCAGTCCTATATTTAAAGAGGATTGCTGCACGCTCGTGATCACAGTCCCGATCCCAACGCCAATAGGTGAAATTACCGAAAATAACGTAATGAAACAGACAAAAGGTCGCAGCGAAAATGTTTCGACTAACTTCATGCCAAGAGTAAAAGTGACAATCGCCTCGTGCACCACCAAAGCGCCGAATAATGCCCACAGGTCGAAACTGTCCTCTTGTAATCCTAGCGCCAGTCCTTCAAAAACTGCATGTAAAGAAAAGGCAAAGAATAAAAAGATGATACGAATTTTTGAGGCCATTCCTATTTCCTTATCAACTGCCTTTTGAAAGGCATCTTTCAAACGTGAATAGCCTTCTATAGACGGTCTCTCTGCGGCGGTGTCTTCTCTATAGATTCCATCCATAGGTTTAGAATCCTGCCCCGCTGTGCTGTCCTCTCTTAAAAGAGTCATTTGGTGAGAGTCATTGTCATGCACAGGTGAGGTATCGGATTGTGAGGATTTCCCATTCAAAGTAGCCGTTCCTGTTGACCCATAGTGCTCAAATGTTTTTGCACTTGGTGAATTAATACCCCTGGTTAGATCTGGTGAATGATTGTCCTCACCGTCATGAAAATGACAAAATGCCTCTTCGTCGGGATGTCGTCCCACACACAGAAGCGTTATGCTCTCAATAAACAAAACGGCAAAGAGCCCGGCCATAACCCCCAGTTCAGTGAAGGGATACTGGGTGTTGACACTGGCGCCCTGGATCACTCCATCCATTTCCTTTCTGGCCTCTGGAAGAAGATGAAAGAATGCCACACCTAAGAATACGCCTCCTGCAAAACAGTTGAGGTACCCCATCATTGAATTGTACAGCGTTCCATTCTGAACGATGTAATTTTTCCACCAGCGAGTAACGACTAAGGGAAGAAATCCAAACAATATTTTGAATACAAGAAAAATGGCAAGAGCCAGCACTTTAGTCTCTATGAGGTTCATACTGTTAAGCTCGCGGTTCGCTGTCAGCGTTCTCCAAGTGTCAGTGTCGTCTGTTAACAGTCGTCTGCTACATACAAAATGGTCTGCATTAGCTTATATCTAAGGAGCTGCGGACTATTCACTGGGTGAAGCTGTGCATGTAATTATCGTCCGCACGAGTTATATTGCAGACCTTAATCTATTATTTTGATAACGGCGTGAGAAATTCATCCGACTTGAAAGTAATTCATACGGCTTGAAAGTAATTCTCGCCAAAAATAACAAGTGCAAAATTTTCCATGTTTATATGTAGGCCTAAATTATTTTGGCCCATATTGTTAGAAATAAGAATAAATTATGAGACTGAAAATTAAGAACTAAAGTAGGCTGTTTTCTGTTTCACTGATGCCAAAACAAAACAGAATGAAAATATGCCCGAAATATTTTATATAACAGTTTTAGCTTCCCTTTTATCTCTTGTTGGAATTTAGATATATAAACTACATAGCAAGCTTTAAAATCATCACACCACATCTGAGAGTGATACACAATACCTTTTTCCTGACACTTGGTCTGGTATAGAGTAAGGACATGCAGAATTGGAGCACCGAAAACTAAAACAACATTTTAAAACCAGCACACATGTTGCAAGTAACGTCACTAAAAAAAAAAAAAAAAAAAAAAAAAAAAAAAAAAAAAAAAAAAAAAGAAAATCTCGGGTTAAGCCTGAATAGATTCTGGACGAGCCTCATGTTCTCTGATACGATGAAGTATAACGGGTTTCCAGAACTACATGGCGTGAAATAGTGACAACTAATAATAGTGTCCCTACACATGATGGTCGCTTTCAGTAAGATCTATTGGCGACAACAAGGGACAATGAATAGAATAAAGTGACCATGATATACAGGCTATTTGTGTAATCGTCGTGTAACGCAAATTAAACGTTTTATCACTGATAAGCCCATGGTGGAAATACACTGTCTTTCATATCGTGAATACACTACAGATAAGGGGAAAGCGACTAGGAATAAAAGACAGAGCAGGTGCGAGACCATAGCAAGCAATTTTTTAATTTTTTTTTTAAGTACGTGAACCTTTGACCATGAAACCTTATTGTACCTGGATAAAATTTAACCCAGAGTGAACCGTTTTCCAGCAAAAGGGGGGTTCTTTCGTATTCCCGCCCCCCCCCCCGCCCCCTCCGGGGCTACGGGCCTGAGGTGTCACTTGATCGTCTGCTCTTGTCTCTGTGTTCCAAGAGAGGTTGTTATTATATTAGGTATGTAGCTGGAGTTTCGAGATGTCCAGACGCAAATGTTCAAGTTTTCACCTGCACTTGGTTTTGGCGATCTTTTAAATAAAACGTAAGTCTCTATAGCCATATCAAAGGACATGCCTACGCAGGGCGGATCCGGGATTATTTGAAGGGGAGGTCCGATTTTTAGGAATGACAGGCAGCGGATACGAAGCCAACCCTCGCCCTCCACCTGGTGTAGGCTTAGGGTCCCGCTATAGGGCCCTTTAAAAATTGGGTATTTCAGAGGGCGAACGGTGCCATATGGTACGGTTTAGAACTATATGGTTCAGCTAGTCAAATTCTAATCCAAGAATATTTTTAGAAATCGAAGGGGGGTCAACCCCCCTTGACCCCCCCCCCAAATCCGCCACTGCGACGAATACAGGACCCAACCTGATACCACTACTGACTGAGAATAAAGCCACCAGCGTGATAGTTTCAGCCCAAATCACTTATCTTTTCAAACCAAGAAGGTAAACGAGAATAAACGATCACAGAATCCTGAAACGTTATATGGGTATAACAGCGTCTTCCTTTGCTTTGGCAACATAACAGTAAATTGGGCACATCGGAATTTTGAAATTTGAGAAACTAAGAAAGAAAATTTTGTAAAGAAAGCGGTCACTCCTTTTGTCGCGTGGCCATATAACGTGAGGCTAAGCAAGTAATATCATTATTGGTTTCAGCCCAAATCCCTTATCTTTTCAAACCAAGAAGGTATAAATGAGAATAAACAATCACAGAATCTTGAAACGTTATATGGGTATAACAGCGTCTTCCTTCGCTTTGGCAACATTAACAGTAAATTGGGCACGTCGGAATTTTGAAATTTGAGAAACTAAGAAAGAAAATTTTGTAAAGAAAGCGGTCGCTCCTTTTATCGCATGGCCATATAACGTGAGGCTAAGCAAGTAATATCATTAATTGGATAACAAGAAAGGGTGCGCGAAGTTAGCCATTTTACATGAGGAAAGGCCATATTCAATACTGTTATTAGAGAATAAGACAATTATGAATGATTGCTGACTTGGATAGAATCGGGGAGACCCAGAAGTGCGAATAAAGTTGTCTTGCAAACTTCATGACATTAATACTATTCGGCCAATGAACCCCCTTTTGAACGTTTATAATATAATGCGAGAAATGCAACCATGAACACAAATGCGGTAGATATGCCCAATGCATGATGTTTAAAAAAACATTCCAAAACGAGGCAGCAAAGCTGGGAAATGTACAGACAAAAAGCAGAAAATAAGGATGCACAAAATACATTACTCAAACTTCAACAGAAATAAACTAATCAAACTAATTTTCGAATCAGTCCTGCGAGTTTCAAAGCAAAATATAATATGGTTTTCATTGTATAATGCTGGATAAAATATGATATGTCAAAAAATTGTCTGAACAGGCTCATTTTCGAAATTGATCTATATTTCAAGAAGATTCACCAGTTCTGTAAGTTTGAAGACAAAAGATAAAACGGTTTTCATTTTATTTGTATAACGATGCATAAAATATGCTTAAAAAAGCCTGATTTTCAAACTTGAGCTGTGCTTTATGAATATTCATCATTTCTCTAAGTTTGAAGACAAAAGGTAAAATTGTTTTAATTTTATTTGGATAACACTAAGGGTGCGGGTGCTTTCCCAGCGGGGAGTCTCACTAGATTACCTTCAGATAATCCGGCTTAAATGTCTGTCCCGCCTACTACAAGCTGTAAGGGGGTAATTAACTTTCGTGTCCGCTCGGCTGACAGCTATTTAGCGTGAACCCCCAGGGAGTTAGGTCGATCTAAAGTAGATCGATCTAATCTCTGGAAATGGGGTCTAAAAGTGCACGGCGACGACGACGACGAGGCCGGATTTTTATTTATTTATTTATTTATTTTTAACATAAACGATTTTGATTAGACCTATTGACAAAAAGAATGTCATAAGCATCATAAGCAGGATATACTGGTCATATACGTTATGAACGGGCCTGTTTTTTTTATTTGTTAAAGATGCACAGCGACCTTTCCACGACTGCCCCAAGTGAACACAAACTTATACAGTTTAAGTCGTGCGATTAGTCACACCAAGGAACTCCTTGTTCACACGCATGCAGCACTTAGCGTGGTGGCTGGTTTGGCGGATGTGATGCGTGTTTAGGATTCATTTATCTCGCATTTTGGCGACTTCCTCTGCTTATATCACTCATGCTGGACAGATCGACCAGACACTGACTCCACAAATGCTACAAGAGGTACGTGCAGCGTTCTATTCTTTGAGAAAAAATTTTTAATTCAATAAAAGAAACTATTTTTAACTGACACATTATTCCATAAGTTTCCTTTAAGTTACATTAGCGATGGTTTTACAGAATTAAATCAATATTAATAGTTTCGTATTTATTGACAAAATTAACTTTTGTGTCTTTTTTTATCTCTTTTCTTTATTTCGTCAAAATTAACGGATCCAATTTATGTGTTGAATACAACCTGGCTTTCATGAAAACAATAATTCGTATAAAAAGGTGCCTTTTTCAAATACACTATTTAAAAGTTTACAAAATGATTTGGTGTACAAGTACGAATACTTTTTAGGGGCTAGTTTTGTTCAGCTTTTTCACCCTGCCATTTCTGCTCCACAAAAGTAACGGGGTTCTTTACAAGCACAACATTCTGAACAGACTCAAGTGGAGGCGGTATTTCATTGAGAAAACCGTGCTAGACGGACCGCGCCAGGTGAGGTACCTATCCACCAGTCGGCTGACATGTACGACTGCCAAGATATGAGCAGCATTGTCCGCACCATTATACATGTGATTAATGCCTCCTTCGCCGCCAGTACTAATAGGCCGTTTTAGGTCTAGTCACGATCAGTGACTGGATTGGTCCACCCTTTCAGTTCAATTCTATTCCCCTCCACTGATATCTTTGAGAGACAGTTACTGTACAGGTACATCAGCAGAGTTAAAGAAAAGTCCAAGAATTTATAATGTACCCCAACGTCAGCAATATGCATCCATTCTTTGCTTTGTGTGATGCATACTTATACAAAAAGTGCCTTCAATAATTAATTGGTGACTTTGGCACCCTACACTGGTACATCCACCTTGCACTTTCATAATATTTGACTTCGTGGTGTTTTCTTTGTAATTCAATCAATAATCTTTTATATAATACATGGTGTTGAACAGCTAGCTTACTAGTAATTGATCTAATTGATTAATTATGGGATGGGTCAGCTAGGACTTTACAACTTGCTTTCAATTTGAGTCTGTAAAAAAGGTTGGCTGATATTTCAAGAAATATGTAAAAGGTAAGCAATTTATAGTACAGTGTATTAAAAAGAGGAAAACTATGCAGAAATGAACAGTTAATTTCTTCAATGTAATTATATGTTTAGGCAAATCTTTCTTCAAAGAATCAAGTTTGAATGTATATTATTGATTAAGTTTACCAGTTTAAAGCAACCCTGAGTGCTAAAAGTAGGCCCCTATTTTATAATAATGCATAGTCACCCAGGTCTTCCAAAAGTCAGACATTAGAATTGATATCACAGTGTATTAGTTCTGACTGTAATGTCAACAGGAAGGAGGGATTATTAGCATACTTCAACAAAGGTGTTATTTTCCTCTTTACACTGTCTCGCTAGGTATGAATGGAAACCTAGTCATAATATTACCTTTTATGTTACTTTACAGGGCCAACAACTAGTCCACATGACATTGGCCTTTTTGTATGCATGAAGCTGTGAGGAGTGCTTCTGAATGGCAAAGAGGTCACACTTAGCTATGTAATGTATAGGAAATGAAGCAGTCAGAGAACAAAGATCTTGTGGCTGTCATGCCTTGTTGTGAATGAATCAAAGGAGGGCTGAGATTATTTGGGCTGGTAAGCTCGTAGAGAAGATTAGATGAGGGTGTGTTGGAGATAATACAGTAATAACTGGTACGTGATGTAGGTGCACAGAATGTCTCTGAGCAGATATAGCTGGGATGAAGATGCTCTTTCTTTGGAGTAATCAAAGTCAAACACTCATCACAGATGGATCTACCAGGTGCTTGTGAAAATGGAACTACTGGGTATATAGCAAACGGCTGATTACATAGGAGCCTGATGGACTTTATAAGTGTCATGAATATTTTTTTCACAATTCAATGGCTGTGTATGGGATAAATTGAATTGTACCCCCAAGCACAGGAATGATTGTTGTGTTGACACAGTGATAAAAGACATCTGCAAATAGACTTTGTTGAGTGGCGGAATTTCCTCCCCCACACCGCAGTTGTGAATGATATTGAAACTGGTCCAAACCACTTCTCTGAGAGCCATCATATGAAAATGACTATTTTAAAGAGAGTTTCTCCCGTCTAACACCTGAAACACACTGAAGAGCAATTTATGAATTGAGTTTTTGTCATTGGTCCTCCTGCTTGTGCCACTAGGTACTGTATGGACCGTAGGAGTTAAAGAGAAGAGAACTGACAGCATGAAACCAGCCAGTGGCAACAGTTATAGCAAGGGAACACCCCTGAAAATTCTTAACAAGGGACCAGATTACTTCAGGGAGCGAGTGATGAAAAGATCATCAGGTAAAAACAGATTTATATTACAGTTATTTTAGTAATTTATAGTAAAGTGTAAAAGTTAAAAGGTATTGTCACATCCATTTAAATGGTGACTAATCTATGAGAGGTGTTTGAAATACATGTAAATACACTATTGAATTCGCCATGATGTAATGTGCATTTGTTTAGTATGGGTGGGATTTGTATTAATTTGATCTTCACCCCTGACCCTGTAGTATTGCACAAAGCACATCTAATCTGTGGATCAATGTATTGTGCTGTGCAATATCAGTCCAAGTCTGGTACAAGGGACCACCATCACTGAGTCATCCTCTTCTATGAGAAAATGAAAGCTGTGTCACTATTGCTGGGAACATATTAATTTATTTTAAATAACTGTTTTCTATGAATTAAAAAAAATGAGAAAGATGCAATCAAATATTCAACTTATGTAATTAGCATTATTATCTATTATCTATTATTATTATTATTATTATTTGTTGCAAAAAATAATCTTCAGTATGTGGCAAATATTGAACTTCCTTACATACACTGTAACTACTTATGATTTATATCTAGAATCTTAGTAGAATGTGTTACAATGGTTCTTGTGGTTGTCAAAAATGGATAATGTGTATATGATGGTTTATAAGAACTGGCATATGCAAATGTTTCTTACTTTTGCTAAAAATGCTGAACAAGTTTGGGGGGCTAATACCTCACTGTCTAACACGAACATGCAGCTGTAGTTTTGATAGGTTCAGCCAGCTGAGCATGAGGTAATGTAATTGGATTGAAGAAAGCATTTGAATAATAGCCACAGAGATGTCACGTAATGCACCCTATGACGAGTGATTTTGTTTTTTATGAATTTTTATTTAATATTTATTTTAATTTTTCTTCAAATGAATTATAGTTGTGTTTTATTTCTATATTTTGTTTTCAAGTTTAAAAAAGAAAAATTAAATATTTCTTACTCCTTTTTTTATCAAAAAGAATAAAAACACTACAAGTTTTTTTTCTGTTCTAAGCATGATTAATTACCATGACAATTAGTGTTTATTATGAACAACAAATGCAAATAAGTATTGATGGTTAACAGTAGTACTGTAATATATTCTGACCAGCATGAGATTTGCTATCACTTATTTAATGGATTCAATAATAGTACAGTGTAGCATTTATTTTGGTCCTCCCAATGAAAGCTCCATCAAGTCCTGTTTCCAGTCACATTAAACTTTTGTCTAATTAAGATTAGATAAAGATTATACCACTAGAGGGAGTCATAAGTATAAAAAAGGTATGAGACTAAATAATCTTCAGTGGTGAGGACAGGGGACATTTTCACAAAAAAACTATATCCCCAAAATTGGTCTTACCTTTTTGACCAGATTTTTTGTGGATTTTGACCCAAGATGAATAAACAACTTGTCTAGTTAAGGTAATATTAATCCTGTATTATAACAAGAAAGACACTGCTCCCATCTGCTAATACTTCGTTTATTTAATTAGTGGACTACAATGGATTTATATTAAACTGAAGTAGACCAAATTTTTGGTCTAAAAATTAAAACCAGTTTCTGGGCTGATATACTTAAATGAAGCAGGCCCCAGGGCAAAAGAGGGATTGGATCGGCAGATCAGTGTCCATGTAAAGGGGGTCCAAAATGACTGGAAGCACAACTTTTTATAGGTATACAGCTCGTTAACTTGTCATTGTCTCATGTGTGTTGTTAAGGCCGTCAGGTGTGTCCTGCATTTAACTCTGCCTGGTTAAGGCAAGTTCATGTGTCATATCTAGAGATAATGCATAGTGGGATAAAGTTCAAGTTGATTATTATAAATGCAGTCAAAATAGATGTTGTGAACCAGTCAAATAATGGAATTATGGGTGTTATCATATTTTTAACTTGTAGGTAAGTACCCTTGCCCTAGAAAGTAACGAATTACCAGCTTTGTGAAGAAGGCTATACCAAATGAGTGCAATGTTAAGTGAAAGCTAATAACAGTTTGGCTGATATATTAATGCTACAAGGGATTTCATAAACCCACAGCTGTTATTGTCAGAAATATGACTAGTCTTTAAAATTATTCCAAAAGGATGATTACATACTGCAGTTAAGTTAATGGAGTGTGCAGCTGCTCACAGGGGGGATGGGGGGATGGCATCATGTCATTAATTAGGTATTCCAGTCAGGGATCACATCACGGTCATAGCCTAGTTTGTGAGTCATTGATATACTGTTTATATCAGGTAAGGTTATGGCTGGTATAGTTGGTCATGTTGGCAGGGACTCTTGTACCATAGATATGTAAGTTTCACCTACTTATATAATCGAAGAAGAAGAGGATTTATGAAATATTAGTCTGAAAAGAAATTTTATGAGTTCTACTTTTATTTAGTTTGAGGAACCTTGATATTGTGTGCATGCAAATTGAATGTACATGTGTATAATTATCAAACATTTTTTCATTGAAAATTACATTTTTAGCAATACCACTAGTTATTGAAAATTTGAAAAGTTATACATTTAGCTGTCTGTTGGAAATTCAGAGGGCTTGGATAATCTATTGATTTCAAAAGCACTTATTTGAACTGTTGGCAATTTAGCCTTGGTCATTTTGACAGCTTGATGCAAGTTTAATTAGATTGTGTAGTACAGAAATTGATGCTTACAAGTGCAGTAGAAGATTAGATGAGTGTTGCTTGGTAAGGGTGAATATTCTTAAGACTAATTTCCCCGGAGAAATTTGAGAAATTTCATAAACGTACCATCTGGACTGAGAATTTAGTTGTAGGTTAACTGTTTTAGGCCTTAATTCAGGAAGCACTAAGTTGATTGCAATTCACTTATAAGTTTGTAGATGTAATCTCTCAGTTAACTGGTCCATGCCTTGCAATCAAGAATTTACTTTCCTGAAATATAAGGACTAACATAATTATGATAAAAGCAACTATGTCACAGCTTATGTCATTGAATTGTCTGTCATGTATCACAGTCAACATTCATTATACGTGACAACTACCCACAACCTGACCAAGTATTTCCTGAGTGCTTCATTTTATATTTTTATTTATTTTTACGAAATATCATTATCATGATCATTTTATATCGCATAATTTTATGGTACAATGTTAAGACTATTAAAATCAAGAACATATCCTAGAACCTCTGTAGCCTCTGGAAAAGGGCTCTTTCCAGAGGGCTCTTATTATTTTTAACACTGTTTTCTCTTAGGGACCATTCCCACAGATATTTGGATCCATCTATCTCCTTGGGGAGTCTCACTAAATTGCTATCAAACTAACCGGTTTAAACATCTGTCACACCTAGTAAAACTGTTAAGGGGTAATTATCTTTACCCCTTGCTAATTCGGTAGGTGTGACAGACATTTAAGCCTCTTGAGCTGATAGCAATTTAGCGTGAACCCCCAGGGAGTCAGGTCGATCCACATGGATCATTCTAAGTATGGGAACCCAGTCTTAGAGACCTGAGGAGAAGTTATACCAGAGACTTACTACTAAGAGGCACTCAGACAACTTGGGAATAGTCATTTCTGACTGCAAAAGAAACTAGACATATATTTTGTCATAGCTACATAGCTTTTTATATATTTTGGGAACAAACAGACTTGTGGTTTGAAAACATCTTTGAATTCAAGACTAGGTCTAGTAATGGGATAGATTGTCAGTGAGAAATGATAACATTCTTACAAGCTTTGATGGAATTGGAGCATTTGTGGTTGAGTGAACATTAACACAGATAGAATGCTGACAATGCTGCCATTTTCGCTGTTCACTGGTTTCAACCAGCAACTCAGATGACTTCTTTACAAAGACCGATATCTTTTTCATCATATTTAATACAGGAAAAGACCCAGCAGAGTGAAGCAGTATAAAATTCACATTAAGTGCTCTTAGTACACAGGCACAGATGCTGTGTTTTATAATCAGGAATTCATGCTGCTGTAGTTGGTTCCTGGGTATACTAATGGCATCATGTAATCTGGCATTCGAGTACTGTTATGTTAGCATTTAAGTATTTTTGTTTGTGGGACTTGATATAAAAAATAAACACAACTATTCTTTTTGTCTTTGACATTCTTTAAGATGTCTGCCACTATATGATGTCAAGATCCAATTACACATTTTATGGGGCCTTTTCCTCCACATGGCTTAAACCAAGAGAACAGTTACAGCCACACCTCTCTTCTTCTTAATTTGTGCAAATATATAGTTTTGAAGAGGAATTTTATCATTTTAAATTTTAGGATGCAATGAATGTAGGCTTTCTAAAAGGAAAATGGGGAGGTTTAAGAAAGCTTATTCCCCTCATACAGCTCCTTAAGATTGTTTTTATTGAACAATGAAAACAATTTTGTAGAATGAATCAGGAAGTTGGTATTTATCGCATGATAAAACTTGGCTTGAACATTGATTGCATTTAGTATATTTTTTGGTACAATTGATACCCGATACTTAATACTTTTTATTGCACTATAACTTCTTTATAATCAGAATTGTTTAGTCTACATGGATGCCTGTTTTTAATGCCTAGTTCATTTCTTAGTACCAACAAACTTGGGACAAACATAATATCAAGTAACAGTATTTAAAGTAACTATGCAGTTCTAACAGATGTCAGAATTGCATTTCACAGATTGGAAGAAGTTGAGAACATCTCCAACAGTTAAAATACAGTCTATTTATGTATACTTACTGAATTCAATATAATGTTTCTACTTTTCATATTTATCTTGTAGTTATGTGATATCAGTTAATGGCTTAAATGGCTTCTTAATCAGGTATGATGATGGTGCCAAGTAGATGTAAGAGTGCTGTTCAACTGCTGGAAGAAACAAAATCCCAGTATGTGAAAAGTACAACAGTTCTAGTCAACAAGCAGAAACCAAGGAATGCTGAAAATCTTCAAGTTGGAACCAGGTTTGTCTAATTTCTTATTATGGGATATATTTTTATTAAACATTTATTTACATTTTGTAAAGCGTTATTGGTCCTGTCATATGTTACTTCATCAAATGTTACGTATATCAAAGAAAAAAAACATTCAAAAAAATGTTTCAGAATCATCAGCAAATTATTGATGCTCACCAAACTGTAGTGGAAAGAAGTCCTATTATAGAAACATTGGGTTACTAGGATCCCCCTTTTTCTTCATGCTGTTGCCCACATTTCCTGGAAAGAAGTCCTATTATAGAAACATTGGGTTACTAGGATCCCCCTTTTTCTTCATGCTGTTGCCCACATTTCCTTTATGAGTAATTTCAGTTTATGAAAAGGATTTAGTATATATGTAGGGTTGGATAGTTTTTAATTGATGACCATCTCCTCTACTGCAATCCTACTAGGTAACAATACTGTATGTCTTTCTGGTATGACTAGACTAGTTGTACTGATAACTGTTTCCTTTTAAGACCCTATGTATTTTATTTGTGCATTTGACATTTTCTATTGCATTTAATTTGTTCATCAATCCCCACATTAATTCATAGGTATAATATGATGTAATTTGTTTAACTTAATGTCATACTACCAGCATGATAATGTGTCAACATATATTTCAAACCATAATGCTTCTTTTCATTATTTTGGATTCTAGATTGGATGAATGGGATTTCAGTCATAGTATTTAAAATATGCATTCATAACACACATCTAACTCTAAATATGGATACAAATAAGAATACAAATCATGAAATGGCCAAGAACTCTACTCAGCTGTCAACTGTCATGGGACTTGGTTCTAACAGATAATTTAATTTTCTTTGTGAATCTGCCAGAGCTAAATTTCAAATCTAATATAGCCCTCTCAAACGCAGAACATTTGTCAGATTTTTCTATAAGAAATTCTCAAATAATTTTTTTTGGGCATTTTTGAAAAAAAAAACAAATTTAAGCAATAATCAAGATGATTATTTTGTGTTTATGGTATATTTTTACATGTGTAGTTGATTCTGCAATGCTATTCATCATGGGAGATATCCTGTCCCCTTGACCAGGCTCACACATAAGAAAATGGCTATGTTCATAAAGTAAAGGACATGTTACTTGCATATACATGTATGGCAAGAATCAAGGGTGTCCTTTGTTGATTTACAATATTGTTAATATTGAAACTTGAATTCCATATCAGAATTAACACACTACTCTGCTACCAGACATTTATGTATTTGACATTGTTTCATGCAATTCTGTGGAGCACCTCATGTAATACAATTCAGATTGGAAGCAGATGTAGACATAATGTAATTATATACCTTCATTTACATTCCTCAAACATGTGACTGCATGGGCTAGCTGTACAATCGCAGTAACAATGTAAAAGGTGTTATTTGATGGTAAATCAATATGGATGCTGCCAACTTGCATGTCAGGAAATGAGGTGTTTACACTTCAGGCACTCTTCATACAGGATCTGATTTACAATTTTTATTTGCTGGCAAAATTTTATGACATAGATGCATGGTGTACTTTTTGTTAAGCGATTTCAGTTTCTGAAAATTTTCATTAGTCTGTTGTATTTATTTTTCATTAAAGAAGTTGTAATAGTATAATATTCTTTTTCTTTCTTTGTTTTTCTTATATTATATATGCCAATTAACAAAGAGATAAAGAAATCATGGCACATAAGATTAAAAATGGTAAAATATTGAATAAAAATAAGTTTAAGGTATGTTTTTTTTTTTTAGAAATGAATACCTATTTTCAGATGTTTCATTAGGTGGACTTGATGTCTCAAGACATCAATTCAGATTTTTGGAATCCATACTAATGATAATGTAATAATATGAACAGTTTGGTAAAATTTGAAAATTATAGTTGGAAGAGTGGAAATGTGGGTAGAGAACACATATGTTGGGTCTACTTCAATTGTGAATTAATAACAATTTACCCAAAGGCCACTTTTGCTGTGTTAAAATGTCAACTCAGTTACCATCAATCATTTGCAAAAGAATGTGTTTTTTTATTACTTAATCTAAGCCAAGATCCTGAATACAGCCATTTCTTTGTAAGAATACTCTTTAAATCAATAAGGTCCAGAAAAATCTACCATTAGACACTGCTTGATTGCCTTATCAAATCAAGCTTAGGCCATGTGCACACAAGACTGCTCAGTTCCCTGAATAATGCTAACAGCTTATAATAGATGAACTTGTAACCTAGATAAAATCATTATTTTCAAGAGGTAAAAGAAAGAAACTAGCCTAGTTGCTAAAGGATACCACGCAAGGATGATTGCAGAAAATTGATTTCAGAGCATCTCTCAGGTTACTTCTTTCACAATCAGCTTTCAGGCTGAGGGAAACATATTAGTCCCACAAGTCTGTTGGATCTAGTAATTTGTATTTCCTAAATATTGGTGCTATCATGGGATAAATAATAGAGATTGTATATTGAATCTGCCACTGCTGACTCATATGTTTCTATTTCTCATTTTTGCATTTAGGCAGAAGAATTTAGCACCCCCCAGTGAATTGGATGGTAAAAACAACATTGCTACCATTGATCGAGGACAGTTGCAGGCAGATGTTCTTTCCAATACAGCCACAGCTCAATGTAGGTCCAGCCCAAACTTTTCAGCGGCACATGTAAGAGGTTCTGCTGAACTTCATTGTAGACTGAAACTGCAAGGCCAAGAGTCCTGCTGCTCAGGACCAAATGCTCAGATTGCCAAAGATTTAGACAGTTTTACAGAGAGTTCCAGGGATCCAGTTGGTGACAGTCCCCCTCCTAAATCAGTCTTGTATAAAAGAACAAGGCAGCAAATTGGAGGCGATGCAAGTGCAATAATAGCTAGTAGTAATGGGGGAGCGACAGGCTCTGGACAGTCACCTTATTTTAAAAGAGCTCGTCAGCAGGATTCTGTCAATATTACTTCACAGCAGCATAATCAAAAAATGAATTCTATTGATCGAAACAGTCAAACCAAGTCCAGTATTAAGTCTACTTCTTCTCGAGGTAGTACTGGACATGGATCACCTCGAAGGATTGATGTCAGGCCTAAGATAACCATTCTGGAACCTGTCCATCTCGAGTCCTCCTCCCACCCTGTTCCCCAGAGTGGATGGAGAGATTACCGTGGCACAGCCAACTCATCAGATAATCAGTACACCACAGATGAGCAGAGCAGCTCACAGGGTGAAGGTACAGGAGATAGCATCGTACGCCTTCGTCCTAGAAGATACAGTATACAGCGTTCACGATCAGATCTCAGTCACAGGTTCAACCGAAATAGTAATGACTTCTCAGATATGAGCTCTCGGCTTTCTCGCACCAGTACAGACTTGGAAAAGTTTTTCAATGAGATGGGATTGGAGGGTAGTGTCATTGGACCCATGCTGAAGTCACAGACTGAGTCAAAAGATGAATTACAGATTTTTGAGAGTGCCAGCTCTCTAGCTTCTCCTGCTAAATGGAGTGTATGCAGCGGCGATTCTCGACTGGACTTAGATGGCCGGGCAACCCCAACTTCAGTAGTGGAGAGAAATGCTAGGATAATAAAATGGCTTTGCAATGTGCGGAAGGCAAGGTCTAGAAGTACGTCAGAACTGGAATAGACATTAACACTAGCTTACAATATTGTATTAACAAGTTAGTATTGATCACAGAATGACAATAACCTTAAGGCAGTCAATCTCTTCAAAGAGGTTTCCTGGGATCCAGAACACCAATATTGACACTTCAGCATTTTCAAGCCATGAAGTAAGATAATTGCATCCATTTAAATGATCTTGAAATAACAGATGATTGCATGAAATGTATGTTTATATCTGAAACTATATGAAAGAACTCATGCAACAAAGTCATTTTTGGCGTAAAAATCAATGTTAATTGGTTTTGGGAGAAAGGTAGACCCAAGGAATTGCGTAGAAGAAAAAAAGGCAAAAAAGTAAAAATAAGTCTGACATAGGGTGCTGAAACACAGGAAAAAAAGTACAAGGTGTAAGTTATTTTCAATCTATAAAACTATACATACTGTGCAAAAAAAATTACATGTATGCTTTACAACCTGTGGAGTACCTTACTATTACCTTAATTATGATGACAGAGTAGTATTGCATTAATAATTTTAGACTGATGTCTGTAAGAAGGCATAAAATTTTAAAGAAAGAATGAAAATTATGTGAACTATATGTACCTTCAAGAAATTTGCTGAAAACAGTAAACTAACCAGTGTAGCACTGTTCAGTGCAGTTGAAGATCAAATGAACAAATGTAATGGATAGGGAATTCCTAATTAAAATGACCATTTTGATTTGAACTTTACCTACCAGTGTCAATTGTACATGCCCTTTCCATGTGAAAAGTTGCATTAAATACAATTTCTGATCAATTGTGCATGTATTCCACATAAATCTGACAAATTATTTGCCTTCTTTCTCCATTTGAAGCCTTTGTTTAAACTTGTATTTCAATTTTTCATGTGCAATAATCATATACCTTTAATCTAGGTTATGTATTACTTAACTGATTCTTACCTAGTTTAAATGTTTTTTTAAATTTATTATTTTTATTTTATTATTATTTTTTTCAAATTAACTCGCTTTTGCATCTTTTTTTTTAAAGATAGAGCAAGTTGCTTCTGAAATATTGGACAGGTAAAAGGCGCTTCTCATAAAGTTTTGATGAAATATGATGCCTCAGGCCAAAGCATAGGCCAACTGTTTAGTTCCATCAATTTTTGAATGATATCACACAAATGATATATTATTTGCTCCCTCAATGTGACTAAATAAAAATTTCTGAACGAAATGCATTTGGTTGTTTTTGTCAATTTTTCCGTCACAACTATCGCAATGAGGAAGTCTAATGTGAAGTGCAAGCCACATCTAAACCTAATATAGAGGTGCAATTCACAGGCATGCTCTTTAAAATATTTAGTGCTATGATTGCAAACTATGTCTGATTATTTTAGGGTCCCATGTGAAGAAGTTTGTATCAAATTTTCACTGTCCTGGAACCATGATTTTAGAAAATAATTCATTTTCTATCTCCAAAAAGGGAACATACGTTACTGTCAAAAATGCAAAGCGTTCAACTATGAAACGTTTTACTCACTTTGAAAATTCAGTCATCACTGGTTTTGTTCTTTGATTTATCTCCTACAAGTATAACGTTGTAAAGAGTTATAATAGTCTTCTGTATGGGGTCCGCCATATAGATAAACGTCCCAATAAAATATTCGCCCCGATAGATACGTCTCTATACATACACGTCTCAATAGATTTACGTCTCGTTAAATTTACGTTCCGATAGATCCACCAACAGATTCCTATAAACCCACGTATCTTTAGATCCAGGTACCGCTAGATCCATCTATCTGACATCGTAATCGGCTAAAAGGCCCATATCAACTTGCGTTGTTAAATTTAGAACACATTTTTATGTTCNAAAAGATAGAGCAAGTTGCTTCTGAAATATTGGACAGGTAAAAGGCGCTTCTCATAAAGTTTTGATGAAATATGATGCCTCAGGCCAAAGCATAGGCCAACTGTTTAGTTCCATCAATTTTTGAATGATATCACACAAATGATATATTATTTGCTCCCTCAATGTGACTAAATAAAAATTTCTGAACGAAATGCATTTGGTTGTTTTTGTCAATTTTTCCGTCACAACTATCGCAATGAGGAAGTCTAATGTGAAGTGCAAGCCACATCCAAACCTAATATAGAGGTGCAATTCACAGGCATGCTCTTAAAAATATTTAGTGCTATGATTGCAAACTATGTCTTATTATTTTAGGGTCCCATGTGAAGAAGTTTGTATCAAATTTTCACTGTCCTGGAACCATGATTTTAGAAAATAATTCATTTTCTATCCCCAAAAAGGGAACATACGTTACTGTCAAAAATGCAAAGCGTTCAACTATGAAACGTTTTACTCACTTTGAAAATTCAGTCATCACTGGTTTTGTTCTTTGATTTATCTCCTACAAGTATAACGTTGTAAAGAATTATAATAGTCTTCTGTATAGAGCTCTTTGAGCAACTTTAGTTTGCTTGTCACTGAATATTAAAAAAAGAAGAAAAAAAACAGGGAAAATACATCCTACCAACAGTAAGATAAGCATCAAATAAATTATTTTCCCCCTCGTGCTCCAAATATATCAGAAATGTCAAACTATAGAACTATCATTAAATCAAAATATATTTTTCGGTCAGCAAAAGAAGACATTGTTTTCTCTTGCACCAAGTACAGTACTTAAACAAAATGAAACATTTTTACAATTTTTCTAGGGAACATGCCTTACCCAGTATATTATTATTATTATTATTATTATTATATTATTATTATTATTTTATTTATTTTTTTATTATTATAATTTTTTATTTTTTTATTTTATTTTTTTTTTTTTTGAGACTTCAGCATGTGAAATGCACCTCTATATTGGGTTTGGGTGATCAGTGTCTTTACAAGTCGAATGTGAGAGTACGTGTTGCCTTGATTAAAATCCCATTATTAAATGTTCTATTAACTGTAATGAAAATGCCTAAATGTGGCCATTTAGAACGATAAATTAAAGAACACTTTGAAAGTTTGAAGATTAATTTTTTATAGCGTCATGTGCAAAAAAATATCTTATCACTGAGCAGATATTGAATTGTTTTTGATAAGCATTTGATTGTTGTCTTTTAATTATCCTCTGCGTAAACTGTTCACGAAACGTGAAGGCGAGTGTGTTAGAGTGTTGCGATTGTTGCGGTTTATGACCGAAAGCTTCTGCTGGTGCTAAGGTTTGTCTTGGCATCAGCGCCTGACGCGCCATCTTCAGGAGGTGACTTAGTTGCGTTATATTACACAACTACTGAGCAGTCGTCAGGCAGACTTCGACGCTGTGTGGCAAGGAGGAAGTGGTGTGGTCGTTTCGCGCACAGAATGGCACAGGTAAGAAAATGGCTCTGTATTCACTCATGCAGAGACTTTGACTAATGTCATAAATTACTTTTGCAAATTACTCACTGTTTTTTTTCTTTTTCTTTCTTTTTTTTCTTTTTGCTGAAACTCTCGTCTGTAGACCCACTCAAATAACATGTACATGTACCTCAGGTTTCATTTTGTACAGTATTTGAAAGGGCTGAAATTTTCTTTTTAAAACACCGAAGAAGTATTAAGGGGATTGTCAAACTAATTTAGTTGAAGAGCAGAGACATTGATTAATGTAATCACACAAATGAATTTGGAAAAACACTGAAAACCAAAGATAAATTATTTATTATTTATTGGGGGAGGGGGCATGCCATATCAAATAAATAAATAAATCACATTCATCACGTGTTGCATGATTGTATCTTTAAGACATTTAGATCCTTCCACAACCCCACCCTTAAGGGAGCTAGGGTAGACTATAGTTATTTATTTCAGCTAAACTAATGTATAAAGCCTAAATCATTTCTTTATTGTTTTTGTACATGCCTCAGACTTACGATTCACTGATAAAATTAAATTAAGGAGAAATGGTGCCTCTTCCAAAGGCAAAGTAGCACATATGAATGTGAGAATCTAGAATATTTCAGATTGTGCATTTTACACCTTTTGTTTGTGGGGAATATAATTTTGATGACACGTACCACGTATTAGGCAGTAGTAGGCAGAATTGTTTGAAGTACAGAAGCAAATACGGTACATGCATCTTTTCTTTTTCAGGTTCACAATAAAGACCTGCATGAACCAAACTGATTTATAGAAGTATTGTAGGCATTGCAGTAACCACAGAAAACGCAACATGGTTGCAAGCTCAGGAAAGCAGTTCACTCTGCTTCTCTGGAAGAACTGGCTCATTCAAAAGCGCAAGGTGGCTGTGTCTTTTTTCGAAGTTCTTCTACCTGTGGTTTTCACTGCGCTGTTGATAGTCATACGGCTTTTGGTGTCCACCAGGGAAGAACTAACTACCTATTATCCTGCACAAAGTTTAAACACTACTCCTGAGTTTCAGTATCCACTCCAACTAAAGGCTCTAGCACTTTTAAAAGCCACTAATGCAAGTGCTTCACTCCCGTACTGGTTTCCTCTCAGTGCTATTTCCTTTGGTGGGGGGCAGCCTGGGATAGTGGGAATAATTGGATACACACCAGACACACCTCTTATCAAGAGAATCATAGAGAGAAGTGCAGCATGGCTTGACAATAAAGTTGAAGGTAGGCATATGAACTCTGTACTGTAGTCTGTCAACATGTTGCTTGTTTAATCAGAACATTAACACACGTATACACCATCATAACTAACCTAATAAGATAAAGAAAGTCCTTTTTATGAATAAACCTGATTGCTCTTTAAATGTGGCTATTTTAAATTTTTCAAACAGTTTATTTTCAACCACCATGATTTCCAGTAGACAAATATCATCATCATCATCACATTATTATTATTATTATTATTATTATCATTATTATTATTATTATTATTATTATTATTATTTGTTCTTTTATTTATTTATTTTGCAGTTTTGCCATTTAGTTCAGAAGAGGATATGGTCTTTTTCATGGACAGTAATCAGAGTGCTATACGTGCTCTTGGTGGAGTTGTGTTCACCAATGTTGAAAATTCAAGCCTGCCACAAGCTATTCAATACAAAATTAGGCTCAACTCAACAGACCTCTTACCTGATGGCTCATACACAAGAAGAAATTGGCGTACAGACCGAGTTTTTACATTTAATATTGGTTCAAGACCTCGTGACGGAACTAATGACCGTAAGTTGAAGGGAATAACATGTAAAAATATTATGGTTTATGCATTGCAGAGATATTATTAAGCTTTATAAAACCATATATAAAGAAAGATGACAAAATTACAATTTTATTTATTTTTTGACAATGATTTAAGTTAGGTTTTTATTCATAAAACATTTTCGAAATATATTTTAGCATACAAAGGAAAGGGTTTTCTTCAAATCCAACAAGCAGTAGACATGAGCATCATTCTAGAGCTGGATCCAACAGCAGATGTTGCAGATTATGCAGTTCATATCCAGCGGTTTCCATATCCCTCCTACTTTGTGGATGTATACGTGCTGATAGTGACTGGTAACCTGCCACTTTTTATGATCCTCAGCTTCCTGCTGTTTGCTTTGCAAATCCCAAAGCAAATAGTATATGAGAAGGAGAAGCGATTGAAGGTTAGTCTACATAATATACCTCCGATACCTCTGAGATCAAACCCTATGCCTGTTCCTGAATTTTGACATTCTTTTCAAAAGAAATTGGTTGTATTGGTAACATGCACAGTAATCCTGAAAATGTTGATGAGTTTCAACTTTGCATGCTCATTATGCATTTATGATTACAAGATGTATTAAAAGTATTAACTCTTTTTTTCCACAGGAGTATATGCGTATGATGGGGACAAGTAACTGGCTTTACTGGATGACATGGTTTCTCAAATGCTTCATATACATTTTGGTGGCTGTAGCAATAATGACTGTGCTGTTCAGTTTAAAAGTGAATAGCGGATTCAGCGTCTTGGGAAAGAGTGATGCTTCTGTTATGTTTATTTTCCTTCTGATCTATGGGGTTGCCACAATATCCTTTTGCTTTGTCTGCTGTGTGTTCTTTGACAATGGTGAGTAAAATGTTCAATTTGATGAAAATAAAAACTTTTTGTTATTCTATGCTATTTCATTTTTTTTTAGTTCAAAATGTTATCAATATTCCTTGTGAGTTTTAAAACCATGTGCAAAATTTTGTGCTGCTAAAGATATAAACAAGTATTACTTACAGTTGAAAATTTCCCAATCTGTCTTAAGGCATAGGCCAAGGCTATATCTCAGCTCTGCACATTTTCTTTTTACCCTCTGCCAGTGTTCCATAGGTTGAATTAAGGTTTATACTAGAAATTATGATAAGTATGCTACATTTTTTTTTCATTACAGCTAATGCGGGGGCTGGTGTGTGTGGACTGCTCTATTTCCTGACCTATGTCCCATGGTTTTTTCTATCCAACCAGTATGAGAACATGACAAGGTTCCACAAGGTGATTGCTTGCCTGATTCCCAACCTGGCTCTTTCTCTGGGAACCTATGCTGTAGGACAACACATGTCAACAGGTAGGGTGTTAATGGGGTTAATGTGTGTATATTGCTGTATTGCAATAATTTTTCATTTATTACCATACTTTGTACATATAATCCACATCCCTGGCCGGTAGCCAGCGATTTCAAAGGGAGGGGGGTCTTTTTCTGAAAAAAGTGAACTTTTTACCATGAAACTTTTGTGTACATAGATCAAATTTTGCCCAGAGAGGACCTTTTCCTGGCAAAAAAGGCAGTTTGTTGGTAAATCCCCCCCCCCCCCCCACCACCACCCCCCCCACCACCACCACCACCGAATCCCCTGCCTATGGGCTTGCAGCCAGTAATTGGATTATCCAACAGATGACAACATACAATCATTCATTTAATTTGCAAACATATTACAATGACAGCTAGCTCTAAATGAATACCCTGCAGATTCAATAATTTTGTATACTCTTTGTTGACCTATTCATACAGTAAATGCTTGCATACAGTATTGGATACAGACACACATGAGGCATGTTACAGGTTGTAAATGACTATGTATATAACTCCTTCATAAATATCTGGATATGTGCACGCAGAATAGCTACTGCTGCAGTAATGCTAGCTAACGGTGTACCTCAGCAGGAAAAGCATTATCACCTCTGCCTAGGCTTTTTTTCCCCTTTGTATTGTTAATTTGTTGGTTTAGTGCCTAACTCAAAATTTTCTGCACAGATTTTATAGTATTTTTGTGGTTTTTCATGGTTAACTCAGAATGAATTAGATTTTGGTGGTGATTCATTTCTCATTAGTTAATTAATTGATGATACTAATTGAGCTGCCTTGGCTGAGGTCTGTACTTTATGATTGCTATTCAAGTTGTCAAGTGAAAAGAAGTCATGTTATTGCATGTGTTGATAAAGTATGCTGTTTGCCTGTGCTGTATTTGAGGGTAAAGTATTAGAAAATCAATATTACTTTCATGTTGGTATTAAATTATGAATTATTGATGACATTCATTTGAAAAAAAGTTGAGCTATAAACAATAACCAACAGATTATGAAAAAAGGTTGCCAAAACATTTTTACCAAAGTGCATTCTCTGCTAAAATGAAATTTCCTCCACTTTTTTCCCTTTGACAACATATACTGTAAAAACAAATATAATGAATGGTATGCAAGCTCAGGTCTACTAGTATGTTGGCCAGAACCATCTTTGTTTAAGGGGCACTGCTGTTCATAACAAGTAGTTACATCCGTACTATACGGGAGAAAAGAATTCCATTTTTTTCCTTTGTTATGTTACATCATTTGAACAANTCCAATAAGCGATTCATGATCCTTGTAGGTCTGATAATTGCAATACAAGGGAGTTATCTTATCAATCTCACGATAGAATAGATTAGTAACATACTGTACAGGCATATTGTTTCAAACTTTTTTTATGGTTGATGTCCATTGAAGAAAAGCTGTTGTAACAGCTACATAGGATTTCCCCTGTATTTAATGCCGGGTAGTTCCTTGCAAAATATCAACTCATAAGAGTAACTTTAAAAAATGGTTGTATTATGTTATAAACTGCATAGATGGTATGCTGCCTGGTTGTAAACCAACATTATATGTTAGCTAAATCATTTACTTGCTCTTTGGGAGAAAGGTATGAAAATGAAACAAACAGAAGCAATTCAAGGCATATTGTACTTCTGTTTTTACTTCATCCCAACCTCCTTTTCTTGTTGTCCAGGTGAGGGAGTGCAGTGGTCCAACTTTAACAAGCCTGCTGTGGTAGATGATGACTTTTCCCTGGCGGATGCCATGTTTATGTTACTCTTTGATGCCGTGCTTGGTTTTCTACTTACCTGGTATGTGGAGGCAGTCAGACCTGGGAAGTATGGAGTGCCACAGCCATGGTATTTCTGCTGCACTGTAAGCCATTGACAGTTTTCTTCTATATATAGTTAATGCAGTCCTTTTCCCACAGGTCTTATCCAGAGGTTTTTTGAGTCATTGTAATTGTCTAATTTGACTGGAAAGAAATCTGTAAACAATCTTGAAGTTGAATTTTTGATGCACACACGTTTGAGTTCAAGAAGAAAAAAAAAGACAACAAAATATATATGCTTTTTACGTATTTGGTTGTTCTGTTTGCAGAGAAGCTATTGGTGCGGGGAGAAGGTGAGCGATGATCATGATGAGGAACACCACACACAAGGAGTTGGTCAGGAACAAGAATTCTTTGAAGCTGATCCTGTAGGGTTTAATGCTGGCATTGAGGTCAAGGGTCTAAGAAAGGTACAACTTAGACACACTCTCATAATACTCATATTGTACCAAACATTTATTTTTACCATGCTTTGAAATCTGCACTTCATTAAAATTCCCTTTTTCTGTGTATCATTAAGCATGTGAATGGCACACATAATTTTCCCGCATTGTGGCTGCTACCTTAAGTTACAAATCAAAGAACCATGTTATTTTATCAGAATATGTGCACTTTCCTTTTTCCTTGTATTTCCAGACGTTTAAAGGAAAGAAAGTAGCAGTGGCTGGGATGTCTGTGACTATGTATGAGAACCAGGTGTTTGCTTTGCTGGGGCACAATGGTGCAGGGAAAACAACTACCATGTCCATGCTGACTGGTAAGAGAATTTCTCAATAAAGGGATGGCATTTTGAATGATTTATTGTGCTTTTATCTAAGGCTCTATTCCCATAGGTTTTAGATCGATCTATCCCCGCGGGGAGTCTCACTAGATTACTTTCAGATAATCCGACTTAAATGTCTGTCCCGCCTACTACAAGCTGTAAGGAGGAAATTAACTTTCGTGTCCGCCCGGCTGACAGCTATTTAGCGTGAACCCCTAGGGAGTTAGGTCGATCTAAAGTAGGTCGATCTAATCTATGGAAATGGGGTGTAAGCTTTATTACCATTACATTTTAATGCACCAGTTATGAATGTCCAATTTATGATGATTTCAGGTTTCATCCCCCCAAGCAAGGGCACAGCAGTCGTCAATGGTTATGACATAAGAAAAAGCATTTCAAAAGCTCGCGAGAGCCTTGGATTATGCCCTCAACATGATGTCTTGTTTGAAGCTCTGACAGTAGAAGAACACTTGGAATTTTATGTGCAGGTACAGTAAGATATTATTTGAATGTCATTAGAAATGGCATATTATTAACCTTGTTAAGTTATTTATTGATTTTGATTTTTTCAGTCTCAGTGTTAATATGAGAGCAGGAACAACCCTTCCTTCCAAATGTACTCTATTCTCTTTTTAACACCTACCCATTCCCAAAATAACATTTGTCAAAAGAAGAAAGAAAAGAAAAGAAAGAAAAAAAGGAGCAGTGCTGCACTCTATAAATTTTTCTTGAATATTGGTCTTTTGAAGATGAAAGGTGTGACTGGGTCTGCTGTTAAAATGGAGGTTGACAAGACACTTGGCATCATGGGAATGCTAGACAAAAGGAAATCTTTCCCCTCAGGCCTGTCTGGAGGCATGAAGCGCAAGCTGTCTGTTGGCATAGCTCTAATTGGAGATTCCAAGGTAATTTATCTCTGTGGGGCCTTGTTAAGTAGCTGAATCATGAGTGTTCATTAGTAACAACATGTGGAGAGACAATACCATGGTAACTTGCTTATTGCCATGAATTCAAGATTGAAAATGGCAAGAGACAAATTTGTTTTGCTGTATATCCACCTACGGAAATATTGTTACATACCATCATATTTCCTGTTATTGATTTTTATCTACTTGAGTTAATCTTTTTGTTTGTGCTCTTTCAAGGTTATTTATATGCATGTATGAGTAGCAACAGCTTTATGTTGAAGTTTCCAAAATGACTTTCCTCAGACTGAATAATCGATTAATGATGACGTTCTACCTTTTTCTCCAAGTTTAAGTTACTTATTTCTCATGATTACATCCGGTTATTAAGTACACAGCAGTGATTGATTTTATAGCAAACACCTGTGTCTAGCCATGTCACAGAAATGGAAGTCAGAGTAGAGGCTGTGCACATTTCCTATTATTACAGATAAATTCTATATCAAAATGAGTATTGTATCTTAGCTTAGTGGGATTGTTTTTGTGCAAAAATGAAGGTCAAGTTGAATTTGAAACATATATTATAAGAATTTCAGAAAACACATAAAACTTGAATGAAAAAAGAAAACCCTGAATTTAATAAATTTTCAGATTATAATGCTTGATGAGCCCACCTCTGGTATGGACCCCAGTGCCCGGCGCCAGACCTGGGACATCATCCAGGGGGCAAGACAAGGCAGAACCATAGTCCTGACCACACACTATATGGAGGAGGCAGACCTGCTGGGAGACAGGATTGCCATCATGGCTGAGGGGGAGTTGAGGTGCTGTGGAAGCTCTCTCTTTCTCAAGAATAAATATGGTGAGCATAATATTTAAGATTGACTTGCATATGTAATACATGTATGATATGGCCAGTGTTTTCTCTGCATAGAGATAAACAAAGCCGGTGACCGTGAATTAACTTACCAGCCACCCCTTTGCAGTCCTGTGTGAAATAACATGTAATAAGGCATTTTTAATTCAATTGTTAAAGCTTTTCAGTTGAAATATTTTCTTCTTCAAAGAACAGATATAATTTTGATTTTTCATTACTTGTCACATCCAGAGGTGCTTGGTGTTTAATAGTACAGGAACACAAATACTTTAATGTAGGTACATAAATGGAGGCACAGCACTAAATGTTTGACTTGATCTTAGGAAGTTAAACATGGCTTGAGTTAAGATGTACATACAGTTTGTTTTAATTTTGTTTATACAAGATCACTATTCCTACTGAAAGATGTGTCATTTGTAAAGTAGAACACAATGCAATAATAACAGTGTTCACTCTTACTTTAACAGGGGCTGGTTTTCACATGGTATTGGTGAAAGAACAGGCATGTAATATAGATGCAGTGACCCAGATGATCCAGGGCCATGTGCCTTCCTCCACCTTGGAGACTGACATAGGTGCTGAGCTGTCTTATGTCCTGCCCAGGGAAGAAATATGTCGTTTTGAAGGCTTGTTTGCTGACCTGGAGGTGAGGCACAAGGACTTGGGGGTGTCCAGCTTTGGTGTGTCTCTCACAACCATGGAGGAGGTGTTTCTCAAGTAAGGGCTTCAAAATATCTTAGTAAACTGAGGTTGGGAGTAAGGTACAAATAGGGGACCAGGTTTTATGTTTTTGGTGTCATTTTGTTATTAAACATTGATGGGGATTACTGTAAATTAATTGTGTAGTCTTGGAAACATTTGGTATTCTACACAAACACATAACCAGATCACTTGAGTAAAACTCCAATAAAAAGATATTCATCATGCTTCTATTTCCTATTCATACTTTATACAGAGTCGGCGAAGGTATTGATGTGAATGAAGAACTAGTCAAGAGCCCCTCAAGAAAACTGAGTGTGCGCAAACCAGCTGTTGGATATGCCAGTCTGGAGGAAGAACAGGACGGCAACAGTGGTGTTATCATGGTGAAGAGCAATGGTGATATCCCTCTACAGGAAGTCGGGGGAGTGACCAAAGGACCAGGTACAATGTGAACAAGTAGATTAAAATATAAATTGTTAGCATTTGTTGTCAGTTTAAATTTGCTATTAACTGAAATTTTTATATAGTATAGATTTATATTTTGAACAATACCAACAAAATGTTATTGCAGAGAAAAAAATAATGAATTTTTAATTACCCAAGCATGTAAATTAAATCACTAACATTTGCTTATACATTTACCTACATGTGTAGAGACATTTTATTGTGGTATAATTTTTTCCAGCATTTAATGTTGACTTAAAGAAAAACTCTGGCCTAAAACTCCACCTCCAGCAGCTGTATGCCATGCTCGTGAAGAGAGCTCTGCACACCTGGCGCAACAGAGTGGTGACACTGGCGCAGTTACTGGTGCCAGCCATTTTCACCATGCTGGCACTGGCGCTGGACCTGATCCCCGCCAGCACACAGAGTGACTACCCAGCCCTCAAGATGAATACTGAGATGTTTGGCAGTGATCCCAATTATATTGCCGCAGGGTACCAGCCAGGGGACGTGGTGCTGAGCAACATAAGCCAGAAATATGGTCTGAATATGCCAAGCAATACACAAGTTCAGGATGTCAATGCTGCCTCTGCTAATGGTTCTGGTGATGTGGAAAGTTACCTACTTCAAGAAGCTGATAGACTTGGTATTGCAAACTACAACAAGTATTTCATTGCAGCAGCCTCCTTTGATACCAATACCTCATCAGCAGTGAAGGAAATCATAGCTCATAGCAATGGACAGCCTCTACATAACTCTCCTATAGCTGTAAACCTGGTCACCAATACCCTATTGAGATATTTTGTCAATGAGTCCTTCAGCATTGAAGTCACTAACCACCCATTGCCCTTTCCCTCCGATTTCAAGAGAGAGTTGCAGAGCAACTCCAGCATGTTGTTTGGCTTCTTGATCCAGCTGTGCATACTGTTTGGGATGTCCTACCTGGCCAGCAGTTTTGTGGTGTTCCTGGTCAGGGAGAGGGACAACAATGCCAAGCACCTGCAGATAGTCAGCGGAGGACGCCTTGTGACATTTTGGTTGTCCACCTTCATTTGGGATCTCATCAATTACGCAATTGTGTTTGCACTGATTATCATAGTATTTGCTGCATTCCAACCAGAGGCATACTCACAGGGTGGACGTCTGGGCTTTGTTGCTCTCTTGTTGCTACTGTTTCCATTTGGCATGCTACCATTAATGTATTTATTGTCATTCTTCTTCAAGACGCCAGTGACTGCTTCAACTCTGTTGACCTTTACCAACATTCTTTTAGGTATTGACATTTTGTTGGTTTTTATGCATTGATGTTTATAATGTATTTTGAATTTTAATATGATTTAATATTGATTTTTCTTTAGTGAACAAATGTTTGTTGATAGACAAAACTTTAAACTGTCTTCTACGCTGTTCTTATCATTTTTAGAATCTGTGAATTAATATTCCTTTGATGTCCTAATGTGTTCTTCCAGTGTCTCTAGGTTTTGGTATTTATTTGTACGGGTCATGAAGTAGCCATTATCATATTTTTTTACCCCAAACTTATCTCAGGTCTAACTGCCACGCTGACAGTGTACCTCCTGGACGCCCTCCATGACCCAGATACCAACACTAACACCAGGCCTATAGCTGTTGTCCTGGATTGGATATTCATTGTCCTGGCTCCAAACTATAACCTGGGCAAGGGCCTGCAGGACATGTATAATAATTACCAGAACATCAAACTGTGCACAGACAGCAAGGTACAGGATTTGTGTGACCTCGGAATTGGTAATCCTTGTTGCAAAGGTAATTAAGGCACCAGGTGTTCTAAAATTTCTGAGAGTGAGGTATTGTGTTATGAAATAAGTGACATAAATTAAGTAAATGTATATGCATGTATATGTAATGTTTATAATGAGCTCTCTTATTTATCTTCAGTGTATTTATTACTTCAGTGTGCTAAATTAAGGATATTAAGGTATTTGGTGTTTTTGATAAAAGTAAAGGTTGGATCTGTAGACTGATATCAGCTATTTAGCGTGAACCCCCTTGCTTGATATAAAGCAAGATATGCCTTCATGGGTCTGTTCGATCCTGAAATGATCTCACGTCCCTGGTGATCATATGACCCAAGCAATGGCCTATTTGGGGATCATCCCCAACTACTAAATGAATGTTTTCATCAAAAAGTATCCCAGGGGAGGTACAGCTATTCTGATTACATATTATACGCATTTTATTTTTCTAGATAACTGTGGAGACAATTGTTTGAAGTATGAAGAGAACTACCTTGCGTGGCCTGCCCCTGGAATCGGGCGTATGGTGATATTCCTGGTGGTACAGTGGGTATTCTACTTCCTCATCCTGGCCCTGCTGGAGTCTGAGATCATCAGTAACACTGTATACAGAAGGCAGTCAGCCCGGGTGGCCAATGGGGACCTGGGCCAGTCTGGGGAGGCTGTAGATCAGGATGTTTTAACAGAACAGGGGAGAGTTCAACAAGAAATAGCCTGTGAGAATGATGTTCTGGTGCTGAAGAAGTTGACCAAATATTATAAGAATATGCTAGCTGTTGACCATCTCAGTTTAGGGATACCAAAAGGTGTGTGGATATTTTATTGCTTCTTCATTGAAAATAGCAATAATTCCCATTGCAAATATAATAGTAATGTTTTAAAGCAGAAGTTTTAATTCAAGAAACAAAAACAGATTCTGAATTCAGCAAAATAGTTTTTGCTCATTTATACAAAAGATGTAGCATGGTAACAGGTAATTATATTTACATCTAGACTTAGTGAAAACACCTTACCCATTGCATGTTATAGTATAACCACAACGAGATCTGACGGTTATTGCCCTTGACAGAATGGCCTTGTTTCCTTTATCTTAGACATCAGGCAACTTAGTATTAATGTCACTAAAGCAGAACTAAATTTGTCAAGCAGCTCTTTGCTCCTTGCATACATCAACCAAAAAGTCCAAACACAGATTCTGAAATGCTGTTGCAACATTTTATATATATTATCAGGTGAACTATTTGGGCTTCTGGGTGTGAATGGAGCAGGGAAGACCACTACCTTCAAGATGTTGACTGGGGACCTCCTCCCCTCCTCTGGCAATGCACTCGTAGGACATTATGGAATAAGGGACCAGGCTGATAAGGTAAGGGTGCTTTCTGATATTTGAACTATACCCCCTTTTCCCACATGCAATGGACTGCACTCAGGGATCAGGTTGCATGTATACCAAATAACACTGGTCACAGATTCTGCCTTTTCTTCATATCAAAGGGCCATGTTAGCATCATTATCTTATCATTTTAGTTATATAAGGCTAGCACTGAATTCATGTATTCATAGAAAATGGCATGGTTCAAAATTAATCTGTTTTTAAGAAAGTGACACCATATAAATGCCTGCTTCAATATGTTTATTTTTGTATTGTTCATTTCGTTGAATGTTTCCTTTTCTAGATAAGAAAACATTTTTGTTGCTTTTTGTTTAAGGTGAGACAGATGATAGGCTATTGTCCCCAGTTTGATGCCCTGATTGAACAGATGACAGCCAGGGAGCTGCTGGTATTCTTTGCTAGGCTCCGTGGTATTTCCTCAGCAGAAATCTCCAGGGTGGTAGATGACATCCTCAAAGCTCTGCTCATAGAGGAGCATGCAGACAAGCAGTGTGGAACTTACAGGTACTTGATTGTCTCTGTAGAATTTTACTAGGCTCATACCCTGAGCTTCAGGTCAGCTTCTTCATTTTCAGGTCTACATATCAAGCTGGCATAAAACCTAAATTAAATCTATTGAATAAAATTGAGATAAGTTGGTCATGTTTTAAACAGGAGCATGATCAAATTATTAGAGCACAGTATACTTTCCAGTACTAGTCTGAGGTTAAAAAAATCTGAATTGATTTACATCACAGGGCTAGCAAGGCATAATTGTGAAGGGTGAGAATGGCTGCAGGTGTTTAGTCTTAGTATTGCTGCTCTAAAAGAGGCAATAGACTATGAACAAACTACAATGTCCCCTAGGTGGCTCCAGTCTAAAGAAGTACTTGTAAATTTCTGTTTTGTCTTGTAGTGAATGGAAACAACCGCCATTATTAGTTGCATAGTTGTCAGCCAGATTATCTGAGTTATGTGCAGTCAAGTCCTTGACTTTGACTCTATGCTAACTACTATGGATTTTGGTCAGGTATTTCTGGTGACACAGTGATGGCATGAGACCTTCAATCATTTTGTAGAAGAATATAAATCTGTGTGCTTTACATCTGACCTGTCACATAAAGGGGTTAGGCCTAGGTCCTTTGACATTTTGGAGGCACACCCCTGTTTTCTATCAGCATAATTGCCCGTTATGAAATGTGCTGCCTGTCTTTGAAATTCTTCAATTTTATCTGTACTGGTATCTTTCTGGTGAAAGGGATCCATTCAATTGTACACCTACTGTAGAGCGGATTAAGTATCAATAGGCTAGATCTGCAGTGAGGATCCAATTATGTTCTTGACCTGCACCTGAAATAAGATGTCAACAGGTTAAACACTCTTTTCCAGCGTGATGGGCGGCAGACCTTGGAAACTCTCTCCTCCATGCCCGCTGTCATAGTTTGTGTCTTTGTTATTGACTGTCTTCCCTCTTTTGACAATTCCCTCAGCATCTGTCACAATGTTTGTGTCTTTGTTATCAACTGTCTTACCTCTTTCTGCAATGCCCTCAGCATCTGTCACAGCGTTTGTGTTTTTGATATTGGTTCTTTCCTCAATGCTGAGTTGTCACAAATGTCACCCTGTTCTTGTCTTTGGCGTCAGCAACTTCATGATCCAAGAGAACAGATGTATCAATGGTGTGGACATCAGGCTTGTATGTGTAGTTCCACTCTTTTATTTCCGCGTTGAGGTTGCGGCAGGCTTAAAATATTTTTGCACAGTTCTCATATTTTTTCATAATTTCTCAGCACTGTACTTGTAACATATATTGTACTATTTAGTGTAAGTTTCATTTACAGTAGATTTATATTGTGTAATTTCCCACAAGTGTATGTAAAATTTTACTTTTGTGAGATATTAAATCAAGTTTTATGTTTGTGTTTTAGTGGTGGTAACAAAAGAAAGCTGAGCACGGCCCTGGCTCTGATTGGTGACCCTCCTGTGGTGTTCCTGGATGAACCATCCACTGGCCTGGACCCAGCAGCCAGGAGGAAACTGTGGGATACACTGATGAAAGTGAGAGTGAGTGGTACCACCTTGGTACTCACATCACACAGGTCAGTCTGGTCACAGCCACAGGCACTTATAATCATGTTAAACTTTGAAAATTCTGAATGAAAGTTAACAATAGTATTGTCAGTTAAAAACAATTACAGTCATGTTCACAGGGTGTTTACATCTTAAAACTTACGATTCACTTGTCCCATTTTTAACCATGTTTTACCCAACCCTATGAAATTAAATATGATGAATTTTGACTGCAATTGATAACAGACTTATAAGAGGCAAGTCTCATCCACAGTTGTCTATCTGTTTATTACAGCATGGAGGAATGCGAGGCCCTGTGCACACGTCTGGCCATCATGGTCAATGGGCAGTTCATGTGCCTGGGCAGTGTCCAGCACCTCAAGAACAGATTTGGCCAGGGGTTCACCTTGCTGGCTAAGATCCAAGCACCCCCTAGTGGAGGGCCTGTCAATGTAAACCCTTTCATGGAATTCGTCCAGAGCACGTTTCCTACGTGTGAGTTGGAGGACGTCCACCAGGGTTACGTCCAGTATAATCTCCCCGACACCTCCCTTTCCTGGGCTTATCTGTTCGGTACAATGGAAAAAGCTAAACCTGTGTATGGCATTGAGGATTATTCCATCAGCCAGACAACGTTGGAGCAGGTGTTTCTGAATTTTGCACGTAGGCAGAGGCAGCCCCATGAGAAGAAGCGAGGCTGCTGTTGTTTCTGATGCTCTTCAGGTGTTAATGATTTGCAGCAATTTTATTTGAAAACTCTGAAGTTTAAGTATATTTTGCCTAAATATCTGGAATATAATGTTTGTTATGTATTGTGTTTACATTTTTTCAGTATTTTACCTATACTATACTATACTATACTATACTATACTATACTATACTATACTATACTATACTATACTATACTATACTATATGTGGTATGGATTGCTTATTGTGTTTATGTGAGGCATCAGTTGCTAAAATTGGTGGTATTTTTTTATATGTGTAACTGATGTTTATTATTCAAGATGTCAATCTTGCCTTGATTTTTTTTTTTTTTTATTGTCGCTTATATTGTTATCCATGACAGCAAAGTCAGTAACTTAATTCTATACAGCTCAATAACTAAATTTTATCAAAGGTTTATACATTTTTATTTATTAGTTTTAGTTGGTTTAAAATTAATTGATCAGACATCTAGCCATAGAATCTGCACAGAAATAAGCAGTATTTACCTTTGTAATTCTCCTAAAGTCACTGTTTAGTTAATTAATACTTTATTACTTTTGTCCAGCTCAGGGATTCTGTTAAGGTGATCCTCTTATGTAATTACCAGGCTATTACATTGTCAATGTAAGTGGACTCCTCCAGTAAACTGTTTGATGTGAAATAGGGCCTGATAGTACAACCATCCCATCGTGACAGCATAACTTTGATAGGGTAGGCTGCAATTATACAAACAAGTATGTGTAAATGTGTTTGAATCTAACAACCAATTTTTGTTGGTTACTTGTATTTATTGCCTTTTATTGTTGCCTAATGTAATGAGTATAGTGTTGTACTCAGTTGTTGCGCTTGTTTATTAAAGCTAATTGTACAAGTAAATTATTTTTGCAGTATTGTCAGTGATTTAAATTATTAAGATAAAATTATTTGTAAAATAGTGATTATTACAATAGATTTTTATTTTTAAAATTATATTTATTGTACCTGAAGGCCAAACGTACGTAATTATTTAAAATTTAAGGCTTTAGTGAATGATTATTTAAGTTTAGATTTAAAAAATAAATATATGTCTACAGACATGCTGAAAACTATTCAGAATGGTTGGACATTTGGACCGGCCGTAATGAAAAATTTGCTGGACTGATTGGATTTTTGTCAGACCAAAATTCACCCTATTCGTTTGAGACAGAAACTACCAGTAATATAAGGGTAGCTTACTTTGTTTGTGAATGTGATAGGTTTGAAATGGAAGGGAAAAACGCTTTGGGTCTTATATAATTTTATTAGTGAAGTTTGTCAAATGATGGCTGTGAATTCAAAATTGCAGCTCTTAAACTCTTGTTTAGACCGACTAAGTCTAATTTTTTACCGGTCCAGACAAATTTTGCCGGTCATGACTGATCGGACTGACAGTTTCAGCATGTCTGTGTCTATGTTCATTATTATCTGAAGAGAAAATTTTACATTTCATAACATGTAAACTTTTTACATTCTGCTGTATTTATTTGTCAGTATGTTGTATATTCTCCCATTCTTGTGATCATAATTTGAATTCAATGTGATAATCATAAATCTATATTGGACTAAAGTCTCATGATGACCTCTACAGCACTCAAAGTTTGGCCATGTGTTATTCTTAAGGTTTTATTATTATTGTTTATTTATCAGTACACCTTGATATGTGGAAAACCCTATTTTAGTGCATCACTGTGATAATGCATGTAAGCACATGCATGTGAACATTCCGAATGTTGTGATTTTCTTAACTCTCTGTTGACTAAAATGAACAGTTGAAAAGAACATTTTTAAATCTGTTAAAACAGATGAACCCCAGAAGATGCAACTATTTGGTGACAATGGCATCGTCAACCTTGTTCCAGGATTTCAACATTTGAGGTCAAGTTTCCCCATCTTTTATTATTATTATTTTGTTTTTTAACTGATTAATTATTATTTCATATGGTGGAGAAGGGTTTCATATTGCATATTTCTTCTTTTGGTAACATACAATGTAACTGCCAAAGAAGGTTGTACTCAACTTGTTGGATGAAATTTTGGAGACTTCTCCGTATTATGCTCTAGTGATGCGTTAAGGAAATTGAGCTACAAAATGGTATCCACTGTCAGCAGATATTTGCTCATCGGGTGCCTCTATTTTATGATGGTTTGACTATTACAGAAAATGGAAATGGGTTATTAATTTATATTTGCTTAGTTAAGACCAATCGGCATGCAGTTTAACTTCAAGCAATCTTTTATTTAGCAAGTTGGATAAGCTTTAAAGAATAGGCAGTATTTTATTCTAGAGAGATGTGTTCAGGGCTTTTATTTAGAATGACAACTATGTCAAGAGAATACTTTTTCTTTGAGATATATTTGTTTTTCAAAATGTGTTAACTATAAAAGGAAATTTAGATACATTTGATTATAAAAGGAATATATTTTAATATAGATTATAAAAGGTGACTAGCTATAAAGGAACCACGAATACCTAGGTTTTAGAGGAAATGTAAAAGTTATCTGTTGTACATTTGCGGAAATTAAATTTTATAACCTTGTCTAGAAATTAAAGAACAGACATTGAGAACAGGGCAGTTAACATGAAGCGAACAAGCCAATTATAAAAGTGTCTTTTTCAACTTTTGCTGCTTTTTTATGAACCAAATGAAGAACTACGTTGAGTGTTTTCAGGTTTTATGGAGGATTTGCCTTGTTATATTCTGACAGTAAACTTATGTATAAAATGCCTTTGGGCGTATTTAAGTGTGTAAGAAGTGGAATAAGCACGCTCTTAACCTGCATTACCGGAAAGAAAAAAAAACGAGTTTCTAACTTTTAGGAGAAATAAATGTTTTGTGTCAATTGCTTTCAGACTTTTTCCTACGGTGTATTTTTTTCTAGTATCAGACCGCAGCCATTGTCTAATGGATCTCTGCCGTACATGATCGTGTCAGTTTACGTTGTCACAAAAGCTGAACGTACGTTAATCTCAAAAACTGAATAAAATAATTCCCGCTTAGGACACTACAGTTTGAGCTATATTCCCACTCCAAACTGTTTTATTTGCAATCAGCAACATCCCAATGTTCCGAAAATAATGAAGGAAGGCTACTCGAAGGAATACTGTGCAAAATGCCACCTTGCCAAACGAACGCCTAATACTAAAGCTAACCCCTTGTGTTTACATGCGATTATAACGAAACGATAAACTGCGACAGACACTCCTCATGCAAAGATCAATGCCTCTAAAGCTGTTTTTCCTTTCACTTTGAACGAAATGATAATGTTACACCTGAATTTGTGAGCTAACGGACGTGATGCGCACGTTGTGCTTGGAAAAACCCAGCAAGTGGCATTGCCCATGATAGGCCTAATAATGAATGTTCATTATTGTCATATTGGAATCACTTTTGTCTTTCAAAACTACATTTGTGGTTTATAAAATTTTATTCCAGATTCAAATAAAAGGGTGGGTGTGGGGAAACTTGTAAATTAGGTTTCACCTCGTTAGATGTACATATAATATTATCTCTTGTTGTATCTAAGAGCCTATTGTAACAGTCTCAAAGGATATAAACATCTCTTACAAATGGCCTTGTCTGACATCCGAGTCTCATCAGAAAGCAACCATCAAGGGACACGAAATAGAGCACACTGTATCGTTATTAAATTATAGGAACTTGGAGTAAACGTTGTTTTACTTTTTATCTGAAAATTGTGGAAATTGAAATCACACCAAAACTAATTGCACGGCGGCCTCGTCGCTTTGAGTTAATCATACTGCTCTGTAAGTAGTCTAATAAATATTTGGAATCTTTACATGTTTCCCACCTTTTCAAAACGAGCAACTTTTGCAAACTAGTTTTACGATTCACCACAACTAGACTAAACCACCATCGTTTGGCGGGTTTTGATCAACTCTCTCTCTCTCTCATTGGTTGTGGTCTCATATCGTCTCGCGATGTCACAAAGTCGAAATAGTGGACCCGTTGAAGAGGACTAGCGCGGAGGCGATGAAAAACAGGACCGTAGCCAGTAATTTCAAAAGGGAGTGTCTTTTCTAAAAAATGGACCTTTTACCATGAAAACTGTGTATATCAAGATAATATTTTATCCAGAGGGAATGAAATCTGGGCAAAAGGTTTTTTTTTTCGACCCCCCCCCCGGCTAAGGTCCTGAAGATATCACTCAACACAATCACTCTACCATCTCCTTGAGTGACAAGGATAACTTCCAGTGGATAGTCACAGATATACAGATATTTTTGCTGCCTAATTCTGTACCCATTTCTGTATTGTCAGGTTTTTAGTGCGGAATATTTGCACAGAAGTGACGTTATCACTAAGCTGGCTCCTGGCAGAGGGTATAATCACATGTAAAGGAACTTAATTGTGAAATTCAGGAGAGAGAGAGAGAGAGAGAGAGAGAGAGAGAGAGAGGGTAAAATATATAAGAAAGATATACAGGTTGTATCAATCTTGTACGGTAAAAGTATACTGGATGTAAAATCTACGCGTGTCTATTCAACTCTCTTGAGGTAAGCCATCACATTTCTAGTTAGTGTCTTTTATATTCAAAGAATGAAATTATTCTCAGAATAATCCATTTTATCTTATCATGTTTTACTTCTAATTCAAACAGATGTGCAATGGTTTTTGTAACCTTTATAGCGTTTAAAATGACAACGTCGTTATTCATATGCAAGCGCCATTGTCTTAATAAACCTATAATAAAATCTATATAACATAATAATGTTGGATAATCGACCCAAATCTTATTTTACTGGGCTTAAAATGGATTGTGAGACAAATCCGTGCAAGTATGAATAATCAGTAGTTTAACTGTGCATTGCTATTAGACTACATAAAATGTCCAGAAATAAAAAAAATATTCACTGAAATTATGTGCGATGCTTCAACATTCCAAAACTGTGTTTATCTCAATAATGGTCATAATGATTTCAGGTTTAAACCAACATAAGACTGAAATATCAAGTAATCAGATTAAATTTAAATATTTCTAACATGCCGTCTTCTCCTTTCGGTTATGCTGATAAGATAATTTCCGTGTGAATTTCACTAATTCTCCTCTTAGTATTCATACCCTTGTAATGTCCATATCCTTGTAGCGTCCATGTCCCTTCAGTGGCAATACTC